CAAAGAGGAGAGCCACCACCCCTTGCCTGCCCCTCGCAAAACAACCGACCAAAGAGGAGAGCCACCACCCCTTGCCTGCCCCTCGCAAAACAACCCACACCAGAGAGAGAGAGGTTACAGGGTGGGAAACTGGGTCTGGGAGTGGCCTGCTGCGGCGCGGCAAAGAGAGGCTGGCATGAGTGGATCAAGTCAGGAGCAAAGGTAAGCGCAGATAGGTAGACGGAGAGCAGAAGATAGAGGGCGAGTCCCGTCAAACGTGATGTTGGGGAGAGAGTCGACATTGGTGAACTTGTAGAGTCGGAAGGCCGCAACACGGGTCCCTGGCGGTGATGCTCCGAGTGGGCATGGCAGTCTCGCTGTCAATTGCAGGCGCGGTGAGAACCCATCCTCCTCAATGCTGGCCTGTCCCCTACACTTTCTATCGACTCTTCTGTGCTCTTCTGTCATTCTCTCAACTTTGATCCTTCGTAAGAATTTCGGCTTACCTCTCTCTCTCGTACAATTTTCATCTGTATGGCTGTAATGCAGCGTCACATCACTCAGGAGGCACGGTACAGAGAAGATCACACGCTGTGCCAGTGAGCATACGGCACAGCATCCGCTCGGGGGTGAGCTGTCGTGGATCGAATGATACAGGATTGCATTCTCTCGAGCAGTGGGCACTAATTTCGAGGCAAAGCGACAACAGCTCCGTTGTCATTGTCCGTGCTACGTTCACTGGCCACGCAGCACAGCGCAGCAGCATTGAAGGAATGGAGGACAGTGAAGCGTCATGACATGTCTGTTGCCGATGCTGACGCTGACCCCATAAGGTGTCCGCCCCATCAGACCATACCTGAGCTGAGCAAGAAGGAGGGGGATCGGAGTCGCAGCATGTCCGGCTGGTCGAAGGTGATACCTTCTCTTAGCTCCTCTCCTCCTTAGGCAGAGTTGCTCGGTCGCGAGCGATGTAGTCTTCGTCTTGGACTTGGGGCGGACTCGTTGCGACAGTCTATGTGCGCAGCAGTGGGCAGCTCTTCTGCTTCTCAGCGACTTCCCGCCAAGAGTGCAAAGCCAAGTGTGAGTGCAAGTACGATCGTTACACTGCACTGCAAGTGCACCTGTCGCATCTTTGGACAGTATGGCCTCGGACCCTCCCATGGATTCCTACGAAGGATGATGCAGCCCGTCTGCATTTGGGCCATGGCCATTCGCTTCTTCGCTGGGCAAGCGACACCTGCTTGCGCCTGCGGCGCTCGACTTTGAGATGTGATGTGCCAGTGCAGTGTCTGCTGGACCTGGCGCCCTCCCACTGTGCACCGCTGTGCACGTGCATGGGAGGTCCCGCAAGGGAAGTCGCTGTGCTTGCCGAGCAACACCAAGTGGACTTTGAGAATTTGAAGATGGTGAAGAGACAGCCGTAGTGGGTGACGAGGTGGCAAGGCATGAAGCGCAGGTCTCCCAGCCTAGAATCAGGTCCGGCCAGATAGACGTAGCGCGAACAGCCTCTAACGCTGTGTAAAGTGCAGCTTTGAATGCTCGAGCGTGGCTCGGGACAGAGCAAGACGAATTAGACTGGCACCAGAAGAAGCCTGCATCGAGACCGGCGAGGTGCAGAAACGCTGATGAGGATGGGAAAGCAAAGGCAAAGGATTTTTCTTTCGTCTCGAGTCGCAGGGGAACCTACTGTCATATTATCGACAGCGATAGTATCAATGGGAAAGCACAGTGAAAGTGAGGCGACGGAAGTCGGAGGTTGCGAAGCAGATACCGGAACGGAACCCGATAAGGAATCTGGAATCCGATAAGGAATGTCCTCAATGTTGAGGCGCGCCAAAATCTCTCTGAGGCGCGACCCCGGCTTGCGCCCCGTATCCGTGGCGCCCATGCGTCGGCGACTAGCCGGCAAAAGAGGAGGCATGAGAATGGTATTTCTAGGGTAGCAGAGAGTGCGTAGAGTGGGTCAACATGGTCTGTGTTAGTAGTGATGGCCAGGAAGAAAAGAGGAGCGAAAACAGCCTGAAATGCCATGTATGCAAGTGCAACGGTGCGGGGGCCACAACGGCAGCGGCCTTTTCGGCCGGGATGCGGAATTCCCTTCCGAATCCGACTCCCGACAAGGATGTGAGGGCAACGGAAAGAGGGGACGCCTGGTTGCGTTCGCCCTCCTAACCATCAATCACACCACTGCTTTCACTCCTCATACTCCACCCACTCTCCGCGCTCATATCAATGCAAGACTTTAAGAATGGCCACTATCACCCTTTCACAGAGGCAAGTGGGACTTGATACTGAAGCTCCAGGACCCGCCCCAGCCCCACACTATACCTTCCACTTCCCACAAGCTCCTCCTCCAATTCACAGGAAGAAGGGAACACCGCCAGACTTTGTACCTGCAGCCATTTTGAGAGAAACAGTCGCACCAGCGGGCGAGCATCAACAGGAAGGGAGCTCTGGACAAGCCCGTACCCGCTCAGGTACTCTGCCCACCGGCCCTTCTCTTGCTTCCAGAGGGACACGTTCTGAGGGTGCAAAGGCCATAGAGGCCGAGATCTACGCGGACGGCTTAGGCAGATGGTACCCTACACACTACGCCATGGACACCTCTCAAGAAGTGCATCGTTCTGCAGAGGACATCGTAGCCTCACCGCAAGTATCTGATATCTTCAAGCGTTTCAACGAAGCCGTGAAAGCGAGACTGGCTGAGACGGCTTTGGTGACCATCATTCGCGAGTTGGGCGCCGAGGTACGTAGCCAGTTGCACCGACAACACCTAGAGGGCGACCTACCGCCACCAACACACCCAGACTACGGCGGATTCGTTCAAATGGAGAACGTGAGGATGGACAAGTTAGATAGCACCGTTGCAACGCCATGGATGCTTTCCTGCTGACACGGTACATGATGTTTTGCTACAGGATACCGAGGATCCTGAGGTCAATAAAGTGGATATCTTTGTACGGGGATCGAATCCCACAAGGGGCGTAGGGAAAAACCACTGGTCAAATGTCGTCTCATTTGTAGAAGTGAAGGCGTCACATTCATCGGATGTGACGGTAGACACCAGCCTGCGGTGTTTGCGTTATGCAGTGAGTTGAGAGGAGTCAGCGCTATCTTATTATCGGGGGTTGGCGTTGACTTGTCTTCGGCCCTTACACCACATCGTCAGCGCAAATTGTGCCAGTACCGTCCGGTAACCTTTCACCTCCACTACGTAACGTGGTGTGGCCCCATTGTCCGGCTGTGGTACCTAGATGCAGCTCTGTTCGGCTGCTCCCGACGATTTGACACTCGAGATATCGGGGACCAGATAGAGATCGTGAAGATCATACGCCTCTTATGTCTGGAGGAACATGCGGCGCTCCTGACTCAGCGCTGGGATGTAGCGGCGGAGACCGCCTTCAGCATCAAGGCTAATGAAGCAGCTCGTATCAAAGCCCACACGTGGTCTGTTAGACAAGGCCTGCGACCGCTCGACATACGTCCTGGACCTTTTCGAAGCCGTACTGCAGTCTTCGCAGATTCAGACGGAGACAGCAACAGTGGTGGAAAGGTGACGGTGATCAAAGTCTCGTGGGTAACTTCACGTCTAGTCACGCATGAACTGGTAATGCTGTCATGTATCTATGAAGAATTGAAGTCAGAGCTGCCACTCATTCCGGAACCGATTGGTACAGCAGATATTCCTGCTGGCTTCCAGGATACGACCTCGGAGAGGACGACGCAAGGTTCTGAAGGATTTCCTGCTCGCACTGTCAGCGTCTTGGTGACCAGGCAGTGTCTGGGCGATCATATCGGAAGCCAGGTCTCACAACACGATCTGGTAGACATCCACGCGCAGCTTGCATATCAGCTGCTCATCTTTGCAGGACGGGAATATCATTACAGAGATCTGAATGATGGTAACATTCGCATCCTTCGCGGAAGCGACAACACCCTTCTGATTGTAGACTTCGGAAACGTACGCAAGAATCTGAGCGCACGAGGAGATGCAGCAACGCCAGACGCCGAAGCGACGATAGATCGAGCTGCCGACGACTCTCGCTCAGCCACCCTCGAGTTTCTACCTGTCTGTTCTTCTGACGCCGAAAAGGGTGTTCGACAGTGGAATGCTAAGATAGACAACTTGATCAGGGAAGTCTCTGAGCTTGCTGGCATCACCAGAGCGACTCGCCTTCGACAGGCACGACAAGCTATCTTGAATAAGCTTCCTACTCTTCGCGACTCCTTGCGTAAAGCTTCTGTGAACAGTCATCGTTACATAGACGACCTGGAGAGTGCAGCATACCTCCAGCTGTGGCAGGTGAGTGAGCTCAGCATCCCAAGCAAATGCTGAACCAAGCCCTGATTTGCTCTGTTTCTCCCTCGCTCTTCTTCCGCATGGAAACCCATCCGCAGACTGCTCACAAAATCGGGCTGACCCTGAAAGAGTCGCAGAGCCTGAGCAAAATCTTGTGTGACCCAGCGCAGAAAAAGGAGCACTGGCGTGACGAGGAAGTATGGCTTTCTGTGAGTATCGGTACAGTGACGAACGCCGTCCGTCCTCTGACAGTCAGGTCTTATCTGTCTGAATGACGACACACCACCTCCGTCTGTCTCTTCTTCTCTCTCAGCTCGTAACGGACTACTGCCCAAATCAGGCTCAGAAGTGGTACAAATTGATGAGCGACTTGAGAAGCACCATCTGCGACGCTCAGGACGCGCTTCGTGCCCACATCTCGCTCCAGTACGAAAAGGACGTCAGCCTCGCTACCCTTCAAAAGGACGCCGAGGCACAGCAATGGGAAGGCACTCCTTTGGAGGTGAAAGACGTCATCAACACTCTCTTCCAAGGAAAGGGCGTATTGAAGAACAGTGGGCTATTTGAAATTGAGACCAACTGTTTCAAAAAGTGCATTGAGCTGCAGGAGACTGCGGCCAAAGTTCTCAGCCGACAGACGAGACAATGATGCCAACAAGAGAGATGAGAAGTGAATCGATGTATCATCCGCTGAGTCAAGCATCGCAGGGGCGGGCAGCCTCACGAGAGGACCTTCGAAGCTCTTTACGAGCACACAGGCGGGGGCAGGAGGCGAAGTGGCACTTCTGACTGCATGCGACGTGTCTTCTCTGTCCCTGTGGTTCGAATCTTAGTACATTGGTCTTTTGCAGCGCCGAAGAGAGGCAACACGACTAGCCAGCCATTATACCTTCCTCCTGGATGGGACGCGGTGAAATACATGTACCAGTATCCAACACCCCTCGGCGTGAGCGTGGGGCATACGATACACGCCACTGGCTACCGTATTTCCTTCTCTCCCTTTGCCTGCCCTTGCTACGCCTTACTGTGCTAAAGATGCGAAGCAGCTTGATACCCGTACTGTATGGCCACCTCTTCACTGGTGCTTGTCAGCTGACCTCCGTATGCCGTTCGGTGTCTTGCACGTGCAATGCGCTGCTGTGCACCCGCGCCCATTTTGATGTGCAAGCGCAGGAGCCGCGGCAACACTGAATGATACGATAGTAGAGAATGCTTGATGGGATGCTTGGGCGGGATTGTGGTACAGTATGATATAGTATTGACGCTCCTCTGAGTCCGACGGGTCCATTGAGGCTGAGGCTGCTCAACAGCTTATAGCTGATAGCTCATCTCACTCGTTGCGGTGCGATGTGCTCCCATAAACTGCACATGTACGGTCGCAAGTAGACCGATTTTGATAAAGATTTGTTCGTCTTCGTGCTAAGGCAGGAAGCTGATGAACGTCTCTCTACACTCCTTCGCTGCTTCGTTTGGACCGGTCATCTTTAGCGCCTTGCTTTGTCCGCTTCAGACGTGACGCGTGGACATGTACGGCCTTCCCTTACGCCCCAGTGTCGTGGATGGGGACAAGGTCTTCCGTGGACCGTCTCAGCGGCAGTAGTCGGTCACAGTACAAGTACGAGATTCCGCTTTTCCTCAGTCTCGGCGCTACAGTCAGCAGCTTGCGAGATGTCGGTCTTGTCATCTCTCCTGACGATCGGTACTTGAAGTCATGCCTCCTCAGGCTCATAGTCCATAGCAGGTGAAGACGTCGCGATGTCATATCGTTTGATGATAGACGTCCTGACGATATTGCCCTGGTGGTCTGCGTCAGCTTCCTTTGCCGATCGTACAAAGTAGCAACGGGCTGCATGTACCTCACCAGCCTTCTTGAGCCGCATTACTCATGTGTCTTCTGCTTTTGCCAGCCACTCGCAGCTTGTCTTGACCCCTTTGTGTGCTCGATTGCGCGCCCAGGTATGTCCTTGGTCTGTCTCGAGGCTGCAGCGCCTCTCTGCCCGGTCACCTAGGCCAGGGCTCTGGCCCCCTTCTGTTTGCAAGGGCAAGTGCAGCTGGACACACAAGGGCTCGACCCAGTGGCTGACGCTCTTGCCGCTGGAGACTCTGCAGCAGCAGCAGCATGAGGAGGTGGAGGAGGAGCAGGGGCAGGGCACGTCTGGCGCCGTCGTCGTAGTAGTCGCATCGGGGAAACGAAGCGGTCTGTCGGTCGGCTCTTTGCTCAGAAGGGTACGCAGGCTGACTTGGCAATCTCGCTGGTCTTTGAGGCGTAGTGTACGTCTACCCATATCCAGCAGCAGACGTGCATGCTGGACCCTCTCCTCGAAGTTCAATGGGCGTTACGGACTTGCTGCTCAAGGTAGAACAATGGTCTGCTGTCCGACGATGGTGTGCCCTTCCCTCCAAGTTCTTGTGAATCCTAGCGAGCCGTACTAAGAGCCAGAGGAGGAGTCTAGACACGACATCTCTCCAGGGGTCTCTTGATCTCTCATATCGGTTGTTTCCCGGGGAAGTGGTCAGGTCGTACCCTTGAATCCTGCCAAGCGGCGGTGGGAGGGGATAGCTGCCTGCTGGCAATGTTTGCGGCTGGCACTAGTATGCCGACGAGCCAGCAGCCGTGCAGTGACGGTCATGCTGACTGGTCTCTAGACTCGGCGGCCTGAGCGATGTAAGTGCTGGGCGGCTAGAATGGCAGCGCTCTTCCCCTTGGGCATCTTGTCTGGCCTTGGTAGACGACGTCTGAGAGACGGGCCTGTCTAGTCCGGTCTGTCGAGGCAGGCCATGTTCCTCACTCCGGGTGCCGTGCAGGTCAGCCTGGCGCCGAGGCGTGTAGCGCCATGGGTGGCCAGTCTACTGCAGGTGCTCATGCATAGCTCGGGATGCCGCAAGACAAGTCAGCTTGGCATGAAAGCAAGGCGGCATCGAGAATCGCAAAGGGTTGGGGACGTGGAGAAGAGTGGAGTAGCGGAGGCAAGTCCTCTCTCTCCTCCCTGAGAGGTTGCGATGCTATGGAAGAGCTGGCCCACCATGGTGCTCACGGCCCGAGTACAATGAAGGCCAGGCGGTGGGAAGACGAGGGTGGTGCGAGGCAGAGACCGGAACGGAACCCAATCGGACTCTGTGTTGATGTTTGTGGCGCGCCGGCCAAAATCTCCGGCGCGCCCGGTGAGTGGGTGTGAGAGCAACGGAAAGAGGTCGAGGAGGATGCGGGGTAGCCTTGGCCTCTCCTGACCATGACACCAATGCTCCAACTCCTGGCACTCTCCGCAATCTCCTAGTCCACATCGGGGCAGGCAGCCTTCAGCGATGGTCGCAACCTCCTCTGATCAGATGCTGGCAGCGGGGCCTAGCGCACCCGCAACGCCACCAGAGCCCATCGAGTGCCAACAACACTACACATTCTCCTTCGAGGCTACGCCAGTGCCAGTGTTCAAGGGCGACTTGCGAGAGATCACCATGGTCTCCCCAGCCCTTCTCGGTAAAGTCATAAAGACAGACGACCGAGGTAGTCGCCCCGAGCCCGACTTGCCATGGGGGCAGGACGACGATTATGACGCACAAGATTCAGAGGACGCGGAGGACTCAGAGGATTGCGACGACGACGACGAGTCAAAGGACGCGGCAGACCAAGGGCCAAAGGCTGTCACACCGCCCAGCTCAGTACAGTCCGGTCTACCTTCTTCTATCCCGATCACCGAGGCTATCTCCTCTTCGGCCTGCTCCGACGGTAAAGAAGCGACAGAGTCGGACCTCAGGAGGGACGCCAGAGGCCGCTTCTATCCGGAATTCTGCGTCATGAGAACAAGTTCCGCAGTCCACGCTGCTGCAAGCGAGATTGTGGATTCAAAGGAAGGAACCGAAGCATTCGCCAACGTCAATGCCGCTGCAGATGCACCCGGATACAATGAAGACAAGCTGGCAGAAGAAGTCTGCGCTTTAAGCGACATTGTACGGTCAAAGTCGGGAGCGGGACAGTCAGAGTACGGCAGGTTCGTCAAAAGGGGTCTCAAGACGGCACCCAGCGTGAGTTGGTAAGAAGAAGCCATCGCTCCCTCTGGAATGCCCTTCGCTGACAAGAAGATCACTCCATCCACTCCGCCAGCACTCAAGAGATGACCTTGTGGAGTCCGAGACGAATAAGGTGGACATCTTTGTACAGGAATCAGCCCCTCACATCTCAGCAAAAGGAGGCGAAGACTTGTTCTTCTGGTCCAATGCACTCTCCTTCGTAAAGGTCAAGAGAAAATACGCTCATGACTGGATGGACAAGACTATCAAGCAAAGCATGCGCTATTGCGTGAGTCTCATGGGGCCTTGATCTTGCAGCGAGGCGTCGGGCAGATCATTGGCGCTCACACCTCTTCCGGCCGACCATATCAACATGCTGCCAGCGCAAGATCTTTGCATATCGTCCAGTGCTCTCTCATCTTCTCTTCCTGACCTGGTGCGGACACACCGTCCGATTGTGGTACATCAACGCTGCCCTCTATGGATGCTCTCGGCCCTTGGATACCCGGGATCGGGACAATCAAGTGGAGATCGTGAAGATTGTACGCCTCTTTGGCTTGAAGAACGGCTTTGTATGCGGTCGCTGGGACGTGACGGCCACAAAGCGTTTCTCTGTCGAGCAGGACGGTAAGGCCACACAAAAGGTCGTCGACGTCAAAAGCATGTATCTGCTCGATATACGCCCAGGACCTTTCCGGTCCCGCACTGCTGTTTTCGCCGATGTTGTCAAAGATGAAAAAGGGCGAGTATACATGGTCAAGCTCTCCTGGATAGCCCCACATCTGACCCCACATGAGCTGGCGACTCTACGCGACATGCGAAAGGACTTCGGAGCAGACTTGGAGTCCCAACTACCGCTCCTGCCTGAACCCATTGGCTTGGCCAATCCACCGGCCGGTTTTCCGTGCACGACCTCGGAGATGACGACGGCATCAAGCGCTGCACCTGAATTCCCTCCTCGGAAGCTTTGCGCTTTGTTGACCAAGCAGCATATCGGCGATTATATCGGTAAACAAGTGCGACCGCACTGTCTTGTGAGTATCCATCGGCAGCTTGCGGATGTAATCCTCAAGCTCGCGAGCAAAGGATATCATTACCGGGACTTGAACGATGGGAACGTTCGTGTCCTGCGCGGCACACCGGACACTCTCTATCTCGCAGACTTTGGCAATGTAAGCAAGGACCTGAGCCGGCGTGGACATCGGGACGAATCAGATGCAGCAGCGACAATCGACAGGGCCAAGGACGACACACGCTCAGCAACACCACTCTTTATGCCTTGCTGCTATGCTATAGCCAAGGCTGCGTCCGATCATTGGGACTTGGCCGTCAAAAAGGTCATCGACAGGGCGGCAGAATTGTCGCAGTCGCAGTCGCAGCTCAGCTCCGAAGTATCCGCCGCCGGCGTTGATGGCCGAAAGGCCGGCAATCGCCTTGGACCCGTCGTGGATGCGATCCTCGAGCAGATGAAGGAACTCCAGGCCTCGTTGCAACGGTCAAATGTCTATGCTCATCGCTACATCGACGACTTAGAAGGTGCATTGTATCTGCACCTCTGGAGTGTAAGTCGACTGTGCTTGTTCACTGCGTGCGTACTGTACCTTCCAGCTGATGACCCCCCTTCCACTACCGCTTCCCTTTCATCCATCTTACTGCTGCAGATGGCGCTCAATCGTGGTCTGGACAAGCGTGGACAAGCCGAGCTAAGTGAGAAGTTGCGCACGAACAAGGCGGAAATCTGGGGAAGCGCTCTCATGTGGGAAGATGTAGGTGGTCCCGTCTCGGCGTCAACTTTGTGTGTGGTGGAACATCCGCTGATCGCGTTTCGCATTGATTGTCCCCCCTGTCGGTCGTCTAAAAGCTGATAAAGTTGTACTGCGGGCCGACGGGCAAGATCTGGAGACAGTGCATGGTCGCTCTGCGACAAGTCGTTCACGACGCTCGGGAGAAGCTCACCGCAGACCTCTCCAAGCCCTTCGGCGATGAAGGCGCGGCCTCTCTCAAAGCCCTGGAGAAGGAAGTAGAGAAATGGCGATCGGCGGCAAGTGACCATGTGGGAGCAGATGCGCATGCTACGGTGATGATCATCAACAGCCTATGGCAGAACAAGGGCATCCTCCCCGATGCAAAGCAGGGCTTGCAGCAAATTGAAAAGGAGTGCTTCAACAAGTGCATCGCACTTTTGCAGGAAGCGGGAGATAGCATGCAACAAGGCTTTGTGAAGAACAGCAAGAAGAAGTGAGATTAAGGGGAGGGAGATTGGAGAGGTGGCTCAATTCAAGGCACGACGTACGGTAGGGTCCCTCCAGCTCCAAGCACAAAACATACCATGTACACCCGTCTCAGCAGCACTCCTTAGGAGGCAATTTACATCTCTTCATCTACTCAGCATCAGTCTCGGCCTCACGGCCGGTCGTGTGCTCTGTTGCTACACAAGCTCTGTAATCGTGCGCTTATGACGAACAGTAGACTCCCTGATCTTTCTACTCTTGGTTGCGCTTGCAATACTTGCAACACCTACGATGCTTACAACATCCGCAAGACGCATCAACCTGGAATACCTCCGGTGCCACAATCCTAAGGCACATATCCGTAGAGTCACAAGCGCATCAATCGTCCCGAATGGACGGATATCCCTCTTGGGTGTGAAAGAGGGTGATTGCTAAGAAGTCCTCGCTGCCCACCTCACTGCGTACTCCGGTCTGCTGTTCTCCAAACCCTTTCCCTGGCTGGCTCAGACTGCGATGCAGTAGATGTGGTGTTAGTTCCTGTCCCTCCTGAACTCGCGAAGGTAGGTAGGCAGAAATAGAACAGTCTGTCAGAGTGCGTCAGGGGCAGCAGTCGGTGCAACATTCGCATCTTCCTCCATCTCGGCTCTCTCAGTAAACGTAAGACCGAGTGAGCATCGGGCCTATCATTCTCTCCTCAGCAGACTAGGCAAGAGCACGTGAACAGGTAATCAGGTCATTCCACATGAGACGTCTCTGAAACGGCCGCTGTCCTCTCGCATTCCCTTCTCTACGGGACGGGACCAGTCCCTGAGTTCGCTCAGCAGTCTTATTGGCCCTCCTGACCCTTCGTCTTTTCTGCGACGGCTGGACATCCCCACCTTCTTGGCCCCCTTCTTGGCTGTGTTGTGCGGCAGGCCATCGTCCGTTGCGTGTGTAGCCTCGGGATGTCCAGCGACGCTGCAGTGGTTCTCTGCTGACCTACATTACTCAAAGCCTTCGTGCGCTCAGTCGGGGCTGCCGAAGACATTGGGCTTGCCCTCTGCGAAGCCATTCAAATTAGGCATGAGATCAGGTGCGACCGGTGTGGACAAACGCACCGCATTGCTATAGACCCAACACCGTCACACGATGAGAACACTAAGACAACAGAGTGTATCTGTGAATTTACCCGTCGTGAAACCTATTATGCTTGCACCTGCCCTCGCGAGCCAGGTCTCTCTCTACAGGCGCAATGTCAACGCCGTTTGCTTTGTTTCCTTCGACTGTCAAGGTCACAGTCGCGGTCAGTCGCTGCTATCGATTTCATGTCCAGGAGGATAGCTGCAAGATGTGTCTGCAACATGCTCTGCGAAGGCGCGCATGTGCGCGGACATGTGAGACAGTCGGAGAACAACCTACTGAATCCAAGCTGCGCTCGATTGAAGATCTGTTGAGGACGTTAGGTGGCACATACTTCCCATCCAGCCAAGGTAAAAGCAACGGTGACATTGTTGGGAGAGTGTGACAGGCGAACCCAAGAGCGCAGGATACAAGCAAGCGGCACGTACGAGAGGCTTATGGAACGAACTCCATCTCCCTCTTATTTTCAAGTGTCTTAGACGCACCCGCGGGCCTCATACAGCTCCGGTACATACTGCGGCTCGAAGTATTCTTCGTATCTGGTTAGGGAAGGACAATTCCGAGAGCTCGGTCGCGATTGGTAGCTGGGTCGCGATTTGTAGCTTGGGCGCGGACTGTAGCTTGGCCTTGAGTGATAGCTTGGTCGACTCTGAAGACTGGGCCGCCAGGAATAGCTAGGGCGGCTCACACGATAGCGGTCGGAGGGTCGTCTGCTTGATGACGACGACGAAAGGCGCTTCGGCATCGAGGGCCGAGCGGCGTGCCCACTCTGATGATAAGGCCCTGATAGAGCATCTCCTGAGCCGCATGGCTTCAGTCCTGAGTTATAAGCAAGTCGAGCCACCGTCGGGCCAAGATTCTTCTCAGAGCTCAAGGCCCACTCTTGAGGGTCCATTTGGTACGGAAACACGTGCATTCTGCCTGCCTTAGAAAGGCTTTCCTGCGTCCCATACACCTTGGAAACCAATTCTGTTGGCCATCGCGAGAGAGCAAGGAGGCCTGGTGGCTCAGTAGCCTCTTTAGGATTCACCGTGACGAGCATGGCGCACACACACACTACAATGGCAGTTACAATGGCAGTTGAAACAGCCACGTAGACTGCAACACCCCAGACAGGGTAAGCTTTGCCCCACCGGAATGACTGCCCCCTGCGTCTCCTCTTCGCTGCTGTTCAATGCCAACCTTGTCTACCACCTTGCCTGTCTATTTCGTCCTCGTGAAATCCTCGCGGCCACTGCTATATAGAGGGCGTTGGACATGGTGACACCATTTGCCCGATGGGGAGCCCTTGTAGCTTGCATGTCTGACTGTAAGGGTCACACCTCTGGACCCTAGTCCATCCGGGCGACCTTCCTCGCTCTGCTTCCTGTCATGGCCATGGAAAAACGTTCGCCTTTGAGCGACGGCGCGTTCCGGAGGTTGTATACTCTTTCTGACAGTCGCAGGGGTACTTTAGCTGCTCAAGTATCTGCACGCGACATCCGCAAGCTCCGAGCTGCCAAACGTATGCATGTCCTGCGACGCACTGGCAACACTGGCCATGAAGAGACACGGCCCTAGTCAAGCTCAGACACATGCACACACGCACGCCGAGAAAGGAAGTACAATCTAAGGCATCGAATACAGATGTACTGGGGATGGGCAAGAAGCTGTCAAGAATGGGGCTGGTAGTACAGTACGTGTCTGATGCACAGTCTGGCTGTGCCAGTATTATTCTGCTGAGAAGGCAGGACATCGCGAGCATATTGATACAATACAACAGCCTTTGCTGACACTGTAAAGCGCATTGATGATGCTCGCCTGGTGCACTGAGCACCGCACAGCAGCACATGATGCTTGGCAATGTACTTGAGACTGAACCTCCATACGTGTTGTACTTCTGCTCTTCCAGTGGGATACTCTTGAGCACCATTGAGTGATTTGCGTCCACCGCGTGAGCTGTCTAGCATTGATACACGTACAATGTAGCAGCAGTCTTCTTCGACTGGGATACAAAGAGCACTGTCACCACCTGGGACCAAGAGTGGGTCAGATGATTTCTCACGATGGTCAGATATGTCAGTCTTTCTTGCAGGCAATGACATTATCTTCCCACTTTCGCGTCTTGTCGCAGTACTGTGCCGAGTATGATCAGCGCAAGCGCGATTTTTGCATACTGTCGACTGGGTACATTTTTGCATTGAAAGCACTTCCATGAGAGAGCGCCTTTCGTGTACATGACTGTACAGTAGCAGCACGCTTGCGCACCTAAGATGACGACTCTCCACACATGTACAACATGGCGCGAATGGATGTGTAACGCTTGCGTGACATGGTCCAAAGTGCTGAGTCACTCCCAGCTGTTCGTCCAGAGTTAGACCTTCGATTGATGACGATGTGCCTGCAGAGACTACTCACGGGTACCGCAAAGTCACTACTGTACACTAGGACAGTCAACAGACCTATTCTAAAGTAAATACTACAGCAGCTTCTCTGATGATAAGTGGAGATGCTGAGGGCTTGACGCAGTGTGATGCAGCTTTGCCCTTTTTGCTGTGCAGGACAACATCACTGTCTCTCTCTGCAGTCTTTCCGCAATATCGCGCAAAAATCACTGATTGGTGCTGCAAAACCAAGCATTCACTGCAGAAAGCAAGAGCATAGCCGACCATGACAAAGACTGCTAGGCAGAAGAATTAGATTACAACATGCTGTACTGTACTGGCCTTTTCAATCGAAACCATCGACTTTGTCTTCACATCATGTCTACTCCCCGTTGCGACTCAAAGAGTAGAATTTGCACTGAGCGCGTAAATTTGCAGCTGCAGTGAGTAATAACTGCGTCCAATTGCGTCAAATTTGCACAATGTGCGTATTTTTGCATCACAAAGGAGTCAATATTGCAGCCAATTGCGTAAGGCTCACGCCAGTGACATAGGATCCTCGGAAGAGGCTGTGGTATGGCTCTCCTGCGTGTTTTCCAGCTCCCCTACCCTGCTCTCACTGCCTTCCCGCTCTCCTTCACTCCAATCTTCCATGTCTCTTGTCTCCAGCGTATCTGCATCGTGTTGAATGCCTAGATCTTTCAGCATTTGCGCTGCCTTTGTCCATCTGATTGATTCTGCCATGAATCCACGCATATTCTCCTCTGTAATGTTGTTCAACTCGTTGCTAATGTGATTTGTGAGCGTCCCATGCGAGTCTATGTCTTGTTTGCCCACATAGCCTTTGATGAGGCCAAAAACCCACTCGCAGAGGTTGAATTCTGGTGTGTAAGGCGGCTGGAAGACGAGGAAATGGCCTGCATCGCTGATTGCTCGCTTGGTATTGACGTGTTTGTGAATTGAAGCATTGTCCATCACAATCTGATGCGGACTGTCAAGCTTGGAGAGCAAATGATGCACAAAGGACTCGAAAACAGCTGAATCTGTTGATCCAAAGCGCTCTTGATGTGCGATTACTTGTTTCTCGACAGAAACTGCAAGAATGAGCGTCACATTTGCACCCTGACTTGGTCTTGTTGCAATGGCTCAAAGTCCTTGCTCACTCCAGCCATATTGTCGTGCAGTTGCCAGATTGAAGCCGCTTTCATCAATGTAGATTGCTTTGTCAATTGTGAGTCAAGAGAGCCATTCTGCGCACCACAGCTGTCTTTTTTGCTTACTTGCAGTTGAATTGCGGGCAGGGAGATCTCTGTGCACTCGTTTGAGTGTGAAAGTGCCTCTGGATGCTATTGCTTGTTGGAAAGTTGAGATATGCAGCGTTCCAATGTCAGGATAGTGAGAAAGGAGGTTGTTTCGAGCGTCTTTGAGGGTAGCAAGCGGCCAGCGCGTCCAATATTGCTGTACGTGGGTAATATGGCTACTGTTGAGCTTGGTGCGAGCTGTGGATCCGCCACGTCTCATTTTGAGGATGCGAGAGGTCTTTTGAAAGCGTCCAACAATGGACGAGATTGTAGAGATTGGCAGGCCTTCATCTTCAGCAATGCGCTTGAATGTGAACCTGTTGTTCAGGTGCATGCGTATGATACGCTCACGACGCTCATCACTGATTGATGGAATGATTGTTTCTTGAGGCTCTTGGCAGTGTAGTGGAGGCTCCATCTGACGAAGACTCTGTGAGAGGCATTGGACGGCTTTGCAAAGAGGGACAGCAATGAGGGGGACTGGACAATGTCACATGATGGAGAAGAGGCAAGAACGGACGCGACAGCAAAGCGGGAAGCCTGTGTTATATATGCAGAGCCTGAGGGCGGAATTTACGAAGTTTCTGCAAAGATTACGCAATTGCGCTGCTGCTTTTCCGCATTGTGGCGCAAATTTACGCGCGCATGCAAAGTTTACGCAATTGCACGCAAAGATTACTCATTGCACTGCAAAACTCCGCAATTGGGCGCAACGCGGAGTATAGCTGCTTTTGAGCCTTTTATGGGTCATCCGCTGTCCAAATGAAACTTCCCGTATCAATTTCTGATGAATGATGCTGCGATCCACAAGAGCATCAAAATCAATCAAGCGAGCATCCAAAGACGCAGGCCGTTATCTCATGATGTAGCCTCTTTGAAATATCTGCCAGCGTTTGATCTCAGTGAGGCGGGCTTCGGGCCGGTGTATGGACACATTTGCAAACGAAACATAAATCCGCATGGAACGCTCATTAATTGATCGCATTGCAAACATGCTGAGAAAGAGCTGAAAAAGGCGCAGAGGCTAACCTACGGAGTATTCAAGCAGCCTTCATTGGATGGACACATGCTGCCCAATACCAGAAAGAATCTTGACATTCGACACGATGCTGACAGGCTGCAGAGCGCGGAAACAGAGAAATGGAGTCTGGAGAGAATTTAGCGTGATGCCCAAGCAGACAAAGCGCAGTACTGTAAGCATGGAGGACGCGCACGAGAAGAATGCTACAGTCCCTTCAAAAGAGGCTACTGTATGCCGTTGGTGTGAGACTGGCGCATTCGGCTGCAACCTTTACTGTACTGTACTAAGTAATCTGCTGTGCAAGGGTACCGAGATTGTGCAACTTTCACAAGATTGAGTGCAACAATCACTCCGTACCCGAGCGAATTGATGCGAACTCTATCAATTTGGCCACAAATGAAACGAATCTTCAATGAGCAGCAGTCCGCTTACATCATCTCAGACGAGACGTGGAACAAATACTGTATGACAGCGCAGTAGCATGTCAATCTAGAACCACTGACAGGTCCCGAGGAGAGAGAAGACATTTGGGCTAATTGACTGCGCCTATGCGGAAAAAAGACACGTTCTGATGCAGCAGCTACGACTAAACTGCACAAAGACGTTTGGAGAGGTAGATCACCAGAGCCTGCCCCATTTCGCTGTAAAAAGCACATTTTTTGAACGCTCGTTTTTCAACTGTGTGGAATTACCTGCAAGCATGTTGAGTAGGCACAAAATATACGATACTCATTCATTTGCGGAAATCGGTGCATTTGCGAAGAATGAGTATAGCTTCAACGTGGGGCACTCCACAGAAGCGTCCACAACTGCACAGTCGACACAATGACTTTCGTGCAGCACGTCTCACTGCGCATCTTTGCCGAAAGATCTTGACGTTTTTGCCTTGCATGGAGCTGCACAGTACCGTGAAGCAAAGCATGCTGCTTGCGCTACTGTACGAAAAGGAATAAGTTTAGCACAAGCTGCGTCGAGGTGACAAAGCTGATCCAGTAAGATGTACTTCTCTGCCAACACGCAATTGGACTCTTAGACCAGCTGGCGTACCGTAGTACTGTATCTCTGCGTTGCAGCTTTGTACGTCGTAATTTGTGGGCAGAGTGGAAGTGCTCTTGAAGTTTAATACTGTTGTACAGCATACTGTCAGATGTGCGCAAAGAAATGACATTTGACCACGATGGCAGCAAGTTTTTGGGGTGAGCTCGAGGATAGTGTCCAGTATGCAGAATGGACTGCCAGGACAAAACTGACGCTGGCGTTGAGCATACTTAGGCTACATTTGGGTGAGAAGGAGAGCAGCACGCAGCACTGGATGCGGGTTTTGTGCGGGAGACAGTAGCAGAGATTTGGAGAGACCAAGTTAAACGGACTTCTGATGTACAATATGTACAGTAATGTATCGCGCAATATCTCGTCTGTCTGTTGCTGGCCGGTAGCAAAGACGTGCGAAGGTCAGGAGACTGTGTCGTACTGTACAATTGTGACCAAGTGGCGCAGATCGTGAAGTGTCTGTACGGCAGGAACACTCCCTAAGTCATCGCGCAATTGTTGCGACGTTGGTGTGCATCATTGTACGTGATTAGTCTCCATGCCTCACCATCAAAGACTTGATCGAGACAAAAAGGGTAGGTACTGTAAAGGGTCATCGACGCGGAAGGAATTGCTGACGAGATAAGTGGAACAGCTACATTGCTTCCACCCCTGGCGGCTAGCGTGAGACGACAGATGGCGCCACGGGAGTCTGTGTAGTCTGCGTAGTCCAGCTGTCTAGTAAAGTCTGTGCCGCCTGTGCCAATCCAAGACGTCGTGAGCATGATGCGATCGGTCAAGGCGAGCGTCTACTGCTGCTGAAGGTGCTCTGTACGTGCGTGCCTCTCTGCTGGCCGTACCTGCGATTCTAAATGTGCCGCTCTCGCATTGCGCAAGTGAGTTCGATGCCCCTTGTTCTGCGACGATACACCTCAAGATCCACGGTGGGTGCCCCACTGCCAGCGATATTCTGTACCGTGCTCGTCGATGGCCTTTCGCAAGCTGAGTATGAAACGATCAGATGGCTGGTCTATGCAGACACCGCTTTGTGCGTGTACTGGGACGACCGTGTGCACCACAGAGGCGGGGTAGCGTGATACCCCAGTGGAGTGTGTCCTATAGTCTCGGTGAGCCACTCACCATTCTTTCCACTCGCAGATGCACAGGCATCCTGCACTGCTCAGCACAAAGGGCTTGGCGATCTCTGATTGACGGTCTCCCTATGTCAAGCTGAAGGAGAGGTGACGCGGCATAGTAGCGAACTGATTGAACTGTCTGCCTGCCCTTTTCGATACTGTGCGACGACGTGGCTAACGCCTGCACTTTTCGCATCAGTGTTGTGTAGCATTGGTCGCATGAACACTCAGGCCCGGAACTCTCCATCGCAGCCTTTTCGCCAATCTCGTCGGACGCCGTATTGACCCGCTTGGCGCTATATATTTGCATCGTAGTGTTTGGACTTGTACCGTCGGAGGGCAGGCTTACCCGCTCAGCGCTGGCATCCTCCGTCGCATTACCTCCGCGAAAGCCATGGGATGTCGAGAGTACTCGACGGGCGCTGGAAAGCTTCGTCGCACTGTTTCTGCAGGAGTCGTAGTTGGTTCAGGGCACCCGGCAAAGTGTGACGGCCCCTGGCGTGGATGGTCGCTGTGAGAGAACCGTAATGGCGGCGCCGTCGACTCAGGGCAGACGCCTTTCGCGCCAGGGCCAAAGAGTCGCCAGGGGACAATTGTTGCTGTTCCGTTTGCTTTTTTGTCCCTTGCCCCGCGCCCAAGTGCCGGTGGCGGCCTGTGGCCCCTGCGTACTTTGCATCCGCTAAATTGAGTGTTGTCGTAGGTCGACGCGACTTGTGTCCGTCCAGCTCGCCCCTTGTCTTTTGTTGTACATATCATTCGATACCGCTTCCCAATCATCTATAGAACATGTTCAGCTTCGGCGGCTTCAGCAATCTCCACTACACAGGAGGTGAGCTTGCGAGAATGAGAGTATCATGAGAGTCTCGACGACCCAGATGCTAGGCGAGACGTTGAGGGCGAAGTAGGAAGATGCACCCGCAACAGTGGTGAGAGGTTGTTTTGATCAGAGTTACCGTTGTGGCAACGACGACCTTTCTGCTGAGTCTTCTCCTCTTCTCACGAATTTGATCTCCCCTCCGACGAGAGAAGAGGTCGCTATGCTGCCCGCTGTCCTGCTCTCGAACAGGTACAAAGGGAGGGATTTCGTACCACTCGAGATCTGTGCGGTGGCTCGAAGTCCCAGCCGGCAGCTCGAAGTGGTCCACGAGCATCGCCCCCCAGCATTAGGTAGATTCGGAGCCATGCGTCAAGTCGGTCCGCTCTTCAGCAGTACGGAGGATTGTTGGTGGACTACAAACGGCCGCGGTGAAGGGAGACGGCAGCGGCGCGCGAGACGCAAGACGATCAATGATCAGGAGACCAGGGCGAGATTGGCCGCGGCAGGGAAGCGTGGCAACCGACGAGAGCTACTGCGAGTGATGTGATGTATGGTCCCTTCTTCGACATCGCAACGGCATCTGCTATCTTGCTGGTCGTAGGGAGAGCAGGAGCTGGTGGGCTGAGGACAATGAGGGCGGAGTTTGGTGGGACGAGACACCTTGCCTATTGCAGCGGACGCCTCAGCCATGGAGCGGTGGTGACTCTCTTGCCAATGCAGCTTGAGGTGCAGCTGACCTCCGACAATCACTGGTTCTGCCTCAACTAGTCGCCGAATATGACCTGACAGGAAGCCTGCGAATCAAGAGCCTCCGAGCATTGCTCACGTCATCCCTTGGACACGGACGTGCAGCTTCCTTGACACAGGCAAACATTGGTGCGCACGCTGAGTCGGTGCTCGCTTCAACCCTTCAAGACATCAATACCGACAACGTCACGGCCCCCCTCGAACACGACGTGCGCTTCTGTTGGAAGCTGCTTATCCTTTCGCGACTAGAGTAGGTCAGTCTCATACTCTGACTCTGTTCAATAGCAGCTTCGTATGCGAGCAGCAAGACGACTTGGGAGACACTCGAGCCCAGGGTGTCCTATATTGCCCAGGAGTTTACAGGAGTCCGATTACACACGATGGGCCCGCGACTACTCTTGACACCGACCTTTCCTCGACTTCCGCCCCACGTTCGGATAAAGAAAGCCCTCGAGACAGTATCGATATCTTTGATCTGCAAGCCTCGGAGATATACAAAGCTGTCAGCGTCGACGCAGCTTGCACAGCGCGATGACATCATCATCCATCAGACGATGAAGTGGATCAACGTCATGCCCTACAAAGGAGTCGTCTTTCCCTGCCGAGGATGCAAACCTTCCGCACCGTCCTTGCTCAATCTTTCTTTCAGTTGCTCCTGATTGTCGCCAAGTCTCCTAGTGGTGACACCCTGGACATCTCAATCGTCTGCGCCATTGGATACAGACACCACTTTACAGAGACCACTTGCGCTCAGATCTTCATTCAGGCTCGACTGCCTGGATGCTCTTAGCTGAGGCACCGCTTGTCTCGCCACAACCTTTGACCAGGAATGAATAGCAGCCGACAAAGACAAGCATTTGTCTCGAAAGTAGATCGGAGCCGATTGTGGATACGAGAGGAAGAGGGAGCGCACGGCGTAAGGGGTGGTGCTATAGACGCGTGGTCCCCCGACACATCATGACTCACCGTCAAGGAGAGAGACAAACCGGGATGCCTTCCCCCAATGATGGTAGTTGGTCCTCAAGTCAAACCTTCCGCTGCTCTGCCGCTATGCGCATGGCTTCTACCGTCTCAGATATATGGCTGACATGACTCCTCTTACACTTCCCTGATTTGCGCGGGTGCAGTGGCTGGAGGACTAAAAGACCTCGGCACGACCATGCTCCGGCGCTTCAACTATTGCCTTGACCCTGTCCCTCAGCTCGGCGTCTACATTTTGTCTTCAGGGAGGCGACCGAGCCTGTGGGGGCGGTGTAGCACTTCAGCGAAAGCAGACGGGGCAAAAGGCAGTTTCCGTCTTGAAGTGAGTCGAAGAGTCTGATACTCGTATCGACGATGAGATCACTGCTTGTCCGGAAGAAGGAGCGTCTTGATCTTGGTACCGGTGATAGACATGATTATCATCGTGGTCGTGCGTGGTGGCTGGCTCCGCAATGATCGAAGGCGTGAAAAGAAGGCTTCGAGGCTGAAAAAGCCTAAAGGAGTGGGTAGGCAATCGCTGTTCCATCGCTCACTCGCTCTCCAGACCAGGGATATTACGGACAGCCTCGTAGACCATCTATAGAGCATACGCGCTGAAGCCAGAGGTGGCGACAGGGGAAGGAGAGGCGATGAGCTTGTTGGTATGGCTACGCAGCGGCGACACTGCCTTGCTTCGAAATGAAACAGAGGCAGTGCCGAGGCGAAGCTCCGACGAACTCGGAGCATGCAACGTCTGGCGAAGTGAGCACTGGATAGAAGGGCATCTCAAGATCGACTTGCGATTTGGGCAAGGCAATTTACGCCCGAGGCAATCACATGCTCTCCACCTCGGGACAAGAAGGAGAGCAAGGTTCTTCCGTGGTGACGGTGCCGACGCTCACTACGAGGAGAGTGATTGTCAGGAGAAGTGCGGCATAGGGATACGTCAGACATGGCAGACCACGCTCTGCCTTGCTGACTCTTTGCGCGGCGGTAAGAAGAGTAAAGGCTATAAGCTTGCGATGCTTGCGATCAACTTTGAAATCGTACATGGTCATTTTCTCTCGAATTCAGAATGGTTGCTGCAAGCTGTCAACAGTACCTGTGAACGGCAACCATCCTCTCTTCGTCACGACAGAAATTGTAGCGGACTTGGCACTTTGCACCTATGAACCGGTTCGATCCAAGTAAAGGTAGGGTATGACAGCCGCCGCTGCTCGTCGGATACGGCTGGAGGGGCCATGATTCCCGCGAGTTCTCTGCACACGATGTTAGTTTTCCCTGAAAGTCACGGTCCCATCCGACCGAAGAGTCCAGTCCGTCCAGTCGCGACGAGCGGAAGGGGCCCCAGGCTTCTCACCACAGGCCAGCACGGCCGGGATGGCCGTACAACATACTTGCAATGCCACTTGCAATGTCGCTCGGTCCATCGGATGCAGTTTCAAGGGCTGAGGCGGTTAAGTGACATAGTCTTTACTGCTGAGAGGACCAAGTGTTTGCTGTCCGAGTCTAGTGCTCGACTCGATGCCCAGAAATGACCGCTTCTGCTGAGCAAAGGGCCAGGAGAAGGCGCATCCGGTTGGAATTCCTCGCTTGCTGTAGAACGGCTGAGTCCATTTCGTATACGGCTGCAATAGCTGGGCTTCGTTTCCGTTGAGTGCCCTCTTCTACTTCGCGTGAATCTGCTTGTAGCGGGATGGGTCCTCAACTTCGTGAACGGGAACAGTGTCCATGCTCCGCAAGACCCATCCAAAAGCTGAGGAACGAGTATCGTAAGTCATGAATAGCATCGTAGGCTGCTCCAAAATGATGATGATGATGACGATGACGGGGACGATGCGAACATCGGACTTGCTCTAGCCCAGGCAAAGCTTGCGATGGGGCCCTTTCGAGGGAGCACCACGGAATGCAATCGTAGCGCTGCAGAGTAGCTATGACGTTTAGCCGCCCTAACTGGTGTAATGACTGAGAACTCTATCGATTTGAAGCAGCAGCATCGATCAGCAGTAGCTGGCGTAAAGGTCGAGTGGATGAGGACACGGCCACCGAGAGGTCAATCCTGCCCTCATTTTGCGCAAGACTCGAGCGATACGGCTGCAGATCTCGGACGCGCTGGTCGAAGGGCTTCAGCCATACTGAGCGGCTTTCCATGGTGTCAGCATTTCCACTGTCAGCCTGTGTTGGCGTTCCGGTGCAGATACGTATGTCCTGGCTTGACCATCTGTTCTGCCATGGGCAAGTAGGTCGCATGGCGGACGCAAAACTCTCCGCCGTGAAAGCCAGCTCGCTATGTCTGTAGAAGAAGAAGCTGTGGAAAGACAGGGGCCTCAAGTCAGGACTATACCGCGTGAGCCAGCACAGACTCACCTCTTTCGAACAAGCCGGCTTGGGAAGTGGCCACTGTAAGGCCAAGCAAGGCCGTTGAGGTACGCGGGGAAAGCTGAGTACAAGGGGCTCTCGCAGTAAGGTGGGGGGACCCAACTTTTCCAGCGCATAAGCTGGGAGTATGGGGTATACAAGTCTTGAGGCAGGCTGAGCGGAGTGCAGAGATTGCAAGGGGACGCCGATGGACTGGCTCAGGCAAAGACAGGCGGAAGAGACTCTATTCAGCTTCCCTGGCGCCGAGAGGCCATCTTTCCCCTTCGACTACCGCCTTCCCTGCTGTGCGCGTAGTCGAGCTTGGACAGTCTACCATTTGATAAGGTCAGTGGACAATGAGACGGCAGTGTGTCAGGCGGGAGAAGGTCGTCCGTCGTTCAGAAGAGGTGTGATGAGAAAGGGCAAGGAAGCTTGCTCAGTCAATGAGGAGAGCTCCAATTTCGAGCCTTGGATGTTGAGTGAGACGCAGGCAGAGACGCTGGCCAAGCCGGGTGACATTGTGAAGAAGAGAGGCAGAAGTGAACATCCCGATGACATTGGACGATACCGGTACGGCATGCTCCATCGACCAGGAGTGAGCCGAGGGCGGAAATGGACCCTGGTTGCCTGCCTCCCCGCGACTTGTCTAGCAGATAGGGGCTCGCTTCGAGTTCCGATCCGAAGTCCGCTCACGTGCTGCAAGAAAGCGCCACCCACGCGTCGCGCTCGACTGATATCGCTTGGGGACTTGATCAATCCTGCACAGACCGTACAGACATCCTCTCTCGATCAGGCAGAGAAGGTGCAAGACGATGCAAGACGAAATGTGCAGGAACCCAGCATGGACACCTAGGTGACCTTTCACACGCTTGGAGTCCACCCGGGTATCATCCTCTTGGCGCGCATGCACGGGTAGGCTCGCTCCCTATGATGCTCCACCAGCAGCCACGCCTTCGCCTCACCACACCGCCCTTTGCAGACCATTACTGCGAGTCACCTCTTCGCCGAGCCGTATCGATCTGTACTGGACAGCAGAGATAAGCTGACTCTCTAGCGTACCAAGCTCTAATGCGCTGTCCCAAGCGCGCAGCCTCGCAAGGACGCTCCTCATCTGACAAGCTTTGGTGTGGGCCTCATCCCTGGCTTCCGGCAAGCTCACTTTGCTTCGAGACGCCTGGCAGGCCTTGCAGATCCTTCTTGCTGGCCACACCAAAGAAGCTCATAGACCTGGCACACCCGCTCTTCGATGATACGCGCTGCTTCAGCGCTCCCAAGTCAGAGACCTGGCTCAGCACGACTTAGGGTCTTGAGGTCTTTGTCCCGCCGAGGGTACTGCGCTGTCAGACACACTTCTCGGTGCAGTGAGCCTCGCAAGCTGTGAGCCTTGCATCAGGGACCTTCATAGCCATACCACTCTCAGTACGAGGCTCAAACCTCCCGCCTCTACCTACGATCTCGAGACGTAGATGGAGTCTATCGCTGGACTTCCCTTCAAGCTTCCCTTAAGGCAGTTCCGATCTCTTCGACCTCTTTGTAGGCAGCCCTCATCCTCGCCGAGCTTGTCAAACGCCTTCGCATAGAGACCTGGAACATAGCGCCGTATTGCTCAAGCACTGGGGGATACTGCGCTGCCCAAGTCCATCTGCCACTGAGATGCACCTAGCATGGGCTATACCAAGAGATGCTTGCGAGCAACGTCCTTGCACATCCTTTCCGGTCGTCCCGAACATAGCGCAAAAGGTACCCCTCGATGACATTCCGTCTGCACAGGCTGCTTGTCCTAAACGGGTACCGGCTCGCACAGTCTCATGTCGTCACGTTGCACGGAGCTTCTGTTCGCAGCCACAGGCATACTGAACAAGGGCATCATACTGGCGATGTGGACACCCATTGCGCTAAGAGCTCGAATGGCTCAGCAGCGAGTCATCTTTGCGAAGCACTTCCGGCTATTTACCGGAGTCGCCGGCACGCTACTTTACGTCTTCTTCAAGCTCGTGGTTGGACAAAAGACGAAAAGATGTCTTCTACCGCTCGAGTGACTGTTTTACTGCAACTTCTGCCCGACGAAGACCGGACAATGACCTCGGATATACTCCTCGGTGAGCTGGTGCCAAACTCTCACCCCTCCGTCCCTTCTGGAAGACTAGTATAAGATGATCAGGAGCCTACCCATCAGACTTCCAAGAGCACGGTATCGGCATGGAGACATGCACAATCAAGAGTATGCGCGCCACGAGCAACAGACGACAACGAACATCGCATTGCCTACCGCAGATATCGCGGGGACTTCTGACGCTTCGATCCGCTAGTTGATTTCCGGATCTTGCACCCCGAGCCGATCCAGCGGCCAGCGGCAAGCAATGCGTGGCTAGCAGCGAGGAACCAGCAACCAACCTCTGGCAGCCCTCGCAGGCATATGATCATCTGACGAGCCAGAGGAGACTCCAACACGGGCGCTGGACTCACTGAACGATCCGTTTTGGTTCTTGACTTGCTCTTGCTCACCTCCTCGGTCTCAACATCGCTCTTCAGTTCCCTTACCGGCGGTCGACCGGGCAGGACGGAGTCCTTGCTGATGCTACGATCCTGTGCGAGACGTGCTTCTCTGCACAGTGGCACCGCCGTGTGCCGTTTCGCCTGTATCAGAGTTCCAGCGTTGCGACGTCCTACCCGAAGTGGCAGGAGAGGCCATGTAGAGAAAGGCCTCGAGGACGTCCAGTGCAGAAGAGCGCAAGGACAAACATAGCAGCAGAGGCGAAAGCGAGGGTAAAGGCGAGGGAGCTAAATCTCAATCTTCGCATCCCATTCTGTGCTGTGCGTCTTGTGCTATCCGGTAGGCTGCACAAGTCGCATCGCAAAAGGGAGGCGGAGCGCAGACGAACACCAAGGATCGCAATGGGGCCAACGGGCCTGTCAGGGACGGCCCTGGGAAGGGGACAGATCGACTCATATCGGACAGCGCATGCATCTTCGTTCAGGCTGTGGCCCTGTTTCAAAAGCACAGGCAAGGACATGATGTGGGACTGAGGTACGGGCCCAGAGCTGGAGCTTGGTCCGGCGGCGAATCATTGCTGCAGTAGGGGCAAGTACCTGTGTCGATCCTGAAAGCGGGACCGAGAAGTAAAGTCACGATCAGAGTGCCCTGAGACCAAGGACGGCTTTGGGCTGCAAGACGATAGTTCCTCCGGCTCCCGGCGCACCGCTCGTGCTTGCACTCACGATGCGCCAATGCAGCAACAAGGCCCTCATTCACGTCCGCACTAGCCCTGAGAATGAACTCTACAGTGACGACTGCAAGCCATTGAGCGCTACAAGGAAAGCAAGAGCAGAGCAGGATCTGACGTTAATGCCCGCCTCAATACCGCTGCTGTCAGCATCCGAATGTCTACCTCTAGTCCGACACTGATGTTTGTTTTACGCTCGACTAGGCTGGGCCCACTTCAAAGGGCACACATTCGGCGAAGTCCCCCTGGCCAGAGGTGGAAGACCTGCACCTCGAATCAGGTCTGACACGTCAACGTACAGGACGCAAGGCTGGAAGATGAGGATTGGAGGGTGCACTACACTAGACTGGAGCGCGGAGAAGGCCAAGGTGTACGGTCGACGATCGAGGGCTGCTGTCTGCTGCAAAGTGCGCTACACGGACGTCACGCTGTATCCTACTCTTCCTGTCACGTCCTGTCAATACATGTCAAGTCGCATGTGTCGTGCTTCACTACCATACGTTGGGCAAGTGGCACATCGAGCTCGAAGCTGATCATGACTCCATTCTCCAAATTGACTAGAACGAAGTGCAGGCGCAGGCGGACATACATGTAGTGACTTTGGGTCAGCAATGTGCTTGTGAGGTAGCGGACTGAATGAGACAATGGAAAACAGTTGCGTCCCCTCAAGTCCGCACTTGTCCACCTTCCACTCTGAGTTGTGCTGGTCGTAAAGCACGTATACACACAGTAGTCGAGGGAGACGCAGCGCTTGGAGGTCGCCCGGGCTCCTGCTCCTGCTCCTGCTCCTGCTCCTGCTCCTGCTCCTGCTCCTGCTCCTGCTCCTGCTCCTGCTTCTGGAGCCAACGTCTCTCTACCTCCATCTCTTTCTCTTTCTCGATCCCTACTTTATTCCAATTCCTGCTCCTACTTCGCTTCGCTCCTCTGCACCTGCACCTGCACCTGCGCCTGCACTTGCACTTGCAAGCATGCGCGAAAGAAGAAGTGCAAGTGCAAGTGCAAGTGCAAGTGCAAGTGCAAGTGCAAGTGCAAGTGCAAGTGCAAGCTGCAAACGTCGCCATCTTGCTCTCGCTCTCGCTCTCGCTCTTGCTCTCGCTCTCGCTCTCGCTCTTGCTCTCGCTCTCGCTCTCGCTCTCGCTCTTGCTCTCGCTCTCGCTCTCGCTCTTGCTCTCGCTCTCGCTCTCGCTCTCGCTCTCGCTCTTGCTTGATTGATTGGGGCCCCTCTTCTCTTCCTCCTTGGTGCGGCACGGCAGACTTGAGGTACGCCAAGGCCTCTTCTTCTTCTTCTTCTTCTTCACAGAAGAGGCCAAAAGAAAAAGGACGTGTCCGGCCCTACCGTGCCAGATAGATAGAACGAGCTGCGAGTGCTTTGTGGTGGTGCGGTGGGGTGGGAGAGTGCTAGTGCCTTCCCTTCCTCCTTCCTTCTTTGCTGCCCTTTGGACGGGACGGGACGGGACGGGACGGGACGGGACGGGAAAAGGGTGCCTTCACTCTGTCATTGTTATGACTGTCACAGGAAAGCGTTGCATTGGCAGCGCATAGAGCACACAGTGATCTCTCGTAGCGTGAGGATTGGGCCGCTGAGCCCTGAATGGGGTGCAGACAGCTCCAGACGGACACAAGTGGTGTGCTCTCCTCTGGGACGACTTCCCTTTAGCCGTCTTGCCATACTCTTTGGGCTGGATCTTGTCCCAACGCCCGCCGCCTGCATCTGGTGACAGGCATCCAGTACACTCCTCTTGCCCTGATCAGGTAGCGCCAGACTTCCCAGCTTCCATGGGTAACGCGAGGAAGCGCAGAGCCGTAAATTGGTTGTAGAAGCTCGCAGTCGCTGCCGTCTTGTAGCAGAGGCTAAGCCCAAGACGATCGGTGAGGGCCTGCCAGAGGCCAAAGGCGAGCGGTGTTGAGTGTCCTCCATTTCGTGGCATGTCCTTCAATCCGCTGCCCACTTCCCGCTGCATTGGGGTGGGGAGCGAAAGGAGCCTTTCGTGGGATTCAGCTGTTGAGACTCGTAATTTTATGCCATACAGTATTGTGCAGTGAGTCGGATGATATCTTGACCTCTCGATCCTAGTCGTGCGGAGCTTTCACTGAGCGCAATGGTGCTGTCTGGTCCTGAAGTCCCCTTCGAGTCGAGTCGATTGACCCAGGTTGCAGCGTTCGAAGAGAACATGTGCTCACGTCGGCCGCCGTGCATAGTAGAGACGGGAGGCTCTGCAGATGATCATGGCGAAGGCTACGCCGCCCTGCTTCGCCGCAAGCGCATCCTGCTCTGTGCTTGCGTATCGCCGATCGCCAAAGAGAAAGAGCGAAGAGGACCTTGACTTGGCCTGAACAGAGTACTTGCTACTGGTTCACGCCCTCTTTTCTTCCAGCCCATATCAATGCTACTTTGATCGCACCCAGATCCGCCAGTCCCACGACAGTGTCCAGCTGGTCCTCTCTACTTGCGTACGGGAGCGAGCACAAAGAAAGGTGTTGAGATCCAGCACAAGGCAAGCCAGAGGGAGCGGAGGTGGAGTGTCGGACTTGCAATGTTGAGCAGAGCTCGTGATGCCCAGCGGTATGTCATTGTTTGCCGTCGTGCAAATATGTTTGTTTGATCGTCTTTGCGTGAGCTGAACGAGCCTCTGGCTTGATTTGACAATCGATGCCGGCACCACAGCGCAGTCTGTCTACATCAGTTGTATGACCTGCGGGAGCTGCGAGAGGCCTCCGGATGACGGAGGATTACGTCTTGAGCAGAGCGTGACACAAGACTCATACGCTGTGAAAGCCAGACGGCCCATGAGGCGACTTCGACTCCAGGGCTCTGCCTTCCGAGCCAGCTGATGGAGGCTGCATTTCTGTCGTTCGATGAGCAATTGAGGAGCGGGGAGACCTTATCGCTGATCGAAGCAGTGCTCGTCCACCCGCCCAGTCCGGCCGTTGAGCGTGTCGTGCTGCATGATCGCTACAACCTCGTAAAAGGCGCTGTCACCGAGGCTTGATGATTGCCGAATCAGATCTCTTTCCGAGGGACAAGGTGGGTGTGTCCTATCAGCGCATGCTGGTATCCCCAGCTACATTCACCATTCCTCAATCTGGGCCCGAGCAAGCGCAGGGCAGTGCCTGTGGTGGTGCACGTTGGAGATGGGGCCCTCAGAGTGGTGGGAGGTTCTTCTCCTCGCAAATACCCTGGCGCTCCGTGTGTATCTAGTCTCAGGGATCAACATCGAGCAGTAGCCTTGTGAAGGCTTGGCTCAAACATAGCTTCCCTCTGATCTGGCGCTGCATAGCTCGAGGTTCCAGTTCCGTGGGTGCGTGGTAGCTGCTGTTGTCCTCCTGCTACCACTCGTGAGCTGTACTGTACAGTCGCTCTCTATCCCTACGAGAGTCGCACGCCATTGAAGTTTGGTGGTGGGATGCGTTGCAGGGCGGCTGGGCGGATACTTGAGCGAGGGAGCAGGAATGCGAGGCAGTGCAGCTCTGATCTGCTCTGTATCGCTCGTGAGACATCTTCCAGCCGGGGGTACAGCCACTGCCCATCTCTCCGCTATCTGCTGATGAACATCACCACCGCAATCTGCTAGAACGGAGCTGCGGGCGCACGAGAGATACGGGGAGAGGTATAGAAGAGGAGTGGTGCTGCTCGAAGTGGGCAGAGGAATGAGGAGGCAGAGCACAGAGGCAGGCGGAATAGGGGTGTTCTTTCGAGGGTGGTGGTGAGCAGCCGCGTGTATCGGTGTGGATTGGACGTGACCAGCCTGGCACTCCATCAGTCGCCCGAGGTGTAGAGCAATGCTGAAGTCATGTCGAGGATCAAGATGCCAAAGCCAAGACCCAATCCGCCAAGGGAGGGAGGGTCCACCCAAAGTCCAATCTTGCCAGAGCGGGGGAGCAAGTGAGAGTCGAGGCGGGGATGGGTGGGCGGGAGTGGGCACGTGGCGCTTCCCTGGCCAGCCTCTTCCCCTCAAGCGAGGGTTGGGGCCCGTGCGCTGACTTGAGCTCCAACTCCAGTGACATTGCTCATCGTCTCTTTTCTCTCTCACTCTCTCACTGCTGGGCCACAGTGGATGGGGCTGACTTTGCAATGACACTGCGCACACCAACGACACAGACAGACAGACAGACAGACAGAGCGAGAGGAGAGCACAAGGGGGCAGAGTCCAGGGTGGAGACTCCCATTGGCAGTACAATGAGTGTCTGAAGTGGGGCGATGGCCACTTTGCTCAGACCCGAGGTAGAAATGCCAGTGGTGGGTGCTGCAGGGTGCATGTGCAAGTGCGTCTGATCCCAGCCTGCACACTTGGTCTCTGCCCCCCCTTTGGCCTCGAGTCGCACTGCTGCCTGTTGCGCTTGCACTCGGCGGCCCCTCGGCTTGCTCCCTGTCCACTGCTGCTGCCCCTTTGAGCCTTGCAATCCCACACACATCGCCCCGCCCCTCGACTTGGACACTGACCCGGGCAAAGGTTCACCAGGGGGGGGAGTGCACTTTCCTTTTGTCGTCTTCTGTCGATGAGTATAGACATGCCATTGCCCAGACCCCAGTCAGCTTCGTACCTCGTCTCTCAATGGATGTGGTGTGATGCACGGTAGCACCGCGCCCTCTTGCCTCTGGCCCTTCACACACAGTCGCACTCCGGGTTTCGCGCTCGAGAGAAGTAAGAGGGTCATGGTCAAGGACATTCCAGGCCATTTGCTCTTGGCTACCAGCCCACCAGAAACCACCTCGTACCTGCGTATCTGCATTGCATTCAGCAACTCTGGACCTCTCCTGGCGATGAACACTGGCAACGGTCGTTCACTCGCTCCCTCGTTCCCTCGCTCGCTAGCCCCCACTAGATGCGGCACTCTGCCCTGCCCGTCTCCCGGAGTCTTCAACGTCTGCTGTAGATGAGCCTTAGCGTTCATGCTCATCCTGCTACTCCTTCGCGTGGCAACACACTGCTCTTGGCTCTGATCGAGTTGCGCTCTTGCTTTTGCTCCTACAAATTGGGCGAAAATGGTCCGAGGAACGGTTGCCTTTGCTGCCAGCACCACCAATTCCTCGAAGTCAAGGTAAGCACAGAGCCAGAGTTACTCAAGGGATTGGCGCTTCACTTCTTCTTCTCATATCCTTGTCCTCTCCCCTCTCACCCATAAAGAGGCGGAAGTTGAGCTCATCCTCGGCTGAAGCAGGGGACTCCCTCGGCCAGTCAACCAGATCCCCACCAAGCAATGGAGCGTCGTGGCGAGCCGTGCTTCTTCCAACATGAACATCAAGCCTACTCAAAGGGCTACCTCCGCGCCTTGTGTCCACCTGCCAGAGAACGTTGGCTAGCACCTGCTAGGGCCGCGAGGGATGCGCTACGCAGGCAAGATGTGAGTCGCCTCGGGCCATCGATTGAGGACCGCTAAGATGGACCTCAGCCAAGCATCTTTCATTGTACTCACATCGATCTTCACCACTCCACCTCCTTCACCATGTCCAAGCGCACCGACTTCCTCGACCTCGGCTGGGAAATCGCCTGGCAGTCCGCTGCAGACCTATCGCCAGTCAGACCAACACAGAGCCCACAAGCAGCAGCTCCTCCAACGCCCTGGGTGCCACGCCCACTGACAGCCGAGGAGCTCAATGCGCCCTTTGGAAGCTTTCAAGATAGCACCACAACAGAAGGAGGAGAAGACGATGACACTCACCAAGCCAGCACATCTGGGATGCAGTACTCTTTCCATTGCGAGATGGAGGAGCACCTTGCCGAAGCTCGAGCCGAAGATGAAGCTGAAGCCACCAGTGACTCTCCGGGAAGCAGAGGAGATGGAGACGCAGAGGCAGAGGCAGACGATGAGGTGGGGGACGAGGAATGCAACACATCCTCCCGTATCATCCAACAGGAAAATGAATCCCACCGCATCGGCTTCGTAGGCTTTGCGCAATTCACAGAGGACGCACATAGGCGCTCCAGAGTACCGCTGCCTGCTGGTATCTCGGAGGAGCAGGAGCTGGAGCTGGAGGTGAATGTGGTGAGTGTGTGTGGCAGGCGGGTTGAGGTAGGGCTGCTCCACCTATACAGATCGTACAGTACTGATAGCCCTACTTCCCCTGCAATGATGCTTCTGCCAACCCACGCACGCAGCAAACAGCCATGCAGCTCGACCTCCTCAATCTCAGACTGATGATCACCCGCTTCCACAACATCCTCGACCCCCTCGAGCCACCACGCGATAGCGTCGACCTGGCCTGGGTGCGAGCGACACACGCCGAGCTGGACAATCTCTTTCGTCTCTGGTACGAGAATGGGGAAAAGGTGGTGAGAAGGTACTACAGACGCCTGCAAGCTGATGGAGGGAGACTGACATCTCTGAGCGAGATCAGCAACAACGCTTCTGCCTCCTCATCTTCAGGAAGGCGCTCAGCAAGAGTCTCCCTCCGAGCCAAGGCAGCAGAAATCGTCCTCTCCCTCCTCTCTCGCTCCATTGGCCCAGACTTTGTCGATGTCGATGCTGGAGCCTGTGCTCCACTTTGCGCCTTTGTTCGACCTATGGACCAGCTACTGGAACGACGAATCCACGAGCGATTGGTGGAGAGTACCGAGTGGCTTAGGATGGACGAGGAGTGGTACACTCTCTTCTCTCGCGTCGCGCAGAGGCTGGGGGACTTCTATAAGGAGACGGTCCTAGAGGGCGGCAGCACACCCTCTACTTCTGCTGCTGCTGGTGCTAGTGGAAGCTCACGTCAAGGTTCTTTTTCAAGCACGCACCATCCTCATCCTCTTCCTCATCCTCATCCTCATTCTCATCCTCGTCACCTCTCGCTCCCCTGGCTACCAGAAATGGAGCGCGACGTCTACTCGGAGCGAGACGTGTACTCGCGAATCTACTTGCTGGAGCTACTCAGGGAAGGGTGTGCACAGATTGTTAAAGTGCAGGTGCAGAGGTGCAGCAGTGGAAGTGGGAGTGGGAGTGGGAGGGTTCGGGGAAGAGGAAGAGGAGGAGGAAGGGTGAGGGAGTGATCGCAGTAGGGTGACGGGCAGGTTGGCGTTTGAAAATGGAGCAGAAGGAGGATGGGGAGGGGGAGACACTTTGGTACCAAGCGAAGCTCTTGCTTGTCAGGCTACTATTTTCTTGTCGAATGCTAAGAACTTGCTCATGCCGATACGCAGGCGCTTCTTCTGTGTAGTCCACTCTGAGCTCAGAAAGTTGACAGCACAGTCTCACACAATGTAAGGACAAGGTGCTGAGCGCAGATGTGAAACTGGCGAATTAGAAAGAATAGAAGCCTGAACAGCACAAGAGACATGTAGGACACACGAACAGTCACGTACTGTAGATGACTCGACTGGCTCAAGGACGCACGGCATTAGAGAGCCTGGTACTGTACTCGATGATCGTCTGGTCAGCAGCACCTGCACCTGCGCCTTTCCCTTTCTCTCCAGCTTCACCTTCAGCTCCACCTTCAGCTTCAGCTTCAGCTTCAGCTTCGCCTTCGCCCTCCCTTTCGGTTTCGCATGGCTGAGTCGAGCCAGAGGCCTCTGCAACAAATGAGCCCACTGAAGCGGACGACGCCCTCGAGCTCGCCCCGTCACCACGACCATAACCGTAACCGTGACCGTCACCATCACCATTGCGACGTCCGGGCGGAAGGATCGGCGAGCCGCCTCTGCACTCCAGAGGTCTCGAGACGTAGCGTGAGCCACGTCGCTGGCCGAGCTCGCTGGGCAGAGGCATTGATGGACCTGGGTGTCTAGCCATCTGCCCCTGCCCCTGCGCCTGCACCTGTGCTTGTGCCTGTGTCTGTGTCTGTGTCTGTGCCTGTGTCTGTGTCTGTGTCTGTGTCTGTGTCTGTGCCTGTGTCTGCGTCTGCGCCTGGCGAGTGGCACCAGCACGCTGTCGATGCGCCATCAATCTCTCACGACAGTCGCTCAGACGGTACAGGTACCGGTGGACCAGCCTGTCTGAGATGACCGTCTCCCCTCGTGGGGCCGGTACGCCCAATACGCCCAGGAGTACATCGAGCTGATCCAGAAGCTCCGACAGACCAATGTGCTTGCCCGACCGATTGTGGGCTTGGCCCACTTCGTGCTCCAGATAGCGATCCAGCGGTCGTAGGATCGTGACGGAGGCAGAGGCATTATTGCTCGGAAGGGTCATCTTGGCGCGTAGACAGTCAAAGAGCTTGTTGATGGAGTCTAGGATTCGTCGGAGCTGATCGGCAGTGGGATTGCCAGAGCGGATCACACCTCGTGGTCGTTCGTCCGGGGTGAGGGCTTTGGTGACGTATTTGCGGATAAAGGCAAAGCAGCGCTCGTCCCGCAGGATGGCTTCCTCCTGGAGAGAGAGAGTAGGCGGTAAGGTCGGCTTGGTGAGAAATGCTGTCTAGCGCTTTGAGCTGGAGAAGCTCTTCGACTCACCAGCTTCTTCTTAAACAACTTGAGGTCTTTGTGAGACAGCCTTCCTTGCCAGTCTTCATCGCCCTCGAGTGCAGACCCAGAAGCTACGAACTTGATCACAGTAGCAGCTTCGGCCTCTCCACTGCCGGTTTCGTCTTCTTCCTCGAAACTGTCCTCGTCGAGCGAAGGAAACTCTGCAGCGGCCTCGTGCCGATTCGTCATCTTGCACCACGAGTCATCCCCCGCCTCTTGAAAGTCTGTTGATGAGCTTCCTGACTTGTTCTTGATGGTGCCCCAGCTCTGGAACCACTCAAGAGGAGGTGTCCCCCTCTCGTGCTGTCAGATGGATGTGACGATGTCAGCTTCTGAGGAGAGCAATCGTCTGACTGTCCTGAACGAAGCACATCAGTAGCATCACCATCTTGACTCACCTCCCTGTCCCAGAACTCCTTTGCCCAAATATGGCCTAAGCTCTCCTGACGATTGCGTTCAAGAGAAGGATCGAAGTCTGGTCGAGCCCTTAGAAAGCTGCGTAGATGTGGCAAACGAGTGCTACCGAGCAAGACCCAGCAGTCTTCACGATGAACTTCCATCGTTGTGTATGAGGTGGTTGTACCTTGTCCTCGAGGAGGTGATAGGCAGAGTTGAGAGATGAGTTGGTGGTCGTCTGTAGGCTCGAGGTTTGTATGTGACAGAAAGAGCTATAGGTGTGAGCACTTGTGGCTCTGAAGACCCGATTTATCTTTCCTCAAGAGGGAGCCACCGCGCTGACGAGTAGTAGAATCATCCTCAACAGTGAATGTGGTCGCAATAGCAATATGTGCACCGCCGCCCCTCTCCTCCAAAGGCAATAAAGAAGACAGGGCCAAATTAGCAAACGGAGCCAAATAGTCTCTGCCCATTGCGTGATCAGGGCAAGGGGCAGCCTTGATGGTCCTCGAGCGCGTTGCACCTAAACCTTCACCGGAGACGTGGGGAGTATAGCTCCAGACCCCTTCCTGAAGACAGGCAAAGCTCCGAGTGTTGGCCTACGCGAAAGCGGTGGTGTGGTGTCCTGGCCACGCCTTTACTTGGCTACGTACGAGATGCCTCCCCGCGAATCAAGTAGCCGACTCCCTCCCCACCTCACATTCCTCTTTTGCGTCGGAGCTCCGATCAATCGAACTCAGGTACCGAACAAACCCGCTGCGAGAGCAATGGCGCCAGGACAAGGTGCCTGAGCGACCGAGGTCGAGGTGGTCAACGAGTGGAGGCACCGAGAGGCTCGCTCGAGGAGAACGTCCGCCTCTTGCAAGATACATGTAGATTGGAGGGATTGTGTGGGAGCCAGTCTGACCCATTTTGCTGGTTGGGCCTTCATCAGACACTCTTTCTCTGGGCGTCACTCTTGTATCTGTGGAGGTCTTTCCGATGCTTGGAGCGATACTCTAGCTTCCTGGTCTGCCGAGCGGCCAAGTCGGCATCGGCACTACTGATTTGGGATTCGGTGAGAAAGAATGGTACAGCGCACATCCAAGCAACGGCCTCTCCAAAAGTGTCCGCTGAGCCTCGGAGGCCGGTGCCTCGCCCACTGGGTCCTCTCGAGGTGGGCTGGGCGATTCGGTGTCCGCACAACAGGCAGATTGGGATGAAGCCGTCAGCGATACGAGACGCAAGGCGAGGGAGGGGAAAGCAGCAGAGTACGCCGTACACCCTCCTGAAGGGCAAGGGAACCTCCAAAATTCCTACACTAAGGCGCATTGCTCTAGTGAGTACAGAACATGGTGTTGTGCACCTGATGGTGATGCTTCTTGCTGACCTGCATCGGCGCTCCACTTTCGGCGTCTTGATCGGTTCCTACACCCTGAAACAGCGCAATAGCTTGGAGACTTGCCGATCTCCACCGTTGTACGAAGAAGCACATACGGCAACGCCAAAGTTGCAAGGAAGATGATTGAGCGACTCTTATATTGGCGGTGATCTTTGCAGGCTGGGGAGATGCGGCTAGGGCGCAGCCGATCGGCTATACTCAGGCCAGCCTGTGAGCAGTGATTAGCACGCTACGCAATGGGTGTGGCCGAGCTATCGCTGGACCAGGGGCCAGGACACATACTTTCGGAAGAGTTTCTTGGCTTCAAGCTTTGGAGATCGGCTTGGGTCGGATCAAGGCTGTGAAGGATGTAGGTGCACCGGGAAATCGCACAGTGGCGGCAATTCGCCATGTATTGTGAGAGTGGAACACAGTGAGCCGCGAACATCACGGCGGTACTATAGTCCGAGAGAGTTCGCGACTTATTCTCATGTCCGCCTTCTTGTACCCGCGTCTGCGCGACTCACAGATAGCTCGCTCTCTGCGCTGTCTGAGCAATCGGGCGGCTGATGGTTCGAGCAGTTGTATCTACACGACTGGGTCGGAAAGTGTAGGCTTTGACTGAGTCCCTTGCGCTCTTGGTGTGTACCTGCCAGCTTCGTTCCCATCTCAGTGTGACTAGCTCAGATCCGAATGATCAGAAAGAACTGCTACTGTTCTCCACGTGTGGAGTCGAGATCGCATCAGGGGATGGACGCTGCTTTCGAGCGGAGACCAGGATTCTTTCCCGTTGGTGATGTTCACGCAATGCCAACGAAGACGCTGTCTGAACCGTGACAGTAGGCGAGGAGATCTTGACTGCAAAGAGCGCTCCTTGGCGGTCCGCTCCGCATGAGGCAGAAGAACACAAAAGGAAAGGCTGGTGTACTTGAGTGGTTGTCTAGGTTGGATTGGAAGCTATTTGGCTCCTACCAATCACGGCACCGTGACTGCGTCCCCGGCTCTGCGATTCAAGATGGACTGTAGAAGTAGCCAGACGAGTTTTTGTCACAATTTCGGCAGCGAAGTTGATGCTGATCCCTCGGAGGACGATTGCAAAGCAGTCTCGAGGGCATAGCATTATAGTGGATACTTTTTCGTGGCAGCGTCTTTCACAGCCTAGTCAGGAACATAAAGCGGCGTTGTGGCGAGCTAGTCCTGCGTGGCGTTTAAATTTGGCGATTCGATATTCTGCAGAGCCGTCACATTCATGGCTCAACACGTAAGAGGCGGGATGAATGTGGTGAAGGCCACGTCTGCGCCGACGTCAGGCATCCGAGGCAGATTTCAAGCAGGAGATCTTGTAGATCCTGCTGCGTGCAACACCCTCGCCTTCTCTTTGTGGTGATGACTTCCATAACGGGCAAGGCCGAGCTTTCCCTGCTCGTTCCGATGAGGTAGTAGTTGGTGAGGAAGACGCTCGCAGCAGACAAAGGGAGTGGTGCGCCTTCTGCGAAAGGAGTCTGTCCACGCCTCGGCTGTGATCGTGGCAATGTGGGGAAATCCGGTGCGGAAGCGGAAGCAGCCACGCGACGCGCCTCATTCCGGCGGCACGGGATTTCCGAGTAGGCCCGAGGGCTCGGGCACCTGAGGTAGGGAGATACAGTAGAGAGAATCACTCGGGTGACCTATGTTGCCTGGCAGATAGACTTTGGACTGTCTCCTCAGAGCATGACAAGACGGACCTTACAGCCCGACTCGCACCAGTACCTCACTTCCCAAGATCCAATCAAATGAACTTTGTCCCCATTCGCGAGACCGTGACGCCTCACCTTACACAACCTCCACTCCGACCCCTCCCGCTCACGCCGTTCCGCGTGCCATGCACTGCACTGCAATCTGCACCGAGGTTCAGGCGGTTACGCCACTATCAGTCACTGGCAGTCTCTGGGTGGAGCCAGCCTGGCTCGTCTGAGGAGCAGGTATAGAGAGGGACCGCGAGTATGCTATCAGCCACGCGAGGGCGCCTGACTGCCCAAATGGTGCGCGACAGATGCTGCTCGGTAGTAAGAGTGTATACTTTGGAGTCCTGAGGTCCTGTCCTTTGCTTCGCTCAGCACTGGACTGTGCTTCGAGCGGACGACGGAAGATCCCTGGCCCAACGCTGTACCTGTTCCACGGACGTATCTCGTTTTTGAGCCGCATATATGCTATGCTATACTTTTGCTTGTGCCAGAGCATGGCAGGCACTGGAGGTGTATGTGGGGATCACGGGGATTAGTGAGTGCAAGTAACAGAGATCAAGGGAAGGGCAGACGCCTGTGCAAGATGTAGTGGATCGAACAAAGTAGAGCCAAAATTTGGATTTCAAGAGTGCAGGTCAAGGCTGCACAGCGTCTTTACGAGTCAAAGGGAATTCAAGATGTACACGTGGTCTGTATCTCAACTGGTATCGTTCTCTTGTATCTCTCCGCCCATCGCTTCTTTCATCCTTTGCAAAGGGCTTGCTAAATAATCCACAGGGCTGCCTCAGTGGATGCCAATAGAGCGCAGCGTGAGGCAAAGGTAAGACACACGGAGGCTCAACTCTCGAAGGGCTTACACTGGCTGCTGTCGAGCAGTAGCAAGGGCTGCGCTCATTCCTGTGCGGGGTCATCATCGCGCTGGAGGAACAAAGCGGCTGGTAGAGGTGTGCAAGCGAAATCAGCTGTCCGTTGACGTTCTGTGCGCTCAGCTGATCTGTGGCTCAGTAATTACAGATGCTATCATCGTCGCTCATACTCTCGGCTACTTGCAGATCCACTTCAGACACGTCCAGAGTCTTGTAGATGAATTTCTTGATATCACGAAGCATGGTGCTCTTCCTGGCAGCTTCAGTCTTATAATACGCCATGAGTCGAAGCTTGAGGCGAGCATCAGTGTGAAGCCCGCGATAGTGGTCAACCTCTCCACTGTAATAGACTACTTCGGCTTTTTGGGCGGCCAGCTCGTCTTTGAGGGCCTTGTTTTCCTTTCGCCAAACCTTGTTCTGCTTTCGCAAGCGCTTGAGCTCGCGGAGAGCAGCCTTCTCTTGACGTCGAGCCTGTGAGGTTTCACCGTCTATCTTTGGCGTTGCGTCGGAAGGCAGCGAGTGCTCAGTCTGCGTTCCGATCTCGGGCTTGACGTCGATGTGCTGAGCGGGGCTGGTCATCTTGACGCTTTGCCTCGATCTAGGGGTGATGGTAAGCACCCGAGCTGGTCGGCAATGGTCGTGAGAGGTGTACTTACAAGACTCGCAAAGTGGACGGGTAGGTGAGGAGGGTGAGAGATGAAGTGGACAGGAAGGTAGGAAGGGAAAAAGGGATGGGCACGAACAGAGGACGCAATAAAGCTCCTCTGCAACAGTGCGCCGGACCCGGTTCTCCCAGTCTGTCCCATCGCTAGCCTCGCCTCGAGTCTAAGCAGACACTTGGCAACACTCCGGCGTCTGACACCTCCCCCCTGCCTAGCGGAAAACGTCGCCCCGAACGGCTTGTGTACTCGTGCCTCTTGATCACGAACAGCTCCATACCAGACACACAACGCCCGCGGCTGGTGGCGCTGTTCATCAATTGCCGCCAAGCACCCGCGCGACAATCTGGCAGAAGATCTAGAGGAGAGAAACGAGACGACCTTCCTCTTCCATCTTCCCTCCTCTCATCTTCCTACCGCTACATCATGCCAGATCTCGGCAGAGGATACCTTCACTGCCGCTCCATCAGCCTCGTACGGCAAACAAGATCAGGGAAGGTCGAGCGATGAAGACTGCGCCTGCAGATGAGTCACGAGGTGTTCCTACGGCTCCAACATGGAGGGATGTGACTTTTCCTGGAGCCGTAGTGAGCACCCCTCGCTATCATGCTCCACCTGAGACACTACAGTAGCACGGTGATAAACATCACCCCTGACGATTTTACTGCGAACAGCTTGCATTAGCCTACCTCACCACTCTCAAAGCTGGGCTTGCGGTGGAGCTGTGACTACCACTTTACCATCTTCTGATCCTCTGGGCAATTCTGAAGGCTGTGGGAAGGTGCATGAGGAATGGTCTTGTGCCTCTGGTTCGCTCGCGCCACGGTGAGCCTTCGTCGACAAGCTTCCGCTGGTGCAGGATGCCCACTCCTGACACATTCTTGTCTCTGATGCTTCCCACCGCTCTGTATCACAGATCTGATACAAGGTCACTTTCTTGCTCACTATTGCTGAAGTCTTTTCCGGTCTCTCGAAAGACTACTCATGGTCATCAATGCTCGCAATGCCAGCTCAATCGAGCTGTTCGCTTATTGAGGACCGACGGCGCTCTACTTGCCCAAGGCCTTCAAAACGGAAATTCCATCGCTTCAGTCATTCACTCAATTTTGTCATGGGCTACCACCATTCCTTAGTGGGACCACGAGACATACGCGCAACTGCCCGATTCACTTCGCCACAGGCCGCTTTGGTCTGTGTCTTCTCTGCTTGTGACTGGTCTTCCAAGTCAATCAAGGAAGAAAGCAGCGCTTCTCTCGCACACGGGAGATCGTTACCTATCGCTACATCTTCCGTTTTATGCTAGCTCAGGGTTGAGGAATGGGAGAATCTAAGAAGCAAAGTATCTTTTCGACAGTCTCGGCGTCAAGGACGACCTTTGACACCCTTGCAAAAGCAGTGGTTCCAGGTCCTCTCGGAAGATGCGAAAGCTAACACTCTATGGACGTTTTTGAGGAGATCATTGAGTCTTGCTCGAATGGCATCAACGCTGATGATTTATCGTCAGCGCCTGCAAAACTCTCACGTGGAGACATCGGGCTCCCAAACACCTAGGCGTGGATTAAGCAGTCCTTCCCGGCGGATACGTATGGGTAGACAGACATCAAGAGAGCAGCTTCATCCGATCTGCCGAGAAGGTCAATCAAATCCTCACTGATACCACAGACGCTGTACAGTCAGCGCTTCTGCGACTGCCAAGCGATTGTGGAACAGCTAGACCCGGGGAAAAGATGCAAGAGACGTAGATGTCTGTCCCTACAAACTACCACACCAGCACAGCAGCGGTCCAGCGAGACTACCAAGGGGAGGAGCGGCCCGAGGTCTCTTTCTTGTGACGGGTTCTCTACAGTCGCTGAACAGTCATACGCGTGCTGTGTTATGCAAGTCAAGCTTCCTAGAGACTACGTCAAGGCCTCCGAGCCAGGTCCTACGTGGCTTTGCAGAGGACAAAGCCCTTGTTATCACCTGTACGTCGAACGCCATATCACTCACAAGGTCTGACAAAAGTCGTCAGCTGAAGCGCAGGCAGTGCTGGGTATTGACACTGTGGTCACTGAGGACACTTGCACTGGCCGAGACCCAGCTGGGCTTGAAAGCAGATGGAAACCCAAGCGCAGGATGCCTTTCGCTCATGCTTTAGGAATCGTCCAACATGCCATACCAAGCTGAGCTTTGCTCAGACGTCGATACCACAGCCCGCCGGGTGGCCTGCGCTTCGTACAAGCAGCGCACAGATCTCAGAGAGGAAGAGACGCACAGTGACTGCTTCCAGGGTAGTCACGTACTCGTGGGGGCTCAAAAGGTCGGCCACCGCTGTTTCAGTTCTGCTGGGAAGATGATCCAAGAAACAGACTCAGAACGAGAAAGTATCAAGGGAACACAGTATTGTACCGGCTGCTGTATCACGCCGATGCCTAAGTAGCGGCCCAGGAAGGATCACGGAACACTGATACAGAATGAATGAGGGGAGTGTAGAGGCTTCTCAAACCGCTGCTCGAACGCTAGCGCAGGCCTCATCGACCATCCTAATGCTTGCCGCGACAGTAACGTCGTCGACAGACAGCTCTCGAGCCAAAGGCATCACACAAGCAGCCGCGAGGACCAAGTCGAAGATGTACAAGGAGAGGAGGACTTGCTGCGAGACACAAACGCGGACATGCTCGGACGCCGAAGGAGAACAGGTGGTACTGATTGAGAGCGTAATGGAAGACGCAACGCATTTTGGTAGGCAGGGATAGGTAAGGAGAAGGCTCAGGAGCTGTGAGAGGCTCGAAATCGACGCTGCTCTCTTCCTTCTTACTACGAAGAGAAGATCACCCGCATTGAAATCTGCAGGATCGAGTCCCCCGCCCTCTGTGCAGTGCAATAGTCATCAAGCACTCACTCACTCGAAGCAAGGAAATGCAGTTCAAGCATTGTACAAGACTGTGCACTGCAGTACATTCATCGCCGGTCACTCTTCGGCTTTCGGCTTTCGTCTTCCGCTTCGGTTCGGCGGGATCAATACAGTACTGTACTGTAGAGTATTGTACGCTACGCTATCGCTATCACCACCATCGCCCATCGCCATGGTCCATCACCGCCATCGGCATCTTCTTGAGCATCAGCATCAGCATCGATCATTCGTAGTAGCAAGAGGGATGGGGCGAAGTTGGTCTGAGATGCCCTTCTCTTCCTCCCTCTTTCCCTCCCTCTCGCTCCCTCCCCATCTCCCTCCCATAATTCGACAGTGAACAGTAAGCTCTGAGCTGTTGGCTCTAAGCTCCAAGCTCTCACTCCTGGATTCTCAATCCTGAGCTCTGAGTTCTGAGCTCTGAGATCCGAGCCCCGTATTCCGAGCTCTCAGCTCTTAGTCCTGAGTTCTTGGTCCTGAGGTTTCCATCCCAGTCCCACTCCCAGTCTGAGTCTGAGTATCGTAGAGTAGACTAGAGTAGAGTAGAGTCGAGTCGAGTATCGTAGACTTGACTCGACTTGATGCGATTTCTGTTCGATTGTGAGTCCGGTTGACTCTTGAGTCTTGATTCTTGACTCTTTGCGATGTGGCTGAAGATGAAGATGAACATTTTGATGTAGATGTGGATGTAGATGAAGATGTAGATGAAGATGTAGATGTAGATGTGTATGGGGATGACGCGCGTTGGGAGTAGAGTAGAGTAGAGTAGAGCGAGTGCGAATTGGAGTGGAGTACATCGTCCTGGAGTGAAGTAGACTATCCCGTCCCGCAGTGGAGCGAAGTGTTGTGTCGCGATACGAGTGGCGGTGGTGTCGGTGACCGCTCCCTGTCCGCCTATCTATCCTCCTTCATCCATCCATCCATCCATCCGCCGAGTGCTCAGATGCATCGTCCTGACTCGAGTGAGTGAGTGAGTGAGTGACTGAGCACAGTACAGTACAGTACAGTACAGTACAGTACAGTAGTTCGCTGAGCAAGCACTCTTTCTTTCATCAATACTGTCCATGTCCAAAGTCACGCAATTCAACGACTCGCCCCGCCCCCCGCTCTCAAGACTGACTCTCTCTACTTTACATCTGGACATCACAGGAAGATGCAGGCGTCAAAAGTATGTGTGAAGGAGATGAGATGGGATGTGCGATGCGATGCGAGTTGTTATTCGACGAGGTGTTACGATGTTTGCAAGCTACACTGGTAGGTGGTACAGGGGCGACGAATGTCGAGTAAGACACGATGACGGTCGAGAGCGTCTTGGCTTATGGGTGGTGAGGGTCTTTGATGGATGAGCGCATCGAGTAGCGAATTGATGACCAGGGTCGAGGGTGAGACTGTCGTCGCGTCGCGTCATTGAGCTGTGATGGTGAGGGAGAGCAAGGATCTTGGTCAAGAGTGGCTCGTATTGCTCTACATTGATGCTCGAGTACTCACTGCTTTGAGTCGATGCCCTCGAGATTCCTCTTGTGAAGATGGAAGTCGTCGAAGAAGTCGAGGCCAAGGTGGTGTCGATGTGGGCTCCACAATCGTCGTGGTGCTGATAGCTGCGAGTAGAACTGGGAAAGAGGTCAAGTCAGCGACTGTTGTGCCGAACAGCTTCTCAACGACGTACCACACCTACGAGTGCTGCCTCGAGTAAGTAAGGGTAAGATCCATATCCTAGTCGATGTCCAGTGGTCTTCTGCTTAAGAGAAGAGTCTCGATGATCCTCGTAGTGCTCGTCCTTGTATGGCGAGGGCAACCCAATCGGCAGGAGTCTAATGTCGGCGTCTACAGTGTCCCCAGCCTAAGCCTTAGCCTCAGCCTCTGCCTCGACAGTAACGATCAAGTCTCTCGACGCTCGCCAATCTCCAGAAAGGAGCTTGGTACAGCCTCTGGCCAAGAGATCATGATGTACCGTAGTGTAGTGTGGTGCAGCACAGCACAGCCCAGTAGTGTCCATCCGCCAAGCGTCCTACTCTTAACCCCTCTGCCCTATGTCCACTGCTGTTTTGTGGCCTAAACCTCGTCGCTACGGGCTGCAAGATCATCGTCTAACCATCATCATCATCACCATCAATGATGATGTTGATGAGGACTAGAGTGGACCGAGTCGCATAGGGGGTCGTGCTGGACAGCAAGTGGACAAAAGGGACCCAGGGAAGAGGAAGAAGGACGCTGGGGATGGAGAGAGGGAACTCACCTGTGCTGATGGCTGGTAGGGCTGGGTGCTGTGACTCGACTGCTCGACTGCGTGGTCATGGAGTCCGTGGCCGAAGGAGAGGGAGAGAGAGAGAGACCAAAGAGAGTCGGTGTGGTGATTGTTAGGCCATCGTAGTAGTGGTGGTAGTAGTGGTCGTCGTCGTCGTCGTCAATTGGAAGAGTGGTGGAGTTGGTGGTGGTGGTGAAGGAGTGAGTGATGATGAGAAAAGGAAGGGGGGGGAGATGAGGGGCGTCGATGGGGGGTGCTTATGTACCTTTGCACCATGGCAGAGGCAGTGGGCGTGGCGAGAGGAGGAGAAGAGAGGAATCGGCTGCTTTGCTCTGCCACCCATCCCCCCCTCTCTTGCCCCGCCCAGCCCAGTGCCTCTGCCCACTGTGTGCTCAGCCGTCCCTCTGAGCAAAGCCGTTGTGCTCCGAGGCTTCTCCTCTCCCCCCTCCCCTTTGGCAAACTCATTCATTGCCGCCCACTTTGTCGCCCCCTTGGTTGCTCCCTCGTCGACGGCCTGGCCCATCGCAGCCAAGAAAGAGCAACGCACAGGCCACCCTCCTCCTCTTACCCTCCAGCCCACACGTTGCCTGCAAGCAAAGTCAATCATCCGCCGTTGATTTGCCCAGCGGGTCCCACTTGCAGGCACTTCACCCCCAGCACTTCCTCACTCCCTCCCTCCCTCACTCACTCGTCCCACTCATTTGACGCCCAATCCCCCTGTCGCCATTTCTCCGCTCGGAGGGAAACACACAAGAAACTTTCCGGTGTGATCTTGTGACTGTGTGTGGACGTGGGTGTGTGGGCGTGGGCGTGTTGTGATGGTCGTCGTCGTCGTTGTTGCTCCCTCGACTCGTTACCTCGCTTGGTCTGTTTGCTGACACTCGTCGATACCTCGCTTGTTCCTCATCTCAGGCAGCCCATGCTCGTCCTCCGATGTAAAGGCCGGCCGGTCCCCGGTCGCCCCTCGCCAGTCGTTGCCCCTCCGTCCTCAGAACTGTGCCTGAGCGGCAATCTTCCTCTTCGTCCTTCGTCCGTCGTCTTACAGAAAAGCAATCCGCTTTCTCCCGCTCGGGGCACATCGGACTCACACACGCATGGATTCAGTCTAGAGCGTGCTGGACATGAGAAGGGGGACTCTGGCTGCTCACTTCCGATCCGAGTGAAGGGGCTACTGGTACGGGATGTAGCTCTTTTGCGGTAGCCTCTCATCGAACTTGAGGTGAGATAGACCGCAAGAGTCCTCTGTCTCTATGAAACTCATGACGAAAGAACACCATAGTCCCTCTGTATTCCAGCTACGACGAATGCTGCTCCAACGTCCTACCCAGCTAGCCAGACTGCACATCCAACGGTACCTTTCACGCCACTCATCCCTCGTTGACTCACTCACTCTTTGGCTGCACCCGGCAACAGTGCGACGCCTCACCACAACCGATCACTACCATCATGGAGGTCTCGTCCGTACCATCCTCCCACCCGCCTCTGCCACCAGCCATTGGCCCAGTCAAGACAAGCAGGGAGGCACTTCACGATCCTGCACGGCAGCACAGGCATGACAATGGAACACTCCTCCTCGAGGCAGACGCACACGGCAGCAAGCACATACGTGGACTCCAGGCCAGAGCTCCTCAGCACCTTCCTCCTCTCGCTCTCTCGACTCTTGGAAGTTCTTCATCAGAACCAGCAAGCAGGGCGCTCTGACCCACTGCTCTGCTCCGCTCTGTACCGCACCACCAAGCGCAAGCCCAAGCCCAAATTCGAAAGCAACACACCCCTCCGCACTCACTCCCCGTCAGCCTGGTCCTGGTCCTGGTCCTGGTCCGCAACACCTTCCCGTACGCTGGCTCCCATTGCCATTGCCTGCTTCTCCGCCTCTCCTTCCTCTACTGGGACAGTATCTCTGTCGCTTTGGCTGATCTCGAATGGTGTGGTACGGTACCTTCCAAAGACTTGCTGAAGAGGAGCACAAGGACGAGCAGTTGGAGAGAGATAGCGATAGAAGAAGCGGGAGCTGAAGCGCAAGCTTTGTCAGGATCAGGATCAGGATCGGGATCAGGATCAGGATCAGGATCAGGATTTACCTCCGAAACGAAACGCCAGAGAGTCAACAACGACGGGAGAAAGGCGAGTAGGCTCATCCTTCTGTACTGTACTTTCCAACTCTACCACAAAGACAGAGACAAAGGAAGAAGCGGAAGGGCTCGGCACCGCTACTGGACTGGACTGGATATTGCTGCAGAAGAGGCAGAGTGGAGCGCTTGCTGGATGCAAGGCGAGGTGGGGGGGAGGGAGTAGAGAGTAGAGGACACGAGCAAAAGGAGAAGCAGGAGGAGGAGGAGGAGCAGATATCAGCAGGGGTAGAAGCGCGAGCACCACACTAGGGGGCCACCCTGAGGAAGAGGAAGAGGAAGAGGAGAGGACGAAGAAGAGGCATCTGAACCGTGTCTAGCTGGTTCGTACGGGAGTTGACATTACTACTGGGTAGGTCGTGGTGAATATACATACTGTAGGAGACGGGCAGCCCAGACGGGAGTCAGATCGTGCACTTGAAAATGGATCTGTCCTACCAACCTCGTCCTGCCTTGCCCTGTCCTGTACTGTCCTGTCCTGTCATTCAGTGACTCTATCGTACTCTTTGGCTTCTGTTCCTCTGGCTCGCTCCGCTCGCTCAAGCCTGGACACAGTTTCCTTCGGGAGGTATCATGCTGCGAATCCATCTCCCACAAGTACGACCATTGTTGATTTTGGATGTCCAAGAGAACGGCTCATCTCTCGCGTCGCTCGCAAGAAGCGATCACTAGGAAGCCGCCCTTTTCCCGGGCTGTGCAATGAGCGCAGGATCATCGTCCTCCTCTTCCTCCTCTTGGCTCGAGTCGCTTCATATCCCTTCCTCCCACTCTCCTCTTCCTCTCACTCTCGCCCCCGCTCTCGCCCCCGCTCTCGCTCCCCCAACCATGAAACAATGAGCAACCCGAACGACCAAGCCTCTTCCGCCTTGGGCTCTGGGCTCTCTGCTCCGAATCGGACCGCACTTTTCCTCCTTCTCCCTACTACTGTACTGTACCGGAAAGTACCACAGTACAAGCTTCCCAATCGCAGCCCTCCCACCGCACCGCACCGCACCGCACCGCACCGCACCGCACCGCACCGCACCGCACCGCACCGCACCGCACCGCATCGCACCGCGCGGGGGAGGGAGCACTCCATCTTCCATCTTCTGTTTCTGCGAGTGCGAGTGCGGGCGAGTATGCCTGGGGTGGGAAAACCCTCCTGAGGAAGTTCACAGAGAGAGTCCTGAGGATGAGAACGACTCCAGGGTGCGAAGCAGGAGGAGAAGGGGGTGTTGCAGCACGAGCTTTCTGAGTGAGAGGGAGAAGGAGGGGTATGCGGAGGGCGGAAGAGGTACTTCGAGGCGGGTGTGGTGTTGGTGTTGATGGAGAGAGAGCCTCGGGCTGAAACCCGCGCTCTGGCTCCAGGTCCGACTCAACATCCACACCTGGGTCCGATCCATTGTCCGAGCCTCTCCGTGCTTGAAGATGCGATGCGGAGGCGGAGGCGCAACAGACGGAGGAGAAGGATGAGCTCTTGCTGGAAGACGAGGATGGGTGCACTCGGCGGGAGGTTGGTGAGGAATACACGTGATTGCTGATGAAGATGATGCTCATCGTTCTGGGCAACGGCGCTGATCAGTACGGAGGCGTGCTACCCTTCCTCCTACACCTGTCGCAGTCCCGGCTGAACTAGAGCAGCTGGCCAGTCGTGGAAAGGAAAGACTACTCGAATTGGCAAATCCGGACGTGAATCTACATCTGGATCCATATCTGAATGGGAAGGGGAGGTTTTGTCGTTGAGGTCATAAGGGAAGAGATGCCGAGAAAGCAGGGGGAAGAGGAGTGATGGAGTCAGAAAGTGCTGAACGGCTCGTTGCTCTGCACGAATCCCATCGGCGGATCTATGCGAATGGGCGATGGCCGCGATCTGCTTTGGAAGGCTTGACGGTCCTGGCTTCGACTCCTACGATAGAGATAAGCATGCTTCACGGCAGTAAGGCAGCTGCGCACACACAAGACCGGACACAGGCTCAGACTTAAACTCAAGCTCAACCCTGTATCCAAGCACTCACCATCTGGCCGCGTACAGTACTTGAATCGCGAGAGCGATCACTTGTTAGGCCAACACAGTTGCGACCACACACTGACTGGCCTTCAACAAGACATGCGAAGCCAAGAGAAGGCCGCACAGTGCAATTAGCCAGTCGGGACTCGGGACCTGGGTACACTTGAATCCTTGAGCATCGGACTTGTCTACCCCTTCCCTCTTTGATCCCCGACCTCCCGATGAGTTCGACTACCACTCGAACTGCGACTGGAGCGATTCGTGCACCGAGCAGCGCGGTGACGGCCGGTATACGAAAGAGGTCAGCAAGCTTGTTCGGCATCACATTCACTTTTGTGCTGCTTGTCACGGGATCTCGCTGCGCCTCCTGGCCATGGTGTCAAGATATTGTAGCCGACTGCACCCACTTTCTTTCTCTCCATTTGTCCTCACCGATGTACCCACTAGGTCACCCACACCGCTTGACAATGCTATGCCATGCCATTAGGAGCCAGGTGGCATCTTGCTAGGTCTTCTCTTTCCGCCCTCTGGCAAAACATCCACCAGCGCCTTCCTTTGCAGTGGCTTATGTCCATACGCGAAGATTGAGCAGATATCGGTCGGGTTGTGCGGAGCTCTTTCAGCCTCAGACCGGAAGCATGCCAGGTCCTTGATGAACGTGTGGGCTAAAGCTAATGGTGTGGACGTAGTATGGGCCGAAGTGAATGGTGTGCAGCAAACCCGGAGCATCTGTGACGGCTGTGATTGATCGGATATTAGGTATTGGAGAGACTTTATCGTCGAATGCTCGGCAAAGTGGTTGCCGCATCTTGTACCCGGCTGAGATGATACTGTGAGTTCTCTCGTAGCATTCCGTCTCTGGCCTGTGCTCTATTGTACTGTATCTCCCGTCCCGGCTCCACGATTGTGAGGAAAGTCGGATCGGGAGGAATGCACCCGGCCATAAAGCCACGCGCCCAGATTCGCCCCCGCCATCGCGACCCGTTTCCGGTAGCGGTCTTGATTCTTGCAGCATTCCTTCCGCTCCACATTGAATTTCATGATCACAACAGTGGTAAGCATCAGCAAGACTACCTCCCTGACTGCAGGTGCTCGTGAGCTAGACAAGAAGGAACGGTCTATCTTTGCAAGCCACTTACGGGACCCGTCAACCGCATGATACGCCGAGCTGCGCAATCTCGCGAGTACAAGACTTCTAGACATCTCCGCCTAACCTCGCAATCCCTCCATACGGTACAGTAGACTCAACGGACTCGGGTCCTCTTGAAGAAATCCTGCTGTGGTCCCCGTCGCCCTCTTAACGCCTCTCGATTCAGTAGAGAGCCATGGACATGTCGTCCACTAGCACTCCCTTCGCAGATCAGGCAGGACCCAATGGCCATGAATGTGCAACACTCCCTCAGCCCAATGCTACTCAGCCATACACCTTCGCGTTTGAGGCTACACCAGCGCCCTATTTCAGGGGGAACATAGACGTGAGGACGATGGTCCCTGAAGTCTTGCTCGGTAGGCCGCCGGAGACTCCGAAGGAGGCAGTGCATTGGTTGGAGTTGGGGTCGGAGTCTGAGTCGGGGGACTCAGAACAGCCGTGGGGCGAAGAAGAGCAGGAGAAGGAGGAGGGAGCGGAAGAGATAGCCGAGGATGACCACTCCTCTAGAGATCCCCACTGGGACGATGACAGAGAAGCACTCGAGGCGCAGATCAAGCGGGACGCCGCAGGTCGCTTCTACCCTGAATTCTACGTCATGAGAACGAGCCCAGCGGTCCACGCTTCCGCAAATACTATTCTGGACACTTGCGAGGGAAAGGAAGTACTCGGAAGACTCAACGAGGCTGTTGACGCTGGGACATGTCACGAGGCACAGATTGCGGCGCATGTCTGCACGCTGAGCGAGCTGATACGTAGATGCATGGGCGCAGGAGCGTCAGAATATGGCAAGTTCGTATCTGTCTCAAGGACTTGGTGGCCGGAAAGCAAGGTGAGTCAGGCGAGCGCTGTTGCGCACTGTGATCCGACTTTCATTGACAGATCGTTTCGCCCACTACGCAAGCCCTTAAGAGACGACTTTGTGAACCCCGAAGTCAGCGAGTTGGACATCTTCGTGCAAGGAACAGAGCCTCACAGCTCATCAGAAGATGGGGACTTGTGCAAATGGTCTCATACCGTCTCATTTGTCAAGATCAAGACGAAAGACGTATCTGATTGGAAGAACAAAACGATTCAACAATGTCTTCGCTACGCGGTGAGTATCGGCGGCCCACTTCTCGAATCAGCGCCTCATGACGTTCGTCAGCGTTGACATCCAATTTATCCGGCCCTCCACCACGCCATCAGCGAAAGATCTTCCACTATCGTCCGGTGCTCTCCCATTTGCACTTCGTGACTTGGTGTGGGCATACCGTGCGACTCTGGTACGTCAATACAGCCCTCTATGGCTGCTCTCGAGCTTACGATTCCCGGGAGCGAGGCGATCAGATAGAGATTGTGAAGATTTTGCAATTACTCTCCTTAGAGGAATATTGGAACTTGGTGTCCGCTCGCTGGGATGTAACCGTCTCAGAGCGCTTGCTCATTGAGCCGCACGCGGAGACTACGCAAAGCTATGTCGACGTCACCAGAATGCGACCGCTCGACGTACGCTCCGAACTCTTCGGTGCCCGTACTGCAATGTTCTACAATGCCGGCGAAGACCGCAAAAGACCAGTGCATATGATCAAAATGTCATGGGTAGCCCCACGTCTGACGTCGCATGAATTAGTCACTCTACGCAACATTAGGAAGGCTTTTGGGGAAAGTCTAGAGTCAGAATTGCCACTCCTGCCTCAACCCATTGGCTTAGCCAAGCAGCCGTCCGGTTTCCAAGGCACAACTTCAGATACGACACAAACATCGAGTGCTGCAGCGAACTTCCCGGCTCGGCATCTTTGCGCCTTGGTGACCAGGCAACATAGGGGTGATCATATCGGCAGACAAGTCCTGCCGCGCTATCTTGTGCGTATCCATCAGCAATTGGCGGAAGTGCTGCTCAAACTTGCAGAGAAAGGCTATCATTACCGTGACCTCAATGATGGCAACGTCAGACTTCTGCGCGGCTCAAAAAGCAAACTCTACCTCGCAGACTATGGGAATGTAAGGAAGCACTTTAGCATACGTGAAGAACGCAATCCATCGGATGCCGCAGCGACGATCGACCGGGCTAAAGACGATACGCGCTCAGCGACTCCACTTTTCGCGCCTTCTTGCTATGCTATAGCCAAGGCTGCGTCCGAGGAGTGGGGCTTGGCGGTCGCAAGCGTGGTCGAGAGGGCGGAGCAGCTGTCACGCCGTGTCTCCAAGGCCGCGGGTGGCCGAGTGACTAGTGGTAGCCTTCGAGCGAGCGTGGACGCGATCCTAGAGAACCTGGAGGACCTCCACGAAGCATTGCGAGATTCGAACGTCCATAGTCATCGATACATTGACGACATGGAGAGCGCATTGTACCTACACCTTTGGACTGTGAGTCGGGTAGGCCTGCCCAACATCTGACCCGACTTTGTCCGCTGATTGCACCATCGCTTCTCTCCCCCTTGGCTACAGATGGCGCTCAACCGTGGTCTGAGCAAATTTGGCCAGATTGAGCTGAGTCGTAAATTGCGCGATGACAAGACGGCAATCTGGACGAAGGGGTGCAGGTGGGAATTGGTAGGTAGCCTTGACAAAGGTCTCACGTGAGCATTGACTGATTCTAGCAGCTTTGATTGCACGACAGCTCTTGGACGAACATTGCAAGCCAGCGGGGAGGAGGTGGAAGATTCTCATGGGCAAGCTGCGGAAGGTCGTTTACGAGGCTAGACAAGCTCTCACGGCAGAGCTCTTGAAGCCATTCGAAGCGGATGGTAGGGCCTCCATTGAGACTCTGAGAGCAGACTTGGAGAAGTGGCGATTCAAGGAGAAGGAGAATGACATGGCAGTAGCGGATGCTACCGTGATGATCATCGACAGTCTTTGGCAGGGCAAGGGAATCTTGGACGATAAATCCGGATTACAGGACATTGAGAGGGAGTGTTACAACGAGTGCATCAGGCTGTTGTATAAAGTGGGACATTCAGGGCACAGCAAGGGAGAGAAGAACGACAAAGGATGAGCAGATCCCCCAGTGCTGATTGCGGTGAGTACTGGACCCTAGCAATGCAACATGAGACCAGGACATCTTCTAACGTTTGTTCCGTACCTCCCATCGAAGAAGAGCAGGAGTAGGACGCTAAGAAGGTGAGGAAGCAGGGAGGCAAGGAGGAGCACCGCGCTGTACTGCGTTTTCTCACCCCTTACCTTCTCTGTTCGTCTGAAGAAGAGACGAAGGGGGGGAGACAGGGTACGATACTGCACCGTACGTAAGGAGATGGGCACGCCGGGAGCAACTCTGGTACCGTGAGGAGGCCCCGTCTCCCTCAATACATCTATCGAGGGAGCCCGACAGCTCGTCTTAGACTGGAGACAACTGATCCGCTCCGCCTCGATTGTAGAGCCGAGGCAAGAGGCGTACGGTCTCAAGCAGAATGAGTCCGATGCGAGTCCCTTCGTGCAGCAGGAGATGAAGATGAGCTGAGGGCAAGTCTTTCCACTTACCTCCTGGGACGCTTCCTTGATCCGAATCTTTTCAACCCCCCTGCATTGCCTTGATGGCGAAGGAACGCGCTACGCAAGCTTGAACTCTGTTCTCCTCACTACGAGTGTCGCTAAAATCGGTAGTGTCTGCCCTTTACTATCTGAACGACAGGCTGTCAGTAGTGGCTCGACGTCCCGTCAGTCTCAACGCTATCATCACGATGTGTTTGTGTGAGCATCGACTCGGTCGTTGCTGCCCTGCCTGGATCACACGTCATCAAGGGTCACGACGTTGTTTCATTGCGTTGCAGACGCCTTGGATCCTTGGAATCCTCGCAATCTCGTCATTGCTCCATCCTCGAACGGGCAGCGCCTGGATACAGCTCCTCAGGCTTTCCCGCAGTTTATACAGTTGCGTCTTCTGCTTTTTCCAACCATCGGCAGCTTCTTGATACTTTTCCCTGTTCGACCTTGCGCCAGAGTGGGGTCCTAGGTCTGATCTGACGCTTCAATGCGGGAATCCTCTGCTGCTTGCGCTGTTGCCGTGGTGGCTCTCCCTCGCTTCCTTGATGCAGTAGGCGGAGCTGGGGATACACGAGTGGAGCTTGTCGCTGGGGGTTCCGCCGCTGGTCAATCTGCAGCATGAGAAGGTGACACACCCGGCGTAGTCGTATGAGTATCAGGAGGCATGTCGGACTGTCTGTTTGCTCGTTGCTCCGAACCGGACAGAGATGCCGTCGAGAATCTTGGTCCTCGCTGACGTCTGGTGTTGGTCCCATCAGCAGACGACCCTTGTGGTGGCCCTCGCTCTCGACGCCCAGAGCGAGAGCTTGCGACTGAAGATACATGACGTTCTGCTGTTTGACATGTCGAATGTCCATCCTCAAGACCTCTGCGAGGCAACAAGTGGTCTGGAAAGTCGGAGGAAGAGCTAGACATCTCGTCATCTTCAAGGGCCGCAAAGCTGGCCTCTCCATCTATCATCTCGGGTGAGTTCTCCCTATGGTCTTCCCCACGGAGCAGTCTGCGGTTCGTTGCCGTGATCGGCTCTTCGTTTCCGTTCCTGAACTTAGCTAGCTTTCGACAAGCCCTCTCTGAAAACGCCGGAGATAAAGTGTCCCAGTGCTTCAGAATGTGCCTCTGCACCAGGTCATCTTGGACTTCTGTGTCCTGCTTGCGACAGACGATAGGAGGGAGGTCTTCGGCATACGCATGTACAGGACTGAGATTGCGCAAGCATGGCGGCAGTCTGTAGAAGATGCACTTGCTGGCTGCCCACAAGTCGGCCAGTACAGGGAAGGCGTCCAGTACCGACTCGTCGACGATTATGCAGGTGGGCATGTACAGTGTCTCTCCCTGGAAAGACCAGTATTGTTGCTCGACAGTTGCCGCTAGAGCCTGCCATATCGTCCAAGCGCTATTAACGATTGGTGTTCCCTCTTCGTCGTGCTCAGCGGGAGCCTCTCGAGGCAGGAGACCAAAGTAGGTGCGGTCGTAAATGGTAGTGTCAAAGGTCATAGCCACGACTGCCGTTGTTATGAGGTACTTGTTGCTCAAATCGCCTGGTGGGAGAATGGGGCCGGTCAAATCCTTGCATTTGGTATTGCCATTACAGAGAGTGATGTGCGCTTGGGCTTGGCCGACCCATATGATGTTGCGGGTGTCGTTGGGATCAAGGTACTCGAGATCCTGCCTGAACTTCTCTTCGGCAAGAGGATCATGAAGGCCAAGACGTACCGGCAGAGGTGTGAGTCGACCATGAACATCTCGAGCAACGAGTGATTTGATCTGATCCATCGGGACAACATCGCCGTGAGAAGCTACAATGGCATCCTGGAGGTCTTGCAGGCTCGCAGCTGGCGACCTCAGGGTCCTAATGACTGTAGGCACCATCTCGTCCGTGATCTTTGCCTTCTTTCTAGCGGGGGGGTTGATAGCGCTAAAGATCGTAGAGGGCATAGTCTCAAATTCCTCTGCAATCCGGGCCAAAGTCCATCCACAGTCGGCGTGCAGTCGAGCCCATTCGGCAACAGTTGCGACATCGCGCCTGACTCGCTTTCTCTTTGCCGGAGACGTTGTGGCCACCTGAGCCTGATGACTGGTGGAACATGGTTGCGTGGAAGTAGAAGGAGTTGGGGTAGGCGATGACGCTTGTGCTGTTGCGTCTTGGTACGGTGGAGCGGGAGTCGAGAGCCCCGGCACAGCCGAGGGCATGCTGGCTGGGTATCCACTTCAAGGCGCCTATATGGTTAGGTTCTGCGTCAGAAAGCTTCTCCACCCTGTAGCTTGATCTCCCGGCCTTCAGGAGATTGCTGCGTGGGTGATTCGTAGCTGGTGCATGAAGAAAGGGGTTGGTAGGTCAAGACGGTCTATGGCTCTGGAGATGACATGCTTTGGCTTGGTGTCATGACGATGAAATGGAAGAGTGGAGGACAATTCGTGTGATTCCTACGATAATTCTTCAGCCCTGACGTGGAAATCACCGCGCGGTGCCCAAATCCGGCTGGGAATACGATAGGCATCCGATAAATGTCCGCTTCATCCGATACATGCCCGACGCGTTCGAGGATTCAGGCTGAGGCACGAGATTGCTTGGCGGGCCGGGAAGGGCCTCAGCGCGCTTCCACCTCAAGCGCTGCAATTCGACCACCTGCATCACCTCAAGCCACCGACAGCGTGTGGTCTCTCTCATTATCGACCACCTCGCCATGTCGAGTCTTGGACCAACAGGACATTAGATCTCAGCATCCATGCGGAGAAGAAGATGTTGGGTGTTTCGGCCCAATGTAGCCATACACGGTGGTATTCCGCCCACTGCCTCACCAACTCATATCCGGCCGCCAATCATGAAGCGCAATTGGGCGCCACTGATGTGAAATTTTCACCATCGACTCTTTCCCCCCATCGTGAGCATGCTTTCCTTTCAACAACTTCGAAGCTCTTTCCACTAGTCATGACGATGGCAGTCCCTCTTGCCTTCGTCTCGTACACCGAGGGTCACACCCTCATCCTGTCCCGTCGCGTGCCTGAATGGTGGGAGAGCTGCCGTGAACGCGACGCGGAATGCTCTAGCAACCATCGCAATCTCATCCGGAAGAATATCAAGCTACCTCCATCGCACACACATCCACATACAATACCGAGTACTGCATATATCTTCAACACCACCTAGACTTATGACCATCTTCACGCTCGTGCATGATGGCATCGTCATCACCCCTTGAGCCCAGAAGTGAGTCGTGGAGAAGACACTGCGATACGCCTTCGCACACTCACTGACCTTAACGATCGCGGCCTTCTATCTTCTCCTCCTCCAATCAAGCTCGCTTGAAACCTCCCCAGCCCCGTCGCCAGCGCTCAGCCTCAGCGTCCAAACCCATCAGCCTCTTCAAGGAAGCCGTCAGCAACAATTGGTTCAAGCGAGGTCGCGCTCTCACCTCTCCTCCCGATGCTCCCGCACACCTTCGAGCTGGAAGTTTCGCCACCTCTCTCACTCCGATAGTAGAAGATGAGGTCGGCGTGGGTGGTGTAGTCGGACCTCCTAAGCGAAGACATCCCTGGGCTATTCCAGAAGCAGAACCAGAGCCAGAGGAATCTGAAGATTATCCGGAGATGCCACCTCCGCAATTTCTATCAACATATCTCTTCTACCTTCCCGAAGATGAGGAATGTCTAGCCGATGAACAGACCGACGATGCAATGAAGGATCCACACCGTCCTCTCCCAGCAGCATGGCCCTGGTCGTCGTCCACAGCAGCACCTCTTACCAACTTCCGCACGGGCTGTTGTCGCAATGGGCTTACTCCCTCGGAGGGTCCCCGTCCCACCTCCAACTTCAACCAGGAGCTAGACGACCTCCTAGTCCCAAGCATCTCAACGCCGTCTCTTTCGGACATGCCCTACCCGAACTTCACCACTCCCTCTCTCAAGTGCTACACGAAGCCACCCAATTCCAAAGAAGGAGGAGCAGCAGAGGCCTGCACGCTCTGCCATTGCCAGTGCATCTCCTGCGACTGGGAAGAAGGGGACCATTGCCCTTCTCTGCGAGGGGAGAGGGACTGTCCTGCCGTCCCAAAGGAGAGGGAGGAAGAAGAGGACAAGGCGAAGAGAGAGCAGACACCAGAGATGACTGGAGCTGGACAGGCGGGGAATGTGGCTGCTGAGAATGGGGTAGAGTATCTATACGTTGAGGGATGGGCGATTTGAATACGATCTCAAGGAGGAGCACGCTGGGTTCGATTATTGATGAAGAGGCTACTGATCTGCTCTGAAGATGTACGTATGATCCGTCACTCACAGGGCAGCAGCTGAGAGGTTGAAACAATATTGAGCTATTACTTTTAGACACTGACCCGTACCAGCAGCCACGAGGGAAACGTTTGAGCAGTACAGCACTAGAGTATTGGCTGCACATGCTTCAATTGAGCCTCCTCCTCCGAGAACGAGTGTGAGCTCTGTAGGTAGGCGAGCATCGTGGTCAAGAGGCAGAATAGGCTGCTCCTGCAATGTCCGGGTGTGGCGAAGTCTTCATTGTCTGCGTCACTATTCCGCCGAGAGGTGGGTGGGGCGACTGATTGCTGCGAGGCGGCCCCGCCAAGAGAGCGAAGCGGAGGGCCGTGCCCGCCCACGCGGCCATTCGCTTCGTCTGTCCACTTTTTGACTCCCCTCCTTCTCTCGTCCTCTTGCCTTTTGACCATATCCTCCATTCGCCTCTTCTCCTCACTCCCGACATCCTCCCTACTCAAAACCTCCCTCACGTGCTTTTGCAGAGCCCCATCACCACCATGCCACCCCACAGAAGCTCCACTGTCCCAGTCACTAGCCACACTAGTCCCGTAGATGTAAAGCCCAAGATCGAACACGATGCTAAACACACCCCGAATGTATGCCTTGCCTCCGACATCGACAAGAAGCCTAGTCCCTCTGAGATGCAGTACGACGCCACGCACCGCGAGCTCAAGGTCTTGCGAAAAGAGCGCGAGAAGTGGCGCAAGCAGAAGCAGGACCTCAAAGCTCAGCTGGAGACCCATGAAATGCTCTTGGATCTCTACAGTGATCAGAATGCTACCTACCGCTCTCTCCTGGCCGAGGCTCGAGATCGCCTGCAGAAATTGACCATCTACAAGGCTAGGGCCGCCAACAACCGCAAGATGCTCGTGGAGATGAAGAAGCACTTTGACAGCCTCACCATCCCTGAAGAAGACGAGGGAGAACGCACTGAGGACCATGATGACGGCCTGAGTGATGCAGATGATACAGGTGAGCACCAGTCCATCCCTGCTAAATCGTTTGAGTGATACGGGCTTGGCTGACGAAGTACATCTCCACACCAGCCATGTTCTCCGTCTTGCACGACAGTGACAATGATCTAGCATACTGAGCGCCAGCCTTGCCGACAGTTGTCCAAGGTGCAATGAGACGAGGTCAGACATCCAGCACCCGTCTACTGATCTCCGATGTCCTCCTTGCTTTGGCCATCCCTCATTTGCATTCCCAATGGTCCCTACATCTCGGAGTGTTCGCCACCAGTCTCATCGTAGCCGCCCAAAGAGGCAAAGAAATTGGCATATCAAGGAAGCACGACAGACCGCACATGTACATTTCCTGTTCATCTTGAGTCGCAAAAGCAGACAGAAATCCAGCATTACTCCTTACAATCTACTCTTTGCCATTGAGCTGAGCTGCGTGTTCCACCGGGCCTGATGCAGGGGTCTGCGTCTCTCCAAGCTCTTCGTGTTCGCTCCTTGACTTCCACGCTCTTGCGGGTGGTATCAGATGCGGCATCATGCTATCGAGAACAGGAAGACATAGCATATAGCCAGTGTAGCTGTCTTCTACGTCCATGAAGATCTGCGGCATCTGGACCGGGCAAGTGGCAGTATCAGCGTGGAGTGCTTAGCGCAGCGACGCATGCAGTGAGGTCCTCACCTCGAAGCTTGGACCCCTGCCAGTGCACTTCCTCACCAGGCTTACCGCTGCTTCAGCATCCTCCAGCGCTTGAGGATCGGTACCAGTACAACTGCTCAGCACCTGTACGTACGTCCACTGCAAGGCGCTGACTACGCAAGACGCACTGCACTGATAGGCGGGCCTCAGTCTCGGTCTCAAATCTCACGTCTCAGGTGCTGAGTGCTGGGCTCTAGAGCTCTGGGCGCAGGTGGGAGCGAGCGGGCGGAACGGGCGGAACTCCCTTGTGCAGTGTTGAGATTTTCGGTTCCGAACGCATGCCCTCAAGACAAAAGCCACGTCACCTGTCATCCTGTCATTTTCAGTCTTCTGTACCATTCATTTCATCTGTCTTCCCTAGAATCAAAACCCTGTTTCACGTGATCTTATCATGCAGGAGACGAGATGTGGAGTCAAGTCGAGCGCGTGGCTCCTTCCGCTCCTCCTCCCGCGACGCTGATGCTGATGCTGCGATGGAAAGGATTGAGGTGGGCTTGTAGCCCCTGACCTTTCACTCGATGCGAACACCTTGCCCCCCATTGAAGGTGTTGGACTTGAGTTGGACTATCTCTCTCACTAAGCCACATCCCAACTTGCATTTTCAAGGAAGGCCGATGGTGCCAAGATGTGCGCGATTGGTCCATTGTGCTCCCAGTCTCGCCTACGATTGTTGATGCAGGACTCATGGAACGAGACTTCGCCAGAAATGCTTCCTGGCTCCAGGCAAGACAGCTCGAGGGCGCTGTGTGAGCATACGAAACAAGGTCATGAGCCACATTCAGCTCGACTTCTGGTACGAAGCGGTCCCGAGGATGACCTCCGATCTACCTCCGCATGCGACCTGAGGGAAAGCCTTTCCGCAGAGCTAGAGTGGGCCTATACTTCCCTGCTGTTGCAAGATCCTTACACAGGTTCAGAAGTGTGGTCTCAGAATATAGTACTAGGCTTGCTACGAAGGACAATCTTGCTGGTGCTCTGGTTGCTTCTCATGCAATAAGGGAGAGAGCAGGAACTGGTACCCCGCCAGCACCTGGGACCACGCATCGAAGTGGCCTCGGCAGGCAGGCAGCGAAGCAGACTAGAGCGGGACAAGATGCGCCGGCTCTTGGTTCATCAGGTACATCCATACCACTGGAAGTTGTCCCCCACGTATCCATTGGGATCCCGACAGCCAACATGCATCCTCAGGCTGGAGGAGCTCGGAGGAGAAGGCTGGGCGGGACTATTGCTGATAGCCTAAGGGTCTCGAGGAAAGCTCTTTCGACGACAAGCTCTATCGGCACCATACATCAGGGCTCAGAGCGGCAGTCTTTCGGCGAGTAAATACTTGCACCGCATCGCAAACAGAGGGACTGGCTCAAGTCTGAGAACGGGACGACTTCACAAGCACGCGCAGAAGCTGGGAAGGGTACGCGGGACTCAAGCTCTATCTTTGTGACACGCAAACTCTAGTGGACTGTCATACCATCGATCTATTTTCGATACAATCACACAGGCTTCGCATCCGAGTTGGGATCTTCTTTCGATTGATCAAGAGCGGAGATCGCAGGTTGACGCAGGGCTGTCAGAAGCGAAGCAGAGCCATGCCTCGTTCCTCCGGCTGGTCACTTGACCTTTCCAGATCCGCTACTATCAGTGGAGGCGCCACCGTCTATGGACGCTCACAACATCAAACGGTCTGTTGGATAGCATGGTCGAAGTGATTCATGGATTTCTGTGGAAGGACCCGAGCGCACAAGGGTCCACCCCAGTCATGAGCTGTGACATCCTTCGTAGGACTTGAGCTGCTCTACCTTCAGCCTTTCATACCCTAAGCAGGCCCATCTTCCTTCTCAGACTCCTTAGCCAAACCGAGGCGATCTGCCAGACTCATGGCCGAGAATTGTCTGCCCGAAGCATGTATGCCAGCTCCAGGTCCAGCAGCAGCGGGGCCTCGTCCAGGGCGTACAGTCCCATTATTAGCTCGTAGCAGAGGCTGTGTCTGACTGCTTTGTTCGGCTCTAGCTCTGGCTGCCTCCTGTCTGATCTTCCGCGGGGAACGCCAGTCAGGCTTCCGGGCAGCGGCCTTCTTCAAGATCTCCGCGTTGAAGGCCTGGACTTCTTGAGGTGGCATCTGAGGTCGGCCACGCTCCGATGTATTTTGCTGTCCGACTGAAGCGCCTGAAGGCAGAGGAGACATCGACGTCAACGAAATGCAACCGTCGAAGGTGTCCAATACGATCTACTGTACTCACTTCGCACCCTGCGTCCCATATCTGGCCTTAAGGTGTCCTGCTTCATCCTCGAAGCGACGTCAGAGGTGGCCTCCTTAGCGCCTTTAGCCTGCGCTTCCGCATTGTTGCTGCTATCTTCGGATCCAGAGAGCTGCCCTCGCTGCACAGAGGTCGAAGGCTCGAAACCTACTTTGAAGGGACTAAGCTGATCTGAGGCTGGCAAGCGTGGCGGTGAGCCGTGAAAGGAATGTCGTTGCTTGAGATCTGGCGAAGTACTGTCGAGTGGCTCGTCCGTCGGCGAGGCTATGGACGAGGGTGGGGCTTTCTTGCCAAAGATCAAGCTAAAGTGTCGTTTCATGGTTGGGTAGACGTCAACGAGGATATCAGGAGCTTTAGACTAAGGAGAAGGAGAAGAGGACCAGTGGATCTTCCGTTGATCAAAGGAAGGACACCACTGATCGAAGAGGGCAAGTTGGCTCCGAGACTCGAAGGGAACTCGTCCCGGAGTGAAGAGCTCGTGTTTATCTTGATTTGTGGACCTTTCCTCGAGGAACTTCCCTCAGGAACCTTCTCTGGCGCAATTGCTATCGCGAGGAAGCGGTTTGGTTGCTGGACATCGTGCGGGCAAGCAGAACAATTTGGGCGGCACGCAGAGTTGACGGTGCCCAAGAGGGGAAATGTCGGAGCCCAGAAAAGGAGGGGTCAGGGCAAAAGCGGAAATCAATGGAACCTTTTTAGGCAATCTGAACCTGAGTGAAAATTGGTTCGCTCGATGCTACGCTCTCCATCACCATGAGCATCTCGATCGTCCTGGTCATCGAAAACACGACGACGATATAAATCGCGAGGACGAGCACCTTAGCGGGCTCTGCAGCGCTCGTAGCGACAGCAAATGGAGGGCAGTATCACAGCGTCAGTCGAGGTGGCGAGGGAGGGAGCAAGCGAACGATGTCAATGTTGCCCAGTGCGGGCCAGAAGTTGAAACCCTCAGCCCTCGGCGGGCACAAATTGGTCCCCATTTCTCCCCTTGTGGCCCCTAGCGACGCCTGCCCACAAACAATCTCGCCCTCGTGACCCGAACCCCTTACGTTTGCGGAATCCGAGCCTGAGCTTCGGCATAATCTCAGAGCCTCAAAGATGGACACCAACCAACTCGTTTGCTCTAGTCATCCCCCATGTGAGTCGAGGAAGGAGGAGGCTCGACAAGATCAGGCAGCAATCAGAACGAGCTGGGATGACTTTGCTCAAGTGCTTGTAACAGCCCCTCAGGCCTCAGAAGTTCGTCCATTGTTCGTTCTTCTTGCTCTCCTGACAATACCACGCCCTCTATTTTCACCATTGAGCCCGTTGAAGGAACTCTTCCGCCATCTTCGTCTTGACTCCTGACAGCCGCCATACTCGAAGTGTCCACCGTCAGTCTTGCGCTGGCCCTCAACCCTACCCCTTCCACTCGCCACTCACCTTTCCCGCTACTTTCAGCATGGAATGCCCAACTGAATACCCCTTCTTCCGTGCATCCGACGCCTTCATCTTTCCCCGTGTCCTCCTCCGGCTGCAAAATTTCAAACGCTCTGGACCCCTCGACCGTACTCGTCCCATCCTTTCGGCCGCTGGCTCTCTACTCAACCAAGATAAGCGCTACCTGAATCCACCAGGCGGACTTCCACCTGGAGAAAGTGGCAAGTATCAGCTCTACTGGCCTGACTTGAAGAGTGGCAAACCACCTGGAAATGGCAGAGGCTACCGAGCGAACCTGGGCATCGCAGAGAGGTGCAAGCTGGTGAGGAGAAAGACAGCACAAGAGGAACACGGCACGTCAGCGCAAGAACCTCAGCTTGATCCTGCAGCAGGAGGAAGTGGCTCTGCTACGGCTCGAGCAGGCTACGATATCGGTCCTTGCTCGTCCACAGAAGACAGGAACGGCAACAGGCAGAGGGAGCAGTTGCCTGGCTCTCGAGCTGGCCGATCCACGGACCAGCGCCACCCAATAGCCTCGACACCTCCTCCCACCACTGGCAACCTTCCAGGACAGGGACCATCGAAAGCTTTCACCTCTTTGAGTACCCTACGTACTATCTCTCGCGATCAAGCGCTAAGTCGCTCCATCAGTGTCAGCTCCGACACCAACAGCAGCGCGAGCACCAGATCTCCTACACCCGCCGTACCCTCAGGGTCGACTTCATCATCATCGCCAGAACGAGAAGCTATACCATCGGCCGCTTCAGAGTCGTCTGCTACCTACCCGTCCTACTTGGCCAGAGCAAGTGCCCTCCGTCTGTGCATGAAGCGCTATCAGGATTTGCCCAAAGAGGAGAAGGTGAGTTCGAATCTGAGGTCGAGGTCTTCTTGCTCAGCTACTGTGCCTAGATGGAGGCAAGACGCAGAAGAAATGAGAAGATTGGGAGGTCAGCAGTGTACTGATCCTTCTCTTCATACCGTCCATTTCTACCGTCACCCAGGAGCGTCGACCCCTCTACAATCCACGTAGCACCGACAAGCTTAACCCGTATAAGCACTTCAAGCCCACTCAATACCAAGCTGCCCTTCGAGCCTCTCATCAATACATGATGAGACACATCGATGCCCTCTCCCGTAAGTCATCTCAGCAACTCACTGCAGAGAGAATCTGGAAGGGACTCTGTGGTATGTTTGAAGAGCTGGCAACTATGTTTCCACCGTTGTTGTTGGAGGAGATCAGGTGGCCGAGCCTTGAAGAGGTAGAGAAGAGAGTCAGACAGGAGCAAGACAGGCGACAAAGGCAAGAGCAGGCCACGGAGTCAGCTACTACTACACCTCTTCTGCCCACGAGCCCGAGCCTCCCTCCTGGTATTTTCCCTCTTACGGCCGCTGATGGCACTCGCATCGATGCAGCTGGACGTCGTCTTGCCTCGCCTTCTGTGCCTCCTGGTACTGTACCACCCTCACCTCGTCCCTCCAACTCCTCCAGGCGATCTCTGGCTAGCTCCTCAGCAGCCCGTAATGCTCGTCGACGTCAACGCAGAGCTGAGCGGAGGAATGGGGGATCTTCTTCATCTCCAGTCGTTCATCTTTCCGAATCCCAGCCAGACTTCGAACTCACCTGCAACTCCACCACTATCTCAAGCTCGAGACCAAGCGTAGCAAGTACCTTCTACGAAGACGCCTTCATCGTCCCACCTGCCTTCCTCACCGCCATCAAACGTCTTGATGCTCGTCTGCGCCATATCGCTTCTGATCTGGGGTGTGAATATGAGGAACGTTGGCCTGTCTTTGTCCCTGTATGCAGGGTCGAGATGTTGATGTTGATTCAGATGGGACAGATTGCAGATGCAGCTTCTGAAGTGTTGAAGTTCGAAGCTGATGGAAGGTTGCATCGGCCCTTGTCCGACTTGGAACACGATGAGGACGAAGAAGAGGATGAGGATGACGCTATCGTCGCTGCTGGGAGGCAGAGACAGACGTCGAAGAAGAGGAAGAGGCCAAATCAGGCGGTAAGACGCAGAGGAGGCAGACGCCCACTGTCTGACTCCATCTCAGGAAGTCCTGTCGCCAACGACGATGACGAAGATGAGGAGTACAGCCTTGCCGACCTCGAGATGTACGATTCTGACGATCCATCTGGAGGACTGATGGACTTGAACGAGCCCAGTCTGCCAAGCAATCCTTCCATCGAGGTCCAACGCGGAGGAAGAGTTGGAGGCCGACAGAGTCCATCCTTTGCGACTCTGCGTAGTGGTGATGCCAGTGCAAGCGGTAGCGGCAGTCGAAGAGCTTTCCATTTCGACAATAGTAGGAGCATGTCTCGGGATCAGCGGAACGACACTCTCCGGTCCACCTCCAGTCGGCGCCACAATGAAGTTGATCACACGCGCAACAGGGACAACGTCTCTGATGCGAGTCTGAACTCCAGCCATCAAGAGGGACCCGACATGCAGCTGAGTGCGGCGCAAAAGGCTACGATGTACCTTCAAGGCGGCTTGTGGAGAATGCTGAAAGCAGACGTGTACTCTGATGAGGGACTGTGGGAATGAAATGTCATTAGGATGTGGAGTGGAGTATAGACAGTCTTTGAGGTTCCCTTCCTTTTTCTCTTTCTCATACGCCAAAAGTCGACGCTGGATGTCAGCCAGGGTACATGGCTTTGTCTCGACAGCACCTCTATTCCCCTACTCTCCCTCTTCATCAATCAACTTGCACAACAGACACGCCTCGGACTATCCAGGCTGCTGGAGGCCGAAGACTGAAGGCAGGAGGGACACTCGCCTACTCATCTCGAGGTGCGTACCTGATGAAGCACCACCTATCCGAGAGAGGGTGCACCCCATCCTCCCTTTCACTGGCGCTCATGTGCAAGGGCAGAAGCAACGGCAGCAAGGTCTCGCCATTGCTCACCTGTGGATCTCCGAGCTCACTTACACCATCAGCTTCTCGACTGCTTGAGTACTGTCCCTTGAGCTCGGACGATTACTTTCTTCTTGCCTTTTGCCGGCTTTTTCCCGGCTCTTGTCCTCTGCGAGGTAGCAGCTTTTCCCTGGCACTGGAGCGAAGCAGTGGCCGAGGATCTCAGAGCGGACCGTCGGCCCAAAGCGTGCCTGAACTGGTGTTTACAAGCCCCGAGTGGTTCCTGAATTGATTCTGAATGCACTCCTTCCATCACCCTGTAATCGACGCGGGATGAAAGGATGTAGGGGGAAGGAGCGTGGGTAGGGCCCTGGATTCCTTCCTGGCTGGACCTCTTGCCCTCATTTCCTCCCTCTTTCCATAGCTTGGTTGCTGTACGATCTGCTTCACGATTGCTAGCGCGTGGGCGAAGAGCCATCAGAAGAATGACTCAATCGCCGTGCGCTGCTGATGTGCTTGGAACCTTTCTGCCTTCGAAAGCTTAAGAACCACGCTCCTCTCGAGGCATGAATACCCCTCGCAACGGAGCATCAAGCTGGTCAACCCAATTCGGCCTCTCTTTCCCCACACAATCTCCCTTGGGCATTCCCTCTCCCACATCGAGATTTTCAAGCCAAACTCAACGACGGTGGACTCAAAGTGGATATCCCGACCAAGGGAATCCTCTGCTTCCCTTTTCTGCTTGCTCTGCTCCCTCACGATCGAGCAAGGCTGCATTGTCTACTGGATCCTACATCCACCCTCTCCAACTCCCACAGCATGCCATCTCTGCGTGAGATATTGAGCGCCCTCTTTCTGCCCTTCAGGGCTCTGAGGAATCAGCAACAATCCTCGACACCAACATCATCGTCCTCTTTATTGCCTCGGGTTGTCGTCACTCCTCCTCTCCCCTCGTCTACGATTGAGGATCGCCAATGCACCGTCACTCCTCTCGCTTCAAGTCTTTGCGCATTTGGATGAACAGGGCGTGGAGCTCCTGCAGGAAGCCATAGACATCCTCCGCTCTGGACAGGACTCCCGCTACGCCTCCGAAGCACTGCAGATCGCGACACCGAGCGGTGAACCTTGGGCGCACTCCGCCGTTGCTCAACCACACTCCTCTCGCTGGGTTGGACAGCCGGAAGACTTGGCCGCCTGGCTGAAGCAGTTCTGCGAAGAGCCAGCACCCGCGCAGACATGTCATGAACCAAGCTGCGAGCGCAAGTTTGGAGAACACCTTTTCTTGAACGACTGGAGACTGTCATTCCTCGGCAACGCATCGGACGACCAGAGCAGCAGCATCTTCCGCAAATTCTTCGATAAGACACGCATCATTCTGAGCGCCTCCGCAAGCGCTCTACTGAGATGGACCGGTATCGGCAAGCTCTTGACCCTCGCGGCCACCCAGCGTGTCCTCTGCTGGCGATGTGGATCCCACTTCTGCCAATTACACGCTTACAGACCCGCTACGCTCATCCTGCACCAGAGAGATGCCGGCAACGTAAGAGACACGCTTGAGGCTCTTTGGCGAGAGTCTGCTGAGGTCAGCTTTGATATGGCGCTAGGCACAGACCATTGCGGAAGAGCTCGACTTCCATCCGCTAACGGCTCCCTGACTGGCCACTTACCCCCACGCGAGGAGTCTATCAAGCATCGCAATTGCAAGTTGAGCCTGCTTGGCTTTGTCAAACGCTTCTGCTCGCACACACGTTCTCATGCTCAGACTTCGACGGACTTGGAGAATGGCCTCTACTACGAGGTTTCACCCGGCACCTTCTACTCCTTCGAGCCCATCGAAGACCACACCGTCTTTCCTTCTTATACTGCAGCGTCCTCTGCTCCGTCGGTAGCTTCTTCTGACTTGGACCTCGACTTCTCCTGCAGGAGCACTCCAATCTCTACCCCCGCAACCTCTGCAGGCCAAAAGGCACTCAACGTCATGGGTGTTCCCACTTTCCTTCTGCGCGACGGTCGACGCATGCTCATTCTCCCCGATGGACGAATCCTGGTACGAGAGCGTGTGTGTGACCACTGTCACAGGACCGTTTTTGCAGCTCGAGGAAACGAGCTGAGCAGGCGCAACAGGGAAATGGAGAAGCAGAAGATGCGCCGATGGGAAGGAAAACAGAGGCAAAAGAAGGCAAACGAGACAGGGAGACATCAAGGCAGCCAGGTCTGTCAGAACAAGGTGGTCAACGTTACCGACGAGCAGATCCTCCAAGCACTCCAAGCTGCCGTTGACGTCACAACCACGACTACCCCCTCAAACTCGTCTTCTGCCTCCTCTTCGAGGCACAGCAGGCGCTCTCATCCCCACGGCGCGTACGAGAGAGCACCTCGCCCTCCTTTGTCCTACGAGCAGCAGCTACTCCACCCTCGCGTCCCTCACGTCGCTCAACTTGGGACACCATCCAGGAGCCACCCAGGTCCACACAGCTACAACTCTCTCGACGTCAAGTGCTTTGGTCGAGACTACCACACCAGCGGTACCAGCGGCGCGAGCGACCCCGTCAACCACACCCACGAGCCCACTCCCCCGGCTGCTAGCCGTAGAGGGGACGGAGCCGGACCGGCTCGCGGACGTGTTCAACTCTGGTCTGCGGGCTCGAGGTCTCCACTAAGATTGGCATACGTCTAGATGTAGAGAGGTATCGGCATCGATCCCGACTTCAAGTGGGCTCTCTCAGGGCCAGCTTCAACGAGTGAGGACTACGCTTGGACACTGAGAGAGAAAGCTGCTCGCTGGGACTTAGTCTGGGGACAGGGAGAGATGCTACAGTAGTGCAAGAGCCTGGATGTCCTCAGCTTCCAGACTTCAGCCTCAGCGCGATGAGTTGTCCTCATTCACAGGTCAAACGGAGAGGTACTTCGCCGTCATCACCATCAACACCTTCACGCCGCGGCGAGTCATCGTCTCATATAATTCTTCTCAATACGACCCTCGTCTTCTGCTTCCTCCAGCCCAGATCGCCCAGCTCTCACCTCACCAAACGAAGACGACACAAAATCGCTCAGTCACGCCATCTCAGCGTCCTCACCAGGTCACGAGAATCATCTTGCTCCATCTCTCTCTACTCGCCTGCCTTCGTCTTTTTGCTTATATCTCCCCACATCCCCTTCCGTTCTTACCCCGTCCCCTCGAGTCGACAACTCGGTAGTGGGAGGCGAGAGCAGAGCACTGCTCCCTCTCCGCTCTCCCATCTGTGGCGAACACGCCTTGCTCCCATGTTCTCATTGTCACTTCCCTCGCCACCAAAAGAAAACACAATATTTCTTCCTTCATTTGCCACATCGTATCGAACAGGGCGTGAGGGCAACGCTAAGGAAAGTGCTAGAGAAAGCGCCATAGAGAGCCTGTGTGTGTGTTCTCGAGGGGAGTGGCTCATACAGCACAGTGCAAGGTGGCACGTAGAGTGAAGTGAAAGCAGAAGGATCTTAATGGCAGAAGCGAGGAGCAGCATTCGACCATCATACTGCATTGACTGGTCTCCATTCCCTGCATGGTCAGAGCAGGCGGTGTCGGAAGGCCGTCAAGGAGAGAAGAGAGCTGAAGAAAGGTCGGGAGACGCTAGGCTGTCGTCTTTCGTAATAGTCTCACTGTACGGGCTCCACCTGATTCTACCATTGTCAGACGGGTCGCATTATATCAGATTGGAGATGAACACAGTGCTGTGTGTCTAGAATGTATATTTTGAGAGGTGTACTGCGATTCAATTCTTTACAGGATGGCGTTTTGTAGGACGAATACATACATACAGTGGCCTCAGAATCTGGTGCCCGATACCCCATATTCTGGGGACGGCTTGCACTCGATCGGCTCACATGGTCCGATGAGTATATGTCAAAGTCCCTGCGACTGTGCAAGGGTGCATGAGGCGTACGAAGTGATTGCTGATGGAACATGGAGAGCAGACATGTACAACCCCTTTGAGGTCCCTGATAGATCATCGTATGGCTGAAGATACTGAGGAAGGGCCTTGACTCTTGAAGTGTCTCACTCCAGAGACATGCGCAGCTGACTGATCTCTTCGCCGATGGCGTTGGTAGATCATTGGGCTCCGTAAGCACGGACTCGATCTCTAGCGCGCTGTTGAGCCCGAGACACAAAGGGCATGCTGAATGGGCACACCACGCCCCAGGGCCCAGATCAGCATGGGTGACTGCTTGCCGTCGGGTGATAGCAGGAACAGCCACAAGCGAGGGCGACTCTCCTTGACCACACGAGAGGGCTCTGCATCTTGGGGTACTCCTGGCCTCTTGGCAGCGTCCGATTCATCTTCAGTCGCAGACGTCTTGCCTCGTCGCTCTCGAGCCACCTTTCCGGTTTCTGACAGCAGGGCCAAGTCAGCCTCGGAGATCTCGATACAAAGGGCGGGGGGAGCAGCCTTGTTCTCCTTGTCTGCCTTTCGTGGGTGAGTAGACGTATTCCTCTCCATGTTGTTGTTGATTGGGCTGTGGGCAGCGGCCGTAGCAGAAGGGACAGCATCAACGGAAGAGAAACAGTCAGTGTCGTGTACGTGCGAGATGGACAGGATGGGGTTACTCACAGGGCAAGACGTTGAACCCCTCGAAAGGACGAGCGTACTGATGATGATGATACTGTACGAAGCCAGTACTCACCGTGTCCATCGATATGCCCGTCACGTGAGCATCCTCGGATGACGTCAACCTGTGTATACCAGCGGTGAAGAAGCTGATCTACTTTGTTCTCCTTATCCTCTCCCATCTTTCAGCTGCTCCTTCACCGCGTCCAGCCTTTCCTCTCGTTGGCTCAGGCGCTCTCAACAGCCGGAGCACATGCTTCCAGCGCATTGATGGGTGCCGTGAGGTTTGTCGGCCGGGTTCCAGCTCCTAGAGGGTCGTGCTGGCTTCAAGTCCTGGCCAAAGCTGGGTATACCAACGACCAGCCGTCTCACCAAGTAGTTTGACCGAAACCGATAAGTTAGGAGCATTAGGATGACTGGCAGTAGGCAGTAGGGGCAGTGAGTCTATCAGTCGTTGGGCTCAGCAGCTGTAGAAGGGCTCAGATTGGAGCGAAGCAAGACTTACTGATAGAGTAGCTGAGTGATTATGGAGTTGATATGGTAGTCGATGGTTGGAGATGCTTGTGGATTGATGAGTGAGGCGGAGAGGAGTGATGGATGAAGAGCGAATCCAGGAGGGGCCGTTCTGGATGGCTATCTTTATAAACACAGGGAAGGCGAAGGAAGGAAAGGCAACAAGAACTGCGTTGCCTCGTAGCATCACATTGAAGATTGCTGTGGTTGATGTCATGTGACGATCGCGGGGCTCAGAGCAATGGACCATGTGTTGCGAGCAAACGTCGAGGACGCTGGGAAGGAAGTAACGGAAGCGTCAGAGCAATGTGACGACGACGACAAGACGAGCGTTGCTTGGGCAAAGCTTCTTGCCTCACATCGACCTTTACGGCGGATTCCTTCCGCGACTGCCGGAGGTACGATACTCACAGTGCTTCAGCGCGAGCATTGTATCACGTTCCCACCGGACTTAAGCAGAGTCAGGTACCAGCTACCACAACCCTCGCGCCCATCTACAAAGCATCAAAGAGCAACTTCAGTAGCGGCAGATACATTGCTGAGCCTCGCCGAAAAGGTCGTGCAGAGTCCTCGAGGGTCGCGATGCATTCCGAACGTCATATTCGGGGGGAGCAAAGGCGCAAGAGGGCGACAGGAGGCGCACTTGTTTGCTACCACACCCCCCCGATCTAGACGCTGAAGCAACAGAGAGTGGTGGCGGCCGCTCTACCGATCGGAAGTCTCGGCTGCGTATTCCACTGCTGAACATGACGTACTGGCCTCGCAGTCGTCTCCGGCCAGGGCCATGCTGCACTGCAGGCAGGGACGGTACAGTGCAGGCCTTTCGGTCATTGAGCACTCGCAAGGCGTCCGTACGATGCAGAAACTTCTCAGTGTGGAGCTGAGCACAAGATCCGGTCTATAACCTGAGAGAAGGAGGTCAAAGAGGATTCTCCATGTTGATGGTGGTGAGGGTCTCAGCGAGGTTGCGGTGAGACGGAAGTTCGGCTGCTGTGCGTCAGGCTCGGAAGCTCAGCTGCACATGGGCGGAGCTCGGAACGGAACGGGAATCTTTCGGACAATCGAACAGAGAGACTGCAGCAGATTTCCATTCCACCTCGCCTGTCCTGTCTCCTGGCCTCGCTGAAGCAGTGACATACGATGCCAGCATTGGAGTCATTTCTCACAATCATTCGATAGATACAACTGTCTTGTCATGGCCTCTCTTGCGACATCCTCAGACCAAAGACCCAATGCCATCGTAGATCAGACACGCGTCCGAACCTCCGCGTCCTTCTTTATGACACTATGCTTCTAGCTGCTTGGCTGTGTCAGACTCCAGCTTCAGCCTCCATCTTTCATGCTCTTGTCAAGAAGAACGATGTGCGCTGTCGGCGAGAAGAGGTATGAACGAAATGCTTGTCAAATGTGGAGGCTGAGCCGCATGTATCCTGCCTGGCAGATCAGGCCCATCGTCTCTCGGCGTGGCTGGCGTTCTCAAGCCCAACATGCCTACACAACCTTCATTCCGTTTCTCCTCGACCTCTTCGACCTACTCGGTCACTGAAGTCGCTGAGAGCTTCCCTCAATAAGCCCAAAACGGCCGACGCTAGAGGTGACTGGCCTCGCACAGCATCCCCTCACAGCACACTCCCGAGACTGCTGCTGGCTCCGCACAGGTCGATGCTGCCGTCCAGGCGAGCGTCGCATATTGATGCCGAAGGGATGCCATTTGATTTCGAACCTGAACTGCTATGGTAGCAACTCTGGCCGAGTCGCTGGCGCAATCTCCCGAGGCCTCTATGGGCTGTTCATGCGGCCGAGGCCATGGTATCCTGGCACACTCTTTCCTGTCTGCGTGGCTCCCGTGAAGGCTGTAGCTGAGACTTCTCTTCCGACAAGACATCCCACACGAGGCGAAGGCTGTTTACGACTTTGAAAGACTCGCTGAGACAGGAGGGGAGAAGCGAGGTAAGGGGTGGCCTCACTGGACCCAAGCCATCGAGGATGGATGCCGGTGAAGCGGGAGAGGTCTTCCCAGCTCTGATGGCCCAACGCTTTCTCGTAGAACCAATGAGCCCTACCTTCCGGCAACGAGTCATCCACACTGTGACCCAAGGACGGGCACAAAGGCCATAGACATGAGGGGCAAAGGACACATCCCACATGTTGCAGTCTGTCCGCGCACGCTCTCGAGCTGTCTTGATCGAAGAGACCAGAAAGCGCAGGTCCACTGCGCCCGCCGCATTCTGCCGTTGCTGAGATAAGCTAGTATAGTACATTGCGTAGATCAGCAACATGGTATAGTCGCCAATCCCACATTGGCCTCACGATGTCAAGCAAGCGTGAGCAAATTGGGGGCCCGACACTGGCTGTACAGCAATTCTGCAGCCATGATCTGCTACGAGCAAGGTTTATTCGCCTTTTGCCATCCTTCAAGCTGCTTCACACTCCGTGCATGCTCAAAGGTTGCAAGCCCTGCGATTCAATTGCCATCTCATTACGCTGCAAGGAGTTTGCTCACTACTTGCGCGTTCACAGGCGGGCGAAGAGGCTCGCAGCAAATTTTTGCGCAAGAACAAAGCGGGATTACCCTTAACTCCGGTCAAGGAGGATCGCGACCATCGAACAGTTGCTCCGGTGCGTACCTGATACCGCGCAGAGCAGGAAAGGGGACAAGAGAGTCCCTCGTACCTTACGCGTCTTATCCTCATCACCTTCTTGTCCTCTTTCCATTCACGCCACCTCGCGAGGGCTACCAATACCATGACCCTGCGACCACCACCACCGCCTCCTCGACACGAGCCCGCGGCCCAACCTCAGATGTACGACTTCATGCCCGCTTCCGAAGTCGATTTGGGCACGTCTATACCACTTTATCCGCCCCTTCCCACGCAGGACCAATCCGGCTTGACCACGCGTCCCAGACTTCGACTCAACATCGACCCCTCTCGACGAAAGCCCGTACCACAGCTCTACAGCGGGCCAGTCACGCCTGTCACCGCAGGCTACGAGATTGAGGATCCTGAGTCGTTGGCGCCTCCTCCGTGGATGGTCTTTGAGCCTCGCTCCACTGATGACGCACCTGCGCCGCGCATCACAATCGAAGGAGGGTCCCCGCTGGAGCGCTTCCCATCCGTCTCTCATTACCCGTTCCAGCCTCAAGGACTTCCTTATTCAATTTCAATGGCAGAGGTAGAGGCGACGACTCGAGACCACAATCAGGAACATGAGCACTACGAGGATGAAGGAAACACCCCTCCTCCGACTGGACCTGGCATCGATCTCGGCCTCGATGTGGACTTCCGTCTCTTCGATGCTCTTCAGGACGAGTTGCGACTACCTCTCTCTACTGCTCGCGCTAGCAGCTGCACGCCTCCTCCTCGACCTGTCGTTTCCCTCAAAGAGAACGAAGAGGCAGAACTCAAGAGCGCTGTCAGAGCTATGCTCGCGCCATCCAGGAAGGAGCAGCCCAGCAAACAGGAGGCAAACCCAGCCACTGCACCTGCGGAGTTGCGAGAGATGAGGGAGATTTAGAGTCAACATCAAAGGTGAACCCGAGAAGTCAAGGCGACACATCACCACCTCTCCACTTCACCATCTCACCATTTCACCACTTCACCACCGCACCACCTCAATACGTAAGACGCAAGCAGAGAAGCATGTTCGAGTTGAAGTTACTCGGCAGCACATCGGCCAAGAAATTGCCTTCTCCCATGCGTGCCTTTTCTCACTCAGTCCACTCTGGGTACAACGCATGCTCTTTGAACCAGCTGACGAGTCATTGTACGCCCCTCATTCTGCTCCATGTTCAATGTAGGGCCAGTCCCAGCACCAGCTTCATCTCCACGGTCCCAGCCCATAGCAACGCGCCATCTCGCCTCTGACAGCTGTGGCTTCTCCCATCCAGCGCTTCACTTCGATTCATTTCACATTGTTCATATCCAGGTCGAAGAAATAAATACACGTCACCTGCTTTTCTGCCCTTCCCTTTCGCCCTGGATGCAGTGAGAATGACCTATGGCTTATTCTACTGTAGCACAACAGGCAACAGACATAGGGGAGCTTGCCTTGAGTACTGCGTCGTATGGTACTGATTCAGAAGAGATATCATACACGCATTCTTGATTGACCTCGCCTCAAAACGCCAGAGGACGCACGTACGGTAAATCTTGCCCCGCTCAGCATACAGGCATATCGCTGCTTGGGTCCTGCAACTGCCGTACTGTCGCACAGCAGCGAAGAAGCCAGACATGCCAGTGTGAATCAAGTGCTGGCAGACCCTTCTTCCAGCGCGCCGACTTCCAGAGACAAGGGAGGGAGCAGTGGCCCAACGCAGTACCAGTGCTGATACTGTACATGTACTGTACTGATGCATGCAGAGCAGTGAGATGGTTTACTATACTGTACTGCACGACTGCAGAGACGAAGTGAAGGTGCGCTGGTAGCCCGGTGGTAGTGTCCATATTCGACCGTTGGAGACGAGGCCAAGCAGCTCTTCTGCTTGGTATGCAGTGAAATCCTCGTGCGCTGATGGGAGATGGAGTTGACTCTCTTGTGTGTGAGGAATGGGAATAGGATGGTGAGGTTGGGGGACGCAGCATCTCAACGCGTGAGCACCGCCATCTGGCAGGTCTGCTTCACCTGACTCTCTTCATGAGATGTACCTCACACTCGTGGTCGCCGCTCCTGCAAGACATCGGGATCGACCGTATCGTGTGCTTGTTATAGGTGCCAAAGCTTGCGTGATTGAGAATGCCTATCGAGCGCGCAACAGTGGCAATGTGACTACATACATTCCCTTGTTCATCCCGATGCCAAAATTCCTCTCCTCACGTCCCGTCCTGGAGGCTTCTGTCAGAATTGCACTGCTTCTCATCTGAGTCCTTAGCCATGGATGGCTGCCACAATACAGAAAGAGACTCTTGACCATAACGCTTTCGACATCTGAGGCGGGCTGGCGCGATATTGAGTCGCATGGGGCCCGAGAGACGAGGAGGTGCAGTAGGGCGAAAGCCCAAGAGAGACTAAGGGCGATATTTAAGTACTGTACATCTGACGCTTTGACGAGTGACAGCGTCCTGTTTCCAGCTCTCAATCATCGTCGCTTGAAGAACGCCGACGATGCCCATAGAGAGCCGTGGGAGAGCCATGCGGTGAGAGTGTCACCGCTTGTATCGTGTGAGAGGTTCCTTCAGGAGCCGTCTCTCAAGAGAGCCTCCTACTCCTAGCTTGAATTACAGGTGGAAGCTAAAGGATGCTTCCATTCGCGCCACAGTCCGACACATATCAGCGATACGTGTTGTTTTGGATAGCTAAATGTGTTGGTGTCCATGTCTCAATGCGGTATGAGGACAGCCGCTTCGGATAGCATTCCTAGCACAGGTGCAGAGGTCCGACCTCCTGGGTGCGCTACCTGCAGAGCCGAGAGGAAGAGGGGTGATATAGCCATGATCGAAGACAGGGACTGCTTGCCTTCGTTGATGGTAAGAGAAGTGGTTCTCGCGAAAAGCTTCCCGAAAACCTGCCAGACAGCCAGAAGTGAATCTTCGTAGACATCGGAGGCGACAGCACTGCCATGACGGCCCAGTTTGAAGCAGAAGCCCACGATCCACCAGATGACCTTCTGAGTTGTCGTACTGGACTACCAGCCACATTCGTATCGGTCCCATTTTGATTTGTCTGCTGTTCTCGCAAGGGAGGTCGAAGTTTCTGGCTGGTTGGCTGCCCGATGGTCCTTCTTTGAGCCATTGCCCTGCCAAGACATCAGAAGGGCGCCTGGTGTGCTGCTAGTGTCGTTGAGCTGTTCCTCCTTGACTGGCGGGAAGTATTGAGATCGCACTGCCACTGAGGTGGACTGGAAGACTTTGTTGATGATGACTCTACACACATCGACTAGGAGGACAGTGAAGAGGCGAGGTGGTGAGATGGGATGCCGAAGTGGGGGGTGGAGGTGGTGCTGGATGTGGGCTCAGGGCTCGAGGCGATGGCAAGTGAGCAGTGAGTGCTTTGTCGCAACGAGGAGAAAGTGGCAAGTGCACGCAGCACACACGCGTCGCTCTTTCCGTCTGTACTCCAACACCGACACACGCGGCGCAGCGTCATGGCAAAGACTCACGAGGCAGGCAGAGAAGTTGCGCCACAGCAAGCTACACTACGCTGGTCTTTGGACAAGTGTGATCCATGCCGCGACTGTCAGAGGGAGGCTCAGCTCTTGCCCTCCTTCCCATCCATCCCATCCCATGAGATCCTGCCACTCTTTTGCATTCATCCACCTTCTTCCGAACCCACGTCTCTCTCACGATCCAGCTTCCCCCAACGCACCCCTCGCAGCCTCCCCAACCTACTGTGGTCTAAAGTCCGCCTGCTCTGCACTCAAAGCACCTGCATACATGCGCCGTTATGTCTAGCTCGAGCAGCCTCTCTGATCCCGAGAGCCAGCTTGATGGCAGCGCAACAGAGGATTCTCACCCTGGCGTGGACGCTGAGGAAGACGGCGAGGGCGGAAGTGGGAGCCAGGCAGAGTCCACTGAAGACGCTGAGGGCGACACCGACTCCGAAGACCAGAGCGGAGCCCAATCCAAGACTGGCAATGAAAAGACCTCGAACGCTCAACAACCACCTACTGGCTCTCCAGCTGGCTCTCCTTGGAGCCCGGGCAGCGACTTTGAGCGCGAGTACATCGATCTGCCTGTCGTTCAGCCCCACCGCCGAGTCAGGTTCAGAAGTCAAGCCGAAGCCTTCAGCCAACCTCGAGTGGTCTCGCAGCGTGCCCCCACTGGACGCTATCTTATCACCAACTCAAAGACGGGAGACATCGAGATCCGTCCAGCAGCGTACATTACCTGCGACAGTGACTTTCCCCACGGTGAGGTAGAAGAGGACGATCCTCATGCTGATGATCCGATCTTGTGCATCGTATACGGACGCTCAGGAAGGGGGCCCTGTGGAGATCGAGCGATTCATATCCGCTATCCTGGCGATGGAAGATTGCCGTACATCCCTCTTGGAGACATCATCATCGAGCGTGAGGTCGAGCCAGGTCTCGATCCCACGTACCCTCACCTCATGTTTGTAGGGCACGACGCCCCTGGTCCATGCACAAGCTTCGTCAGGGGCATCTCTTCTGTTCGACTAGGCATTGAAGAGAACATGTTCGGAAAAATCTGGACATCCGTCGGTGGCGACCCGAGAGTATGTCTTGACCTACCCCCAGCACAGCGCCATCCGATCGTGAACTTCGAGGACGACGACGATGGGGAGCTGAGGTACCATGATAAGCACTACTGGGTCTGTGCACCTCTGGATCATCCACTCAAATGCACAATTCTCACAAAGCACGGAGGGGAACCTCAGGAAGTCGACCTCGCACGGATCCTTCGCGCGACCAATTCAAACTTTCTTGCGGATGCAATAGTCACTATGAGGCGTAACGACTGTGCATGGGAGGAAGGCGGGCTCGGTCGTCGTCAGTGGTTCCTCGACATCAGGATCGCGAGTCTGCACTTGCAGGGACTCAGCAAAGCTCGCTCGGCTCAGCCGCCACGCTCTGTACATGCTGTTGGCCGTGGGCAAGTTGCCACACCTGAGCTCGCTCAGCTGTTCAGTCTTTGTCAAGCTATTCAGCCCATTATTACCTCGGGTGAGGTGCGCATTGCCAGAGCTCCTTCCGCTGCGACTCGCTGTGTCCCAATTCCTACAGCGATGACCGGCAAGCGTAAAGCTCTTCCAGCCCCTGTGCCTGAGAATGCCAAGCGACTCAACAACCGAACAATTCCCAATGCCAGCGCTGCGAGTGCAGCCAGAGCTAAGCCTGCCGCTACTGCTGAAGTCTCTCGCGAAACGCCAGCCCAGCGTCCATCTGGCGCTGCTGCTCAAGCTCCTCCTCTTACTCAGATTGCTTCTCAGGGTCAGCCTCATGTTCAGGAGCGAGTTGAGGCCCGAGCTCAGAAACCATCTCAGGCTGCTTCCCAAGTTCAGCCTCAGTCCCAGGTTCCCGCTCCTTCTAAGGTTCGTCCTTCTGCAACAAGCCAGCCCAAGGCAAAGCACAAAGCTCCCGCCACCAGCCCCCTCAAAGTTCCAGGTATTCCGCGATCGGGCGTCTCACCCATCATCTCTGTTCTCGACATGACGCTGCAACCACCACCATCTGGGTCATCGGCCTCGTCCGAATCCTCATCCGCTCCGTCTTCTCCTTCTCCGGCGGCAGCTCAAGGTCGAGGTGGAGCTAGACCTCAAATGCAAGCTCAAACGCAAGGCTACCCAGCAGGATCAGGTTTGGCTCCTGCTAGAGTCGAGGACGCGGCAGAGGCTGAGGCTGATGCTGAAGTTGGTGCTTCCGTTTCGCCAGGAAATTCGGACGGTACTCTTGCTCCTGTTCCTGCGAGTAGGCAGAGATTGGTCCAGATCAGGGGATCAGAAAAGGCATCGAGCGCTGCCCCTCTCTCACCCTCATCTACGACGGCACATGAGCACTCAGCTGCGCACCCGACTTCAGCTGTAGCATCACCAGCTTCTTCCATCTCGACATCAGACTCACTTTCTGCCCGAATCGCCACGCCTCGAGCATCTCAGCGACGACACTTCCACAATCAAGCACCAGCGTCACCTCAAGCTCGAGATCCATCTCAATCTCGTGGAGGTGTACCCATACGCGAAACTGAAAGCGCAAGCGCAGGCCTCTCGATCTCCACGCGCCGAAAGGTTCGGCGTAGGAGGACCCTGCAGAGGATCGGATACGCACTTCTTTGGCTCGATGACATGAGTTGAATGAGCGAGAGAGCGAGCTGCTAGCAGATTTGGAGAAGGTGTGCGTGACCCGCTTGCAGTGAAGCTTAGATGGAGTGAAGGTGGGCGATGCATGAGTGGAGAGAGATGAGAGGAGGGACAAGAGGGAGATGATGGGACTGATTTGCGGGGCCAAAGGGTGGAGACACAAGCACGCACGAGAGGCGAGATAGAGAGCACAGACAATGGCCGTTGTTTTCTACAGATGGGTACCAGGTCTTGCTCAACACCGATACGCTTCCATTCCTGAATTCTGGGCAAAAAGCAAGATCAGCGGTCCCAGTAGCGCCCTGTTGCCTCTACCAGCCTTCCCCGTCTTCTCATTGTTGTCGTAATGGCCTCACCAAAACTAGTTGACACCTTCGACCGTTGAGCTGTGCAATTTCTGCAGCGGTTCTGCCCACCTTCGAAAGATGATGAAGAATGCAGGGCGAGAGCTTGTGTGGTCACAGGCCTGTTGAGCGGCGGATGTTCCGTGAGTGAAGGACGTTACGGGAGGAATTGGAGTACTGTACACCGCTCAGCGGAAGCTGCTGCCTGCGGCTCGTAGGTCCCTGCTTGTCCTTTTCAGCAGAATGGCGTCTCGCTCTGTGCGTGCTGTCCAGTTCCCCAAAGAGGAGTCGAGATCGCGAGGATTCCTTGACGCTTTGCGCCCCAAAGCCGGACTCGTGGATACTGTATGTTCCGCTGAGCAGATGAGAAGAGGGAATGGTTGCATCTGCTCGTAGACTTGACACCGGAGGTCTCTCGGTGGTCTGTAGAGGGTAGAGTGATCAGTAGGGAGGAGACATTGAGGAAGAACGGCCTGGCTCGACACTCGACTTACCTTGATCTTGACCTCAAGAGGATGTCTGCCCCACCACGCCAGTGCGAGAGAGCTAGGACATGAGTGGGTTCGTCTTGCCCTGTTCCTTTCTGATCTATCCGACTTCCTGTGACATTGAGAATACCTCAGAAGCTGGCTCGTAGGAAGCGAAGGTGATGTAATCAAAGGTAGGAGCACATCACTGGCGGTGTGATGTGCTCGAAGGCGGGACGCAAGGACATGCCGTCTTCCGAACCGGAATTGGTATGGCTCGCACTCCGGAGCTGCACTGGCCTGACGCGGCCGTGCTGCTGTCGCTTTCCGCTCCTCGCGTCTGATGACACCCTTACACTCTTACCCAGCCAAACTTGACCTCGCCTGCCAAGCCCACCAGCTCACGACTGTCTCCTTGTACGTCCGACCTGGCGAACTTCATCCGACGCTCCAGACGTCTCGTCATGAGACTCAGAGAAGGTTGACATCCTCAGGAAGCAGACTCCGAGATCGACCCGATAGGGGCTCAAGTTCCGCTCATTATGATGTCTCGCAAGTGCTAGACAAGGTCACTCTCACTCTAACACTGGGCTCGATCCAAGACGGTAGACACAGACACACCATAGCGGTCGGACGATCGATGATGGATCCAGGCCCATGCAGCGCGGTCCAAAGCGAGCGTGGACGTTGAGGGCCGATATGAAGCGATTGTCCTGGATGAGTGGACTGTTCTGGAGCTCTATACTCAGCACAACATAGGCCACAGCTCTGCAAAGTAAGCGACAGATGGACAATCAGCAGAAGCATCCAACACGAGGTCCAAGTGTACACCTCGGAGGTTCGCAGGAACCTCGAGGCTTGACACCGCCAAGCTGCAGAGGCAAGCGAGCTCTTACTGGGGTGAGTGCAAGATGGGGATGCGCACTTGACGACGCAAGCCATAGACGTTGATCAGCCAATGCTATCCTGTCGCCGCCAGACTTCCCTACCTTGGGCGGCTCACGCCATCAAGGCGAACAGGCAGCATACTTGTCTTTCTCTCATCCGTTGTCACTCGAGACGCCGAGTAAAGCACTGAGAAGCAGTCGTGCCGAGTTGAGCAGTCCGCACACTACCCTACCTGACACAGGATCCCATCGATCGCGCTGGGCGCGAGGAGCGACAGTCAGCAGACGGAGAGCGAGCAAGCTAGGAAGTACGGCCCTCAGCAGGAGGACAGGTAGACATAGCACATGCAACCCCGAACGCTACAGCCAAGGCATTCACTTAAACACTGCGCCTTGTACGAGTCTGGGGCCTGTTTCAGCGCTTTTCCTTCTCTTCCAGGCTTAGAACATTGAAATCATCCATACCGAGAAGGAAGGCGGACCCCTTAGAAACAACCTTCGACCGAGTCCAAGCATACCAGCACAGCGAAGACAACGCAGTGTGTTGTCCAAGGATCAATTCCTCAATGCTCTAGGAGCAGATGTCTGGAAGAGTCGACGCTGCCGTCGTCTGAGCACGGTATCCATAGTTCAATCCCCTGGATGACTCGGCAGAAAGGAGGCGAGAACACCCTCGCGGACATTCCAGCGTCTTCAATGCGAAGGACAATGCCAGAGGCCTCTGAAGAGGCAATGAGCGACCGGACATACCGCAAGTGTAGCTCACAGAGGGACAAGCAAGCCTCCCTCTGTGACACGAGCACTGACCGCGCTTTTTGGTAATAGTTTTACAAAGATTGACAATCTTCGTAACTCAGGCGATGTGCGGTACCTTCCAGTGACGTACGAACTGATCGAGCAGGAAGTAGGAGCCGAAGACGTCGAGCCTCTGCTGCAAAAACATCGGCACACCGTCTCTGCCTCTTCTGAAGAGGACCGATGAATTCTGTCTTCAAAGAGACATCTTTCCGGTCAATTCAGCCACTGCGGACACCCATACGAACGGCGCCACCCCGCTAACAGCCGAATGTATTGCCACTATGTATCCCTCCTCGTACTTGGAAGACGCAGTCCAAGTCATCGCAGTCACAGCTGTAGGCGGACAGGTCTTCAGCTCGTCGTCGACGACTGAAAGTTCTCATTCACGAACGCTCCACTGATCTCAGAGCTGGAGAAGCTCACTGCCTACATCTCGGGCATCAATGGCGTGCTCCCTCTCCGAAAGCGGCCAAGCTCAGGAGCAGAGCTCCAGAAAGTCGGTCATCGCTGGTGAAACACTTTCAGACGCAAGGCGAATTCGATGTCGACGATAGAAAACAGTGGCTACAAACAGCACCAGTGGAAGGCAGACGTAGAGCTTTTTCCGCTAAGACTGCAAACATGGGAAAGACTTACACCGGCGTCCCATAGCTTGCTTATCTCCCAGTTCACTGGCTGTGCCACTACTTGTGGCTCTGCTACGGGCCGCACGACAAGCAGATCTGCCCTGAACATATCGTTCTTGCTCGGACATCCCTCCAGCACCCCACCTTCAGCACATGGTGACAAGATCGTGCCGCCTTGACGATGAGGTGCCGCAACAGGGAGGTTATCGCCTAGCACATACGTCACCTTGGCAATGCTGTCGAGAGCCGCCTATGGCGCTGCAGCCAAGCTCATGAAGACGACAGGCAGATGACAAGCGGTAGAGGCCGTAGTCAGTCGTCGGAGGCAGATCTTGATTGCTCCCCTTGAATCTCACGCGAGGAAGGCAGAAGATGGTGCCAGGAGGCGCCAGCAAGGCGAAGTTGATATGGACCATGAAGTCTTTCAAGCATCTGTGCATACAGTACCACAAGGCAAGGCTACCACAACTGTACCAAGCTGAGGTAATAGGTAGTGCAGCTAAGCATCACATGCACTCTACCTGCATGGAGCAAAAGTCGTCACCTCAAGACGAGTGATGGACTCCAAATCACCTCTGAGAGACGAAGGCTCTCTACGACTCATCAGCATTCAGCAAGCAGCTCACTTCCGGAAGCGGATAGCTGGTGCGTAGATAATTCCACCAAGGGCCGATTGCCATCGAACGGCGGTGCCTGTAGTGCAGATTTCCGTATTGCAAATATTCGCTCAGTACCCTGATCGGAGTTCGGCTCGTACATCCTGCGATCTATGACTCTGTCACGGCTGCAACAAGAGTGGGCTCATCTCACCCGGTCCTGGCTATTACTATGCCTGATTGAAAGTGCAGAGAGTGCCTCTCAGTCCGACCTAGAAGACGACTTGCCGGAGCCCAGATTGGAAGAGCTGGGAGATGACGATGATATGCAAGCTTCTATGTACGAGTCGATGGAGGAGGAAATGGAGGAAACGCTGCCAGAGACGGACGAGAATGTTGTGCAAGACAACGACAACGGTACACAAGATCAAGCTCCCCGAGAAGGCACTACCGACAGTGCCATGACTGTGAGTATCTGGACACGTAGACGCCGGAAAGAGATCAAGAGTCTGTTGGGATGGGAGATACGGGTCTTCCAGCGTTGTAAAGACATTCGCGGCACGGTAGTCGCGGGATGGTATCGCCTTGCTTCTCCCAATGGCTACCCTCGCTCAAGTGCACACAAGCTCATGTTGCAGCCTCAGCAGGGTGAGTGGGAAGTACTCAGTGGAAACAGTGAGCAGAGCGACTGCGGACTAAATGTACTGCTCTGTCGGCTTCCCCTTGGCAGTGTTGTCGCGTCGGGGTGACGGCGAAGCCGTGAATAGGACCAACATAGAGGCTCGGACAGGCAGCGAGACCGGTGCCCTTCTGAAAAGTCTCGACGCGGTCTGCTAAGCGGCAAGAGTAGCTTAGGACAGGAAGAGTCCGGGTGACCTTGACAGTGACATAGACTGGTGGGCTGGATCGGGCGTCCTCGACGTTCACTTTCGGCTATGGAGCTCCTTCGCTGTCAGAACCCCCGTTCTTGTGTTGCTCTGAAGTAGAGGTCTCTAAACAGGTGCAAGTACTCGGCAAGCACTACATGTCTTTACTGAGGGGACGTGGTGATACTAGCAGTGCTTCCGTCGAACGCACGACCACGGCTGGCAATGTCACATACGATTGGCTATGTCGCTGAAGAAGGCCTGAGGTGCACAGGTCATGAAGTCTGCCTATGTTGGCTTCTATATGCCATTCGAGGTTCACACTTCCGAAATGAAAGATCCGTTATTGTCTCGCTCTCTGTTCCTTTTCCAATACGAATGTGATACAGCTTTCATAGCAATCATCCTGCGTGACGAGCCTCTGATCCATGTGCTTCTTTGTCCTTCTCACCTGACGACCCTCTCGCCTGGCATTGTGTCCACTCTAAAGAGCCATCATCAGCTGAAGGCTGAGGGCTTAGCCAATGCCGGCCGAGGCAGAGGTCGTACAACAGCAGCAGCACTGCGTCTGTGCAGTGCCCCCGTGCGCTACTGAGGTAGCGCAACGCACCGGACTTGACCGGTATATAGTCTTCCGTGAGTCCTCTGTAGCGGGAGCAAGTGATTCATGTACCGCACCTCAGATCCGCTGCGTGAGAACACCAGCTCGTCATCTTGCGACCAAAGCTCGACTTTCTTGCGTCATCACCGAACAGCTGCCCGATCAACACTGAACTTTTGTCCGTACCCACGAACAACTTGCCAGTCCTCTCGAACCAGCCAGCCGAGCAAGAGTGAAGGATTTGCAACCGAAGGCGAACAATTTGCACCGCGCCGCTCCGTCAGAGGCTGAAAGGCGGTCGCGCTCCTGGTGATCTGTGTTGGCCGTGCAGGTTTGCGAAGTGCTGCTCAGGCTGCTGCCGCTGTGGGAGCGTGAGGATGGAGGATGTGCGGCTTGAACGTGCCGTCTAGGGCTGCTTGCTTTGCTAGGGAGGCCACTCCCTCGCCCGTAGAGGCAAGGCCTGCAGTCGATTCCACCTTCGCAAGGTGTCAGCTACCGTGAGCGAAGCTAAGGAAGAGGAGCGGCGCCCTTTCCTCGAGGGGCATCTGCATGCTTGTGGGCCGCTCGGGGTCTTCGGGTGTGACAATCTGGCGTCCGATAGAGGCTTTCAGGCCCTCGCATTCGTCCAGTCTGAGCCCACGGCCCTCTCCTTCCCCCCGTATGCCCTGTCCAGCGCAGAGCGTGAGCGGAGCTCCCCCTCTCCCTTACTGCCACAGCGTGCACTATTATCGCCAAAAGCTCAGCTCAGCTCAGCTCCGCCGGAGTTCAGAAGCCAAAACTTGCTGGACTACTTAAGCGAGGTGCTCCTCGCTAAGAAGATGCTGCATGCGCGAGAAGACCGAGGCGCGCAACGCGATGCCCGAGGTAAATTTCTCCCAAAAGCCGAGCCAGAGGCTGGGCCTGCCGACGACTAGATACTGTGAGGGGTACATGTGAGAAGCGCGGAGTCCGAGCGTGGCATGCAGGTGAGAAGTGCACGATAGCAGTTGGAGTCGGAGTGCCAGTGGGATGGACGGGGTACTACCACTTTGCGGTAGCCAAGGAGACCTCGGGCGACCCTTTTGCACTCCGCTGTTCCCCTTGATAAGGATGTGTCAGCCTCGAAATTGCTGGCTAGGGCGAAGCTGTCTCTTGTTGCCGTGCATCCGTAGAGGTCCCGTCATTGTTGGGTCTTGATCTTCTCTTTCGCATCATGTGACACTCGGACAAGTGGGTCTACGAGCGTGAGCATTCAGCCTGCGCGCTCGAGAGCCTCTCTTCTGCTTCGGCAAGTCCAGTCCTGCTAATTGTTCATGGCCCTGCAAGGGTCATCTGGGCATCCGGGCAGAAAGCCTACCGGGCGTACGTTGAAGGGCAAGCCAGGACAGGATAATTTGGTGTACTGTATAGAGCAGCTCGCATGCTCTCGTAGACAGACAGTGCCGAACTTGCGCCTCGAGAGCCGACTCAATAGATGCCGGGTGGTGCTTGCTCGGGGTCCTATGATGCCAAGGACGAAGGCTACAGAGACCGATCAGCAGCTGAGACCTAGCCAGTCGTCCGATGCGAAAGGCTGGCCGACTTTAGTTTCGAAAGACCTGCTCTTCACTTCGAGGGAGAGCGCCTGAAGCGAACTCTGTACTGTACTCTACGTAGGGGCTGCTTCTTGAGGCTGCCGCTCCGCTGTGCGTGCTGGTTCCAGGCAAGCTAGATTCGTTGACATGCCGAGAAAGAGAGCCTCCGGTCCAGCTGAGATCATCTTGAAAGTCAAAGCCAGTGAGGCTTGTAGCCCAAAAAATGTGTATAGTATCGGGTGCTTTCTCGAAGTCGAGAGCCTTTGAAAGTCAGCCCATGAGTGTAAGGTGAAGTCGAAGAGGTGTGAGAGGCTCCTACTGGCGCAGAATGGATGGAACGCCCGCTCCACCAGCATTCCCCTCGCCTCTGCGTCTGGTCCTCGGAGATTCCCTCCAACGAAAGTCGTCGTACGAAGAGCCTACCCTCTGCCCCAGCAATCAAAGCCAGAAGCCTGCCATCGGATGCTGACTCATGACTCAGTGGCGCTTGGGAAGCCTGCCGTGCTCGAGCAGCGCTGTCTCGTCAATGGCCATCTAGGTGCTGTCTCAAGACGCTGCCCGAAGTATAGCCGATGTCGTGAGGATCCAGGGCCTTGTACAGAAGCTCTTCGCATGAGCTCATTATGGGGGTGGGCTGTCCAGCAGCTGCGATGGAGACAGTGTTGGAGCGTCTCTGAATGTACAGTACAGTACCGTACTGGAGCAGGGCGTTGCGATGCTGCCGATTGTCCAGAGATCTACAAGTGGCGCTCGCAAGAGACTTTGGCCCAGTCCAGTAGTGATGATGCGATTCGCCGTCATGTGAAGGTTGTATCTTCTCCACTCATGCATTGATGCCCTCGAGCAGGCCTCCTTATCGGACAATCTCTTCTGAATTCGGAGGGGATTCGGACCTGACCAGGTGCGAAAGGGCTTTGGGACTGATCTTCTGTCCGAGCAGCCAAACGAGCGGGAGTCGCAAGATCGTCGGTCACGAAGTCCCGTGCAGCCGTGAGAAGCGTTGCGCTCTACGCAAGCTGAAAGGAGCAGTGCTCGAGTGACTCATTCGTCGAAGAGAGGAGAGTAGAAGATAGAAGTGTGAGGTATGGTACGGTACCATGCTGCGCTCATCAGTGACGGCGAAGCGGAAGGTGGATCTTCTCGCGCTTGTGGCTCTATGCAGTTCCGTGCGCATCTGCTCCGATCCGACTTCACATCGCTCTCAGGCTCCTACCACTGCAGCTTGTGTCGAAGAGCATCGATCAAGCAGTCCGCTCCATCACTTTCACTGTTGCGGATCTGACATTGTGTGCTGGTGGCCATTGGGCGCTGTTCATCTCACAGCTGTACCTATGGGCTAGGGGAGTAGCTCGGTTCTCTTTTCGTGACTCTGCATGTTGAAGGTTATTAGCGTTCACACAACCAACAAGCTCGCCAGCGCTCAGACAGCCACCGCTTCGCTCTGCCTGATGCTCACTACCTTGACCACCCTCTGAGCTCCAACTCCCTCCCCCAACCCAAGCCATACGAGGGTGTCTCCAGCTTCTAGCCCTTGCGCGTATCCAAGCTCCCAAGCTTTCCTCTTCGCCCTCACTGTGACCATCCCACGCCCTCCATCAACTCCCCATCCTTCCCTCCCCCAACTCATCTCCCCCGAGTAGCGAGGCCGTGCACGCAAGCAGCACCCGGCGCACGCCAAACGGGCGCTTACGGGCGGCTGCACAGTACAGTGGGCTTCGTTACCATTCAGGTACCGATGGTCGGAAGAAGATTACTTAAGTGTCTAGGGGTGCAGCGGGCAGGCGCGGCACCACTTCAGGCACGCGAGAGTTGAAGCACGCAATAATGGGGTTCGGTGGCGAAGGGTGGATGTGATGTGATGTACTGTAACGAAAGGTGAGAGAAGAGGGAGCTGGACAATTCGCTCGCTCGAGAGCAGGAGTAAGGAGGGGCTGACGGGCGATACGAGGTGACTTGGCCTCTCACCGACACCTGAATGTGTATGCCAGCAGCTATGACCCCGCCTGTAGCTCCCGCAACAGTACTGTCCTCAGCATCTCTTCAAACCGGCAAACTCAAAGCTCCTCAAGCGGAGAGCAATGGAGTGATCGTTCCAAGCGAGGTAACGGGCGAGGAAGCAATTTGTGACTGAATACAAATGACGCCCACCGGAAAGTTTGGAGCCAAGCGGGGTCCGGGCGACAGGAGGTGGGCGTGGGCTCAAAGGGAGGGGGCAAGTGAGGGGGCGAGAGAGGGCACTAGGAGGGAGCTGGAGGGGACCTTTGGGGTTGCACGTAGAGTGGGAGCTGTGCTCAGCAGGGCGCAATTGGCGCAGGATGAAACGGGAAACTCTGTGGTTCAGCAGAGGACTTGCACAGTCAGCGTTTTGCCTAGCTCCCTCCCTCCTTCGTTCGTTCGTTCGTTCGTTTGATTTCGGGAAACCATGAGTGCTGGTGGACCGTTGCCTGTGCCTCGAGGGCGGGAGAAGAGCCCCCTCGCAGCGGAAACCAAGTCAGGGCAGGGGGAAAGAGTCACGCCGAGGGGACCTCCATGGCCGGCCTTTTCCTCTGCTCTCCAAGGCGAGGCATTGAGCACCCCCCTTTCGCCTACATAAGGGGGACTCCTCTCCGTCGAGAAGTTGTCTTTTCTCTCATCCTCTTCTCCATCACCACTCTCAACGACTACGACTCTTGGACTACTCGACTACCACTACCACTATCACTACGATGACTTGAGGAGCACCACCATCCATCCTTCCCCTCACCACGATCAACGCGCACCACCTCCACCACCGCACAAGAGCTCCTCGACGACGACGACCTTTCTCGCATCAAGCTCCCCCTCCCATTCCTCCCCTCCCATCCAATCCGGATCAATCCGGACCAAAGTACAAGTACAAGTACCAATTCCTCCTCCAATGCCCTCTGCCAGGCAAGACAAGAACACGCACCCACCTCTCCTCGATCTCGATCGCATCGCGAATTCGATGGCCGGCTCAAAGTATCAGTAGACACAAGACACGGGCAACGAGCAACAAGTGACAAGGGACAAGTGACAAGGGACAAGTGGCAAGCGACACGTTGGAGGTTCGACTGCTAGCTCTACCACAAGCGTCGAATCCCTCCTCCTTGTCCCTTGTCCCTTGTCCCTCGTCCCTTGTCCCTTATTGCTTGTTGTTTGTTTGCCTCTACCGAGTAAAATCTCACAAAGCCGTGCCTGAAGCGCCGCCCATCGCCAAATCGAGGAGCAGTCTTGCTGGTAGGCCACCTTTCTTGAATCCTGATTCCTTCTTGGAATGCAAGGCCCGGAGTAGAGGACGGTACAGTACTTTGGAGGAATGGGAGAAGGGGGAGCTTGAGGATGGGAAGGGGACAAGTCGAGGGAGCTTGGTGAGGAGGAGAAGGTGGGAGTACGGCTAGGGCTGGGGACTTGCTGGACAGGGCTTCGAAGTGGCGACGGACATCTTGATTCGTAGGTTCTTTGCTCAGGATACCTCAGCGAGACGAGTACAGTGGAGGAGTCACTGACATCGCCTTCTCTTCTCCTTCAGCTCTCTTCTACGCACAGCGACGATCTTCGACGACTTCGAGCTCTCTCTCTCTCCACTTGTACGATGCTGGCTACTTCGGACCCACTTGCACCTGGATCTGCTCTACCTCTACGAAGGCTCTCTGCCCCTTCGATTTTGGCCTCTGTAATAGTGAGTAGCGAGATAGAGCCACGACCAGTCTCCAAACACCCGAGCGAGCGAGCGCTGACCATCTCTCTCCCCTCGTCTTCTCTCCACCCCAGCTCACCGACAACGTCATCCTGACCAGCCATCGAATCCCAGCACATCACTCCCACTCCCTTCCTCCACCACTACTACTGCCACTACCACTGCCACTGTAAAGTTCTCGCTCTTCTACTTTGCACTCTTGTCTGTACCGTACTATCCGCACTCTCGTACCTCGTACCTCGTACCATGTACCATGTACCATCTGAACCCTGAACCCTGAACCAAGACCTAGAGCAATGCCAGTGCAACTTCGCACGCACATACAGTATGCTTCTTCCTACTTGCCTTGACACTTGGGGTTACGAGGCGATGCGATGCGATGCGATGTGGTACGATCTGACACGATATGATGTCCAACAAGTCTCCTCCTCCTCCTCCTCCTCGAGGGAGAAAAAGAGCGAAGGAGCGCAGTGACCTGATCGTCCAACTTCGACCCACATGGCCGGTCCAAAATTACGACTGGAGACTGCAAACTGGAGACTAAAGACTGCAGACTGGAGACTGGCAACTGGAAACTGGCGAGTGGGGACTGGCAACTGGAGACTGGAGACTGGAGACTGGAGATTGGAGACTGGCGACTGGCGATCGGGGACTGGGAAGTGGAAAGTGGGGACTGGGATGAGCACAGCGCAGCGCAGTGCAGCCCTGTACAGCCAAGCCCAGCAGAGTCGAGGCAAGCGCCCGGTCAGCATCCGGTACTCCCTCCCTCCCTCCATACGCTACAGTGCAGTGCAGTCCAGTCCAGTCCAGTCCAGTGCAGTGCAGTGCAGTGCAGTGCAGTGCAGTGCAGTGCAGTCCCGTCCAGTCCGCTTCGATCGATCGATCGATCGGTCAAGCAGGCCTTCACTCCCATCAGCACCTCGCTCCCCCTCCCCCTCTTCCTCTTCCTCTTCCTGCATCACAAGATGGTCAGCTCGGTTTGCGTTCTTGAGTGAGGAGTGAGAATTGAACCTCGGAGAGAGAGAGAGAGAGGTGGCATTGTAGGCTCTTTGGGCTACACCTGGCGCCGGCGCCATCACCATCGCCATCGGTATCGGAATCGGCATCGGCATCATCAGCGGCGTCAGCCTTCCACTCGCCTCTGCACTTCCTGCCATCCATTCCCTCCTTCTCCCACCCACCAGCTCCAACACCTCCCGATGCACTCTACCGCTTCGCTCAGCGCCTACGGCTGAGCTCTACGAGCAAGTGCAGGCGAGCAGGTGCAATTCCCACGGGGCTTGTCCGTACTGGGTTCACTTATCAGCTCTGCGTTCTGCTATCCCAGCTCCAGCTCCAGCTCCAGCTCCGGCTTTACAGTCAAGTGGACTTCCCTTGGGAAGCGCGCTATAGAAGGGAGTCGGACCAGATGTCAAGCAGTGCCAGGGCAAATGTTCAGAGTAGGGTTCGTATTGGCCTATCTTCTGTCTTTCTCGCACTCACCTTTCAGCTCAGCTCAGCTCAGCTCAGCTTGAGTCTCCTCCTCTGTGATCGACTCCGTACGTTCTCCCTTCCTTGCAGCAGTCCCTCCCACCATCCTCGCGCGCTCCTCGGCTCGGGCTGATCCACAGCAGGCTAGCAAGCAAGCAGTGAGGGAGGACATCCCGCTTGGGGATACAGTACTGACTGAATGCTGCGCGGATAGGCGGGTAAGAGGTCCAACTGCTTGATTGGGTGAGTGACAGAGCAAGAGGAGCTGAGTAGCGGTGAGTCTTGTTACTGTAGACTTTGAGCGATGCAGCGATGGAAGGAGAGTTCGAGAGAGAGATATCCGCCATATGGCATCGGCTGTGGAGTCTCTCATATGCAGCGACCGACGTTGAGCAGCCGTCGCAAACGCACATCCCGCGTGAGGCACTGAGCAGTGCGTTGTCTTCCTGACCTTGGAGGCTCGTGGTGAGATGGATGAGCGAAGGAGATACTTGCGGCGCACCAGAGTGGGTATTTCTGTGAGAAAGCGGGAGGAAGAAAGCGCAGTGATGATGGTTGAAGTTCTTGTACTTCGCTGGAGTTGCACCGGTAGGTTTGACTATCATTTGGAAGCTGCGCTTCTACCATGCTGGGACGAGGAGAGCTGGTTCATTGCTCACCAATATCCTCCGGAGTGACGAACCAGTAGACGTACGTCTGGACCGATCCCGTCGATCAGCGAACTCGATCCATGCATTTGTATTATGACCTTGTACCTCTGCAGCGTCCCTCCGCACCATGTCTACGGAGCGAGAGTGTCGAATTGATGCAAGGCACGACATTGCACACAGCCCACGCTCCGGTCCCCCTTGCACACGGCGCGAGATGAGAATTGCCGCGTGTAAATCCTCAGCGTGTAGGAAAGGAAACTTTCCGGAGCGAGGGAGGGGGGGGGTAAGGAAAGGAGGAGACGTGGAAGGTGAGGAGAGGAGTGGTGAGTGTGTGTCTGGGCAGTGGCCCGCTGATGCTGACGGGAGGGTTGTGGACGAAGTGTGTGTCTTCATGGGCTGCTCATTGTGGCAAAGGACATCTGCATGGGCCCGTGCGGCAGTGAGTGTGGCCAAGAGAGCAACGATGGAGGCGGGCAACCAGAGTGAAGGTCAACCTTGCAGGCACAACGCAGCAACGCAGCAAAGGCGGGCAAAGGCAGGGAAAGGAGAGACGAGAAGCTCAGTCTCGCAAAAGGAAAAGCAGAGAAGCGACGAGTGGCAGTGGCCTCGAGCGACGTTGCACTTTGCCACTCACCCACTCGCACACACACACACACACACGCACAGGCGCACGCTCACTCCCTCACTCCCTGCCTCGCTCTCTCTTGCACCACTCGACACGACTCACCCCGCTCACAGCCACCGCACACACTGCACTCCAGCATCCCCCGCCGCCACTCGCATCTCCAGCCGCCCACACACACAAGGAGTAGCCACGCCAGACTCCCTCGTCTGCTCCACTGCAACCACATCACCACGACGCACAGCCCAACAGCGACCGCGTCCACGCACCATCAGAGTCACATCACAAGACAGCTTCGCAACATCACCACCACTACCACCAGTTGCCACATCGTAGCCACTCCACGATCAGGTCAAACATGGTGCAGCCACACGTCCCTGCAAACACACCATCGCCCCACGCTGAAACTCACCCAGCAGCCAACTCAGACAGCACCGTACAGCAAGCAATGGCACAGACTGGCTCTGCTACCACACCTTCCTCTCCTTCGATCCCAGCTACGTCTGCGCTGCAAGCATTACCATCTGCAAGCTCCCTGTACAGCCACTCTTCACCCACATCGTCCCAAGTCGTCTCCTCCGCCCATAGTCGCAGTGCACCCCTCGCACTCCCACTTGCAGCCTCCCTCTCGCTCCCTCGACCAGTCTACCGTACCACTCCCACCCTCCCGTCTTCAAGACCCAAACTGCGCTCCTCCTTCACCACCGCCACCGCCGCCTCCTCGTCAGCAGCTGCCTTGGGTAGACGACCCAAAAGGACTAGGATACGAATGAGGTGGTTGCCCCCGCCTTCACCTCCGCCCGCACCTCCTCCCGTTCCTGGCTCCGAAGAGGGGGGACAAGCAGCAGGAGGGGCCGATGCATCAGAGGTTGGCAGAGATGCGAGTGCACACCCGGCAAAAGTCATCCTACCTGCCATCTTCCCAACGAGGGAAGAAGCGGAATGCTGGGCTAGGGTGTATATTGGTGCCGAGGACGCGGCGCTGGCTAGGAGGCTGGCGGTGATCACTAGGATCAAGGGCGATGTACAGAGAGGAGAAGGATCAGGAGGAGGTGGTGGAACGGTTGTGGGAAATGATGATGGAAATAGAGAAGAGGAGCGTGAAGAGGCTGATGATGATGATGTTGTTGAAGAGGAGGAGGAAGATACCTCTGTCAATCAGGAGACACAGGAGGTGCCTTTGCTTGGAAAGCAGAACGAGGCTACAAAGACTGCCAAAGGTCCTCGTAAGAGGGCACCTGATAAACCATGGCTCGTACGCTCGGGAAATAACAATTGCTTGGGCGATTTAGTGGTGAGTTAGTCAAAGCGCCAGAATTGTCAGACAGACGAAGAGATCCTTTCCTGACCTGATTGTGCCATGTTCTTCCCTCTGCCTCTGTTTCTCGCTTGACGCATTACAGCTACAATGTACCTCTCACAAGCGCACGAGGTGTAAATGGAAGCTGGTCATCTCTCAACATATCAAGGATGCAGAGGCAGAAGCACTCTTGTCCTCACACGATACCCTCTTGTCAACATCCACCGCAACTTCGACTACCCCAAGTACAACCTCTTCCTCCCTCCATCCCCATCCCCAAGGACGCAACAACGTCTCCGTCTCCGTCTCCACTTCCACCCCGTCTTCCTCCTCCTCTTCCTCTCCACACTACTACCAACTCTCCAACCCCATCTCAACCCACTCTCTCATGTGCATGCGCGGACCATCCTACGCGCAATACTTGCCTGAATTTAGGAAATGGATGAGGGAAAAACAGGAGAGGAAAGAGAGACCGGCCCTTTCGGCTAAAGAGGAGAGGGAGTGGTTGATGGCTTTTGCTACGAGGTGGGAAGAGGGGAGGAAGAGGGGGAGGGGAGCTCGCTTGGATGAGGTTTGCGAGCAGGTGAGGGAAGATGGAAGTTCCATCGCTGCTGGTACTACACTCACCGACGGAACTCAGCAAGCCGCGAGAAACTGGACCCCTCTGGGCACGGCCGAGCCGAACAGAGCCTCCACGTCCATCTCCGAGCAACCGCGTCAAGAAGAAGACCAAGTCTCTTCCGACTACGAGCCTCTTTCACACGACGAGCTCCCACACGACGACGAAGTGGACTTTTTCGCCGATCTTGACGACTCTTTCACGAGTACTACGGGACAGGAAGAGAGAAGAGGCCAGCTCTCAGCGGTTGTCAGCATGGGGACGGACAGACAAACGGACGAGAGCGGTGCACTGGGAGCGCTGCAAGATCGCACCAGTCGAGCGAGCTCTTATGAGACTACACGTGCGGAATACCAGGAGCAAGATGAGACTGCTCATCTCTCTTCTAAGCCATCGACGGGCGTTCAAGCTATACATCCGGCCAGCGCAGTGGTGAACTCTACCCCTCGCATCGCAAGCAGCATTGGACGCACGAGCGAAGAGAGGTCTTGCAACACTGGGACTGCAGCTATCTCGCCACGTTCCTCCTCTCTGGCTGCTCCACTTTCATCGAGGGCGACGTCAATCTCGACATGCACCCACCCAGTGTCAACATCGGCGACTTCTCCCTCAAGTTCAGTCTCAGCCTCGACCTCGACCTCGAGATGGATTGCCTCCGCGGCAAATCACACGTTCGCTGGCGGGCCCTTCTCGTCTCCTCCATCTGGCCCACTTCGGCCCTTTGCTCCTCGTACGCCCACTCCCGTTCCTACGTTTACTGCCACGTCAATACTTACCGAGTCTACAGAGCCACAGACGCTCCGCTACTGGTGGGCATCCGAGCCTGTCAAGACGCTCTGTGTCGCTCTGGAGCCACACTTTGCTGGCGTGAGCAAGTGGGTGCAGGAGCGAATGCGGGAGCGAGAGAGCAGTGAGGGCGGAATGCTAAGGTGTTCTGAGAAGGCTCAGGCTGGCATGGGTGACTTAGACAAGCAGACAAGCAGGGCAAGCACGAAGAGCGAGACCACCATTACGAGCACCACCACTTCCAGCAAGACGAGAAGTACGGCTGTGCTAGATCTTCTTGGACTGGTTCATGTGGTGGATGAATTGATGACACGGGCTCCATGGGCTTTAGGCTCGGGCGTGGCTGTGCCTGTGCCTGTGGCTACGGCTACGGCTACCGCTACCGCTACGACATCAACGGGGAGGACGCATCCTCCTTCGAACCCTACTTCTTCCCCGTCCCGCTCTACAACGTCAACTGGCTCAAAACAGGGCAAGCAAACTCAGGATGTGCGTCACACATCTCGGATACCGCAACTGCCGAGTATCGTCATTCATATTCCCAGCACAGCTGCCCCTTCTCCTTCTTCCTCGTCGTCGTCGTCTTCAAGCTCTGGAAGCGATAGAGAAAGCAGCAGCGGCAGTGACCAATCCAGCAGCGCCAGCATGGGCTCAAGCGGCGAAACCGCTACATCTACACGTCCACGTCGACTTCCAAGAGCCAGTGCCAGTGCCAGTGCCAGTGCCAGTGCCAGTGCGAGCACCGAGACTGGTGGCGAGTGGAGCGATGGCTTCCTCTTCGTCTGGCCTTCTCCACGCAACGCTAGAGCCAGGTGTTCTTGGGAGTTATTGGAAAGATGTGCGAAGAAGGAGGATCGAGACAGATTGAGATTGAAGACAAACACATCAAGTAGGACTGCAAGAAGTGAGGAAGATGAGGGTAGTGGCGCTAGGTCGAGCCACTTGCCCTCTACATCGACTCTGGACGCCGTCAAACCTCCCAGTGTCATCTGCTTCTACAGCGAGCTGCACCTTCTCTGTCCAACTCTAGAGAGCTTCCAGGGGAGGTATCACCTGCTTGTTCCCATCGACGAGAAACAGCACCAGAGGCGGCAGCAAGAGCCCAACCGAGAGCAGTCGGCGACCACAGATCCATCGGCTGCACCGGCCTCGTCCAGTGAGCACAGCTCCCCTCCACCATTCTCTCCGGCTGGTCCCGACGGCGCCACTACTGCAGCCACTACCATCTCGCGTTCGACTTCGACCTCGACCTTGAACACGGCTCTACCTCGGAATTTCGCTCGCAAGGCACCAGCAGCTCCCTCACGAGTAGGAGCGCAGCTCGGAACGATGGGCGGAGCTGGACCTGGGGCTGAAGCGACGCTACTTCCGACGCGGGAGAGGACTACAGTCGAGCTGCACACGCTTGTGCCTTGCACGCTGGATGAGCTGAGGGCACGCTTGAAGCCAGACCTGCTCGAGGCAAGAGGAGGTGGCGCTCGTGCGCCGGCTTTGGACTTGGACTCTGGAGAGAGGAGGGGAGAAGTGCACACGGACACGGACATGGACGAAATACCAGCAGGGCGTCACTCCCACTCCCACTCCCACTCCCAGTCTCGCCCCAGTACCTCTCCTCAATCAGCAGCTGCGTCTCCCACTCCCACTGCTCCTGCTCCTGCTGCTGCTGCTGCTCCTCCTCCTCCTCCCCCTAGGAGCAACATCAACTGGTCCTCCTTCTCGCAATGTCTGCACATCTGGAAACCGAGCACCCTCTCCCTCACACGCTTGCTAGAGGAGATGCCTGAGTTGAGGGTAGAGTGGGGTTTGACCTCGCTTGTTAGGTCGGGCTCGGCTGCCGGCTTGGGTACGGGCTTGGGTTTGGATCTGGAGAGGGGGTCTGTTGAGGGGCAGCGAGAGGAGGGTGGGGAGGGTGGAAGTGGGAGTGGAAGTGGTGGGAACGCAAAGACGAGGAGGAAGGGTAGGCGAAGGGGGTCTTCTAGAGATGGAGCTGGAGCTGGCGCTGGCGCTGGCGCTGGGGAGGGAGCTGGAGGTGAGGTGGGAAGGAGTAAGAAGAAGAGGAGGAGACTGGGCGAGGCGTGACGGGATGGGGAGGGTGAGGGTGAGGGTGATGCTGGTAACGGTCATGGTCACGATGGAGATTATCGAAAGAGGAGCCAGGAGTGTGTGTGATGGAGATCAAGGTGACGAGGCGAAACGCTAGAGACACACAGAGGCACAGTGCACTGTCTGAAAGTCGAACAATGGGAACCTGTAGTCTTCCTCCATCTCCTCTTGGCTACACGTGCTGGAAACGATACATTCTTCATAACATGGTGCTTCGACGTTCAAGCATCGAACTTCAGCGGATCAACGGAAGTCTTGACCCTGATGATCCCCAGAGTAGGAAGCGTGTTGGCTGGCCGATAGCTTGCTCCTCCGTGTGTCCCTCTCTCTTGATCAATTGACTTGACCGTGCGATGGGCTTCGTACTGTGTAGGAACAGCAGAGGAAGTCCAGACTGGCAGAGGCAGAGGCAGTCGTAGAAGGAGAAGGGTGGTGCGGTGCGCTGCGGTGTGGTGTAGTTGAGTAGTCCAGCGCAACTCCCCCTCTGACTTCAGAGGGCGTACTGTTCAGTGCCCTCAGGTCTGGTGCCATCGCGATGCTTTCTGAGGTATTTACTTACTTACGAAGGTGCCCCTACTTCATTGCATCTACATCCTCCATCCTCTCTCCTCAAATGCGGGACTCTGCACTCTTTCCCATCCTCCACGACACTTGCTCCTACTCGTACCTATGCTGAGCACAACAGTTTCTCAGCTGTCCCAGCACTTGTGCTCTTCTTGTCTCTCCCCCAGAAGCGGACATTTTCCTTGCTTTGTTGATGGCGAGAAGTATCTTGTAGTGTCCGACGAAGCCAGCGAGGCCCATCTGATGCAGTTTGCGGGCTGTCGCGATCAGCCCCTGATGGAGGTGCAGGCGAAGTAAAGCGCCAGGGTAGATGCAGAAGCACATGTACGATGCAAGACCCAAGCCTAGCGCAGTGCGCCAGAATGGGAGTGGAGAAGGGGCTAGGTAACATGGCTGCTCCGTCCAAGTCAAGTGAGCTTCGAAGATCAATGCTTGACTCCGAGTATTTGTCTTTCGTCTCTCGAGCTCGTCGTTACTTGGTACGACCGTCTGAAGCAGCACCTCCGTCGATCACGCCTTCATGGCTGTTGTGCGGCCCGCATTCGACGGAGGAGAGGAGGAAGACTGTGACACTCTGTGCAGCATGGTAAAGCTAGCTTGGTGACTAGGTGTAGCGAGGCCTGCAGTAGTGAGTGGCCCAGAGGTAGAGCAGAGGGCCCAAAAATTTCTCTGCGCAGAAAAAGAGGGGGAAAGGGTAAGCTCTGGGCTCGGTAGAGGGTGGGAGGGGATGGAACCCTGTCGAACAAACAGCATTGCTGACTGATCCCTGGCGATCGAGCAAAGCAAAGCAAAGCAGACAGGCCTGTCGCCTCTTCCATCGACTGTCTTTGCTGTTTTACGTGAGCTGCGAAGGCCTCGTTCGAGCAACGCAGGGTGTCACACACCAAGGGAAATTTCAGCAACCGTCTTGACGAGTGACGAGGGAGAGAAGTCAACGCCGCCTTGAGAAATATGTGCCGAGTCTAAGAGAGGTTCTTGCTTCAAGGTGTGTCGTCCTGTTCGTTCTTCGATCGTTTGTCGCTTCGTCATCCTTCTGACTAGTAGCAAAGCAAAGGAGTCGCTTCCCTCTGCTACGCTCCGCCAAGGCTGTCCATCCTCTTGAAGGGCGGTGGAATGTGATATGTTATGTGATGTGATATGATGTCGAAGAGCCACACCGTAGCAAAGGCAAGTGCGAATGCCAAGTCAAACGGCTCGAGCAGCGACGTAGTGCACTGGACGAAGGCTGAGAGGGTCGGCTAGCTACTCGATTCCAGGACAAGGTCTGGGCAGGGCACGGCGCTTCCCACGAGGGACAGATTGAGGCTCGTCGACTTATTTGGAGGGACTAGAGTGGCTTTAGTCACCCTCAGCCTCAGCACAGCGCCTCAGAGCTTCTGCCGAGCGCACAAAGGGGGCTTGATTCAGTGGCAATAGCAACAATTCCTGTTGCCCTGCTCCGTTTTGGGACTCCTTACAGCTGCAGCTCCTCCTCGTCTCTCGCCGATGTCTCCGAAGCTGTCCTCTGCTACTGCTCGTGCTGATCCCTGTGCCTGTTCGAGGCTCGGCGAATGGACTCGATGAATCCGACTGGATTCGAGAGCAAAGATCTGACGCAGAATGTGATTGGCTGAATGTGGACGATTGCTTACAGTACACTCAAGAGGTAGAGCTAGATAAGTTCCCGTGCGGTCCCTCTCGAGGACAGAAACGTCTATTGACTATAGCTTCTCGCATCAGCTTGTTGACGCACTCGCTTTCCCTTTAGCCCTGACCCATCCACTTCGCACTCACTCAGTTCATACTACAATGTCCTCCCCCTCCAACGGCTCGCCCTCGAGCGATGCAGCGCTCTTACCACGAGAGCGACGCAAGAAATCCTCCTTCCGAAATCTGCTCAACTTCCTTTTCTGCATGCCCAAGTTCAACAAGCGACACGATCAAGCCTCAAGCCCTTCGACGACTCCGCCAGCTCGAGCTGTGGCTATCTCCGCCGTATCGGAGCTTGTCCTGACTCCCCCTGCAAGAGCCAGGAGGCCAGTGGTCCGCCCAAGCCTCAGCGATCCCCCTCCTATGAGGGCTTTGGACGCGTTTCGAGTAGACGTGGGACTCTCTGAGAGCCCTCTGCGAGTGCGTATGCCCTCGTCTCCCGGTGTAGAAGCCACCGATATCGATGAGTTGGCGACCCATGATCTACGAATGGAGCAGAACATCAACAGGCAGACTTTCGATATCCATACGAATCATGACAGTGAACTCGCCTCCTCCTTCGGACTCTTACCTTCCGTACTCTTACCTTCCCAAGTCCAGCACGCCCCTAATCCCCTTCTGGACATGGTCTTAGAGACTGGACGACGACGACATCTCAGAAGGCCTCCGACTCGCCGCGGTGCCGCCAATCCTGGAGGTCCAGCAGCATCGAGTGAGGACGGACCCCTTGTCATTTTCTCAAACACTACTGAGCAGCGCGATGGAACGGTGGAGATGACGCCGCCTGAGACGCCGGTTTTGAGGCCTCGACGTAGGGTTGATGCGATGCGGGGTGGTGCTAGCGGTACCTGATAGAGCATGGTGGTGTGAGCGATCCTGAGAGAGAGGAAACACGACATCAGAGTGAGACCAAATGAGAGGCGACCAGAAGGGCCCTGCTCGAGATTGCGCGAGACGTAAATCCTGTTTTCTTCTTGCTCCAGCCTCTGTCCAGAAATGTGAAGTATGAATCCCATCGAGGGGTGTCATGATAGTGTCTTGTCATGGCAGTCAGCAGTCGTCCGACGTAGCTGTCGAGGTCCTGTATATAGGTAGCGAAGCAGAGTTCCTCCGCTCACTCTATGACCTTGGCAATACAGTGTATGACCACTCATATCGCCCCAGCCGAGCAGCATGGAAGCTGAACTTGCAAGAGCAGAGTGCCTTCCTCCGCATATATGGACTTCTCTGTCACTGTTGTAGGCCCAGGCTTTCAGCTTACTACATGTCGCACGCGATTGGTGGTCCGGACGGAAGGGACAGGGGCACCCGAAGCGACGTGGTTGATCGAAAGTACAGCTGACGCGTGGCAGCCATGGCTGGAACGTCTCATTGGATCATCCTTCTCCGGAGGAATGTGCTACTAAAAGCCATGGTCTTGTGGGTGTAGGTGAGCTACTGGTAGATGGGTGCGCTGGAGCGCGAACATGAATCAGACGGAAGGACGGAACGGAATCCCACACATCATGCACGGCTGCAGCTGACGCTGATTGGTCACATTTGCCTCCGGCTTTGATGTTCGTCTCGCCTTTGCATCTTTCCGCAACGCCTTTGTAAGCTACCGTACCCTCCGACTACATACGCCTCATCAGACTCCAAGGATTTCCTCATCTCTACTAGCATGGACTCACCAATCGTCATGTCGCACTCTACTAGCCCTCCTGCTGCTCCCTGGGCACCTGCCCCGAGGGTCAGCAGCCTGGTGTACAGATCATCCCCTCATGCGAGTGAGAGTAGCAAAGATCATCGACCCCGACCGTCTGCACAGGACGAGGTCATTGCCAGCCACTTTGCTGCCTTGAATGCTGTAGAAGGCGATGAGTGTTGGATAACAGGCGCTGGGGACACGGAACGGGTCCATATCGTTCCCCATGCCGAAGGAGACTGTACGCGCCTTGTGAGTAGAGTAGAAAAGTACCTAGCGTTCAGACAGTGGTGTCCAGCTGACCTCTTGCGTCACATTGCTTGCCCAGATCCTCTGGCTCCAATTGATGGAGCTCGTCCCCATGCCCATTCAGGAGAGGGCAAAATGGAAGGTCTCTCACGAGAACCTGCTCCCCCTGTCGCTCTCCATACACCGCTGTTTAACAGACGGCGAGAAGAGAAAAGCACTTCTTCGACCGACGAGGGAGGACCTGGTCCTACTCGTGCGAGTGCTTGAAGACGGCCTTCAAAGGGAGTGCGAGCAGAACTTCAGTCCAGCATGGCGGCCTCGCTGGAATGAGATACTACAGACAGGCTGGCCACGAAAGGACAGATTTGGCACATTGTGCCTCCCGTCCTACGAACTTCAGCTGGACATATTTGACCTTAAGCGCCGGACCATTTCCAAGTGGAAAGATCTTGCAGGTTCTCAGGGGGTGTCTCGAGTGACCGGTGACGAGCTTTACCCTATTCTGCTCGACCATCAGCTGGATACCTTGCAGGCTCCAGTTTCAATCTTGGCTGTGGTTGCTGTGGCTGTGTCACAAGCATGGTACATCAGCCGCTCACCAGGGCGAAGGTACCGAGAAGCTTTCCTGGAGGAGATGGACATCATGTCCTACATCGTGAATCTCCTCGGCTCCCCGAGCCCCAGCTATTTCAGAGGACTTCAAAGGCCTTCTGCCCTTCCTCCTCTCCCTCCTCTTCCTCAAATTGCATCCCTCTCATCTCCGCAACGAATGCGCGAGTGGCCTCTTACCAAACCGCGTACACGCTCGTCGGCGGTGGCATCCCAGCTTCCCGAATTTTCTTCAAGCCCACCGAAGGGTTACAAGGAGAATCTCGCTACCGCGCTGTACGAGATGGACAGAGCACAAATCGCGGAGGAAGGGGTCTCAGTGTCAACAGACGGCGGGCACGAGGATAGCGAAGGAAGTGGTGGCGCCAGCTCTTTCAAAAGTAGACGATCAGAGCCTCGAGGGGACGAGAGTCGCTCGAGTGGCGGTGACTCGTCGATCGGCAGCTCCGATCTCTCGAGCATATCGATGCTCCCTCCCTCTCCTGGGCTACAGGACGCCAAAGACGCAACGGTAGTGTCCAATGTCACGGAGCAAGCCCAGAAGCAGTTGAAGTCATCGCCCGAAGCAAAGATAGGCTCCACTTCTGTAGCTCCGAGCATGGCTGTGTGGCATGAGGAAGCGCAAAGCCTCGATGACAAGCAGGACTTGCTCCTCGACGATGCCCTTTCGGCTCTCGCAAGTCAATTGCAGGCTCCCTCAAACCAGGCGGATAGCACCACAACAGCTACACGACTTTTCGACTTCCTAGCCAGCCCTGAGCCTCTGGACATTACATCCAAGCTACAGGCAATTGAGCAGCGCAGGGAGGAAATGTTGGAACAGTGGGAGGACGGGCTCAAGTAGATGAAGACGTGACTCAAAGCAACTCGATGTTCTGCTTGCCAGGTGGGTGCCAAGGGTAGAAGGGAAAATCACGAAGACGAAGGTGAAGAAGGAAAGGGTGACGCAGCATCAGAGGAAAGGACTTCTTCACGGCTCAATCCTTGGACTCGCCTGGTCCTCCTGCGAGCTCTCATCTTTCAAAAGTTCACGATCCATAAGGCTCAACAAACCACCATTCATCACAAGCATTGCTTTCTCGCCTCTGTTCATCGGGACACCATTATCAGCAACTTTCAGCGCCTCTCATTCGTCAAAGCGAGTCTCTAGTGCAAGGTCTCGAGAGCAACGGCCCTCGGCCACTCCTGGGGCATCATCGCCCACTCCAAGCGGCCTGCAGTCAGAGACCTCTGCAACTTAGCGCAGTGGATTTGTTGGCGGTACCTCTTTTCCCTCGACTATTGCGTTCCTTGCGACGCATCCGCCTGGGCGACTCAGCTCCACACATGCCCTTTACCCAGTCCGGAGCCACCTCAACCTCTCTCATGCGACACGTCAGACCATCTCGCCTCTGCTTTTGCCATTCCGTGGGAAGCAGCGACAGCTGGAAGGGATCAGAGTAGATCGGAGGGCAAGAATTTCTGGGTCAAGGGCCGAGATCTGTGGCAGCTTTGGCTTGGCTGTTTGAGACTTTGCGAGCATTGTGCTACCGAGTGCGCCACGCCATCGATTTGCAACATAGAGCTTCTTACTGACATTCTCACATGGGCCTCCCCTCAGTCCTCAGCCTTTCGTCAGCCACTTGCTGATCTGGAACTCTTTGGTGCTCTTCACCTTCTCTCCTTCTCCTCGCACCTTCCGACGATCAGGCCTTCGACCTGTCTTCCCGCCACCATGACCGTTGTACATTCCTGTCCATGTCCAATTTCATGTCCATATAAATACTCAGCCCAGTCCAGTGCAGTCATCGTTCCGGTCTCGCTTTCCATTTTGTCCTTCACCATTCTCAGATCAGAATGTAGATCGATCCGTATTCTTCCGCCATGGAACCGAAGGAGTGAGAGTCGGACAAGAGTCGACTTCGATCGAACAGCCTCTACGTCGTGTGATTTGGAAGCTGAAGCACTTTGGGCGGAGACCATGGTGCGCTGCTCTGCAAGTTCAAGCGTCGTCGCGGTAGCGTAGCAGGTGTGTTGCTGAGGCCTTGAGGAAGGTGAAGTGGCAGCGAGGTGGTGTACGCCGGCAGTAAAAGACTCCTACGCCTCAGCGGCTTTCGAAAGTTCGTTTGTCACCCTCAGCTCGCCCACAGGTGTATGAGTAGGCTGCTGCGACTCGTACGTGAGCTCCCTTCCGTGCTGGGAAAGACAGAGTGATCCGTGCATGTGAGCGCTCGACGATGCTGAGCTGTATTGCTGCTTCCTCGCTCAGGGTAGGACCATGACCGCTATCTCGTCGCTTGTGTTCCATTCCTTATGCTGAGCCTATGTCGAGTGACTGCCAAGTGTATCGATGTCGCCGAGCTAGATTCGGTATTAGCACCTTTGATGTGGCTTGTGAGAGCGGCCTGACCTCACAAAGAAGTCCCACTCTATACGACCAGTCGTAGACTTCGAATAGGCGCTGCATCTCTGCTGCCATCTGCTTGACTCCAGCTTCTTTGCTTGCTTGGAAGCATGTGCATGTCTCTTCCGCTGTATTTCGTGATGTGAACTGTTGTCCGAACAGTCGATGTTCCATGATTTCCCTTTGTGGCTCCTGCAAGAAGCAGACTTGAGAGTGGATCACAGCTCTTCAACATCTGGGACCGGCTGCAAAAGAGTGCAAGCTACTGTTGGTGGAATCCAGACGACCGTTCGATGCGTTCATGGATTTGAGCGAGGTGCGATTCTTGGCCAATCCACTGGAGGTCGAAGTCCTACAGTCACGATGGTGAGGCCGGTGAGGAGGTCGCTTGGGTTTGCTCTCTTAAGGCCGAGCTTGCGTGCGCATTGAACAGGCAACGTGAGAGTAGATGACGCAAATGCCTCGGAGCTGCGCTTGAGCTGCAAGTCGTAGACCGTAGTGACTGCTGAGGGATCTTTTCTACAGTATTTTGGGTAGTGAAGAAAAAGAGAGCATCTGGCCGGACACTGGCAGAAGTAAGAGAGAGGAAGGTCCTTTCTGGTAGCGGAAGAAGACTGTGACTCCGAGATCGGGCTCGCCCAGACTGGTATGGCTCGGTACTTGCGAGGTACAGTGGTACGCTATTCGACATGGTATTGAAGCTGACCTTGGTTGTCTCCGCTCACATAGGCTCTACAGCGACCTGTCCAGCTATGCGATCGACTATTGCATCTGCCCGAGCGTTCTTTCGCTGAGCATAACGAGGCGAGGCTGGTACCGGAGCAGAGATGCCGTAGCAACAGCGATAGACGAGCTCACTGGCCAAAGTGGAGATGTGCTATGCTATAATCGAGTCTGACACAGGCCTCTTGAGATCCGCAACACAGGGGCCGCGGGCATCCTCCTGTGCTGTCCAGCGTGCAGTCGACCTGAGCAGTGAGTGGGAGAGTGATCTCGACTGAGGGCATGGAGTCCAACCGGCGCATGGCAGTACGGTGATTCAAGTCATGTGGAAGAATGATGGTGAGGGGACATCCCAAAACAAGAGCTGATGCCATTGCTCGAGGTGGAACACTGCCTGCTAACATCACGTAGCTGCGACGAGTACCCCTCCGGAATAGGGGTCGTAGCGGAGTGGAGGAGGCGGCACAGCGGAACGGAAGTGGCGAGGCAGAGAAGTGGCTGACGGCGGCAGCAAGATGAGGATGGAATACCTGCGGGCCCCTGAAATGACTCTCTTGGTATTAGCCCGAATCCTGCGATTCCATGGGCCTCTACTCTCAGACGCTCATCGAATAGCCTCGTAAAGTACCATCGACGACTCCAAGCAGAAAGGCGAAGTATGTGCCCCTCTACCCACGCACCTGGGCGCATGCTCGCCTGCGCGGTTATTTTCTCTGCGTCCATGCAGCCCGTCAAAAGACTCTGACTCGGTCTACTCGCACTGCAGTCTGACTTCACTGTCAGATTCGCACTGCTTACATCCTCACCATCCGGGCGACTGGCCCAGTATTGACCAACACGGGAGATCTGGTTGGACTTGAATCGGAGGCCCTTTTTTGCCTACCACCGACAGTATTTAGCGTGATACGGCTGATCTTTGGGAGGTTTGATCGCCGATGGAGCCGTCCAAGAGCATCTGGTCCGGTTCTAATGGTCGCAATGACATTCAGATTCGGACACATGCTCCACGAAGACATCAATCGAGTGGATGGATTGGGAAGGTAAGTGGGAAGTCGGGTATGGGGGTGGGCGAGCGTGGAGAAGAAAAAGGCGGTATGCCGTAGGAGAGTCAGTGCGGGGGTGGCAAGGGACAAAGGTCAACAGTGATTAAGAGGATTCGGCGGTGATGTACTGTAAAAGGTCTCAGCGGGGAAAACTTGCCACCCTAGGATTGGACTCAATCGATCGAGAACGAGAATATGGTGACCAGTGAGGAGCGGTGCCAGCTTTGACTTGCGAGTGACGGGTGTATGGCTTGTTGCTTGAGGAGGTGTCAGTAGGTTAGGATAATGAAGAGGTGGTCCTGCTGAGTGCCGTCCGTCTTTTGGGAGATGGCGAGTGTGGTCCATAGTCGCGTCCGGTAGACACGAGAAGGCTCGGACCATTGGAGTCTTCTTATCTTGTTCACTCTACCCGCCCTCTTGCCGAGGGAGACTGGCTGCACCAGCCTTGAAGGAGAGATAGAGTGGCTGCTTGGACAGCTTGTTTCGAGGAGGTCTCCGTCTGGGATTTGGACATGAGATGAGCATGTGGTCCCGGTGAGGGCGGAACAAAGAAGGAAGGGAGGGCGTGAGTGGAGAGATCCTTTGCGGAGCACATGTGAGTCCTTAACGTCAGTGTGGTCGCAGGGGTCTTGATGGCTGCTCATCTGAAGTGCTCATCCGATAGCAGGGCTGCGCAGTTCAGTTCCACATGACAAGGACTGCTGAGAGTCCGGGACACTGACTTTTGTGTCCTTGGTGACGACTTTGATCTCATCGGTAAGAAGTTCTCTCAAATTCATTAGCCCATCGAAGTGCGCTGCTGACAGCAATCCAGTCATTGCAAGCCTTCTCGGATTGCAATTGGGTCCAAGCTACGCGGTACGGCTCTTTACCGATGGTCAACTTCAAGAGCATGGCACACTTGTGCGCCTCTGGCACAGGCACTCCCAGGTTCCAGGCGTCGTAGGCCCATCTATCGATCTTTTCGATAGCCTTGTCAATGTCATCGTTCACTAGCGAGACTTTGTACAGCTTGTAAAGAGTCCAGACCTGCTTCCAATGTCCGCCAGGCTTGAGCTCAGACTCGAGAAGCTTCAACAATTCTCGGCCGTTGGAACATTCATGTCGTCGTTTCAAGTATTGGTAGCGGACAGCCACAGGACCGTCTGCATCGAGGGTGAGGTAGATGGTGGCGACGAGTTTTCGATCCAACTCCTCGAGGAAGGGAGTGTACTCAATCTCGTCTTCGCCGAACAAGAGTTCGTCCGCGTAGCTGACCATGACCATGTTGAGCCTCAGCTCTTGTCTCCATTGGAACCAATTCTCTCTATTGAGCGGCGTAGTGTGCTCTTTGACCATAGCAAGATCTTCTGAAATGTCGGACCTACCCTTTGCTTGGGCCAGACGGACACGTTTAGAAGCAATTGAATTCGCATTTTGCTGTACTTCAGCAATCTTGGCTATCGTTTGATCGTCGACCTCGGGCAGTCGGTGCTTGAGAGCCGAGGTAATTGCCCGAAGGGAGTCTAGGGAGGTGATGTCGATTTGCTTGGGCGGCTGGAGTAGCTCAGCCAGCTTAGCCAGCTTTTCATCATCGACTTCTGGCAGACGCTGCCCGAGAGCTGATACAATGTCTGGCAAGGAGTGCAACTCGGTAATGTTCACTTGCTTGGGCGGCGGAGCTGGCTGTTCGACCTCGCTGTTTGGCGTGGGGGAGGCAGCCTGTGCTTCCTCGGCACAGCTTTGCTCTTCGTTTACCTGTTCAGGGTCACCTTGCAGTCGTCCTTCTGCCACTGGCGGCATACTTGACTAAGACAGGCACCGGTTGTGGTCACCAAGGATGCTGTGCGGCTAAAGAGTCTACTCGTCGAGCGGAAAAGTGTCTTCACAGTGTAACAAGATCTTTCTCGAGGGGGAAAAGTCGTTTGTCAAGGTCCGAAAGATCCAATGGGAGTGCTACTGAGCACCTTCTGACCTGTGGAAGCCGTCACTGGTACGGGTCAGGCTTGCCGGACCGCCGGAACGGAGCGTCTGGCCACGTGCCCTATTCCGTCGCGGGCCGGCAGGCGACCTAGCCCCTGAGGAAGACTCACCATCCACGCTGCCTCGAATCCTTTAGTTACCAGTGCAAGCTGCAACGAAGATTTTCATGCTTTGCAACCACCTTCCCAACCCATCTATGTGTCCGTCCCTCTGAGACTCTCGTACTTCACTGTAAGACAGGTCGAAACGGAGCTCAGCCTGAAGTCCCGAGAAGACTCTCTTCAAGATTGAAGGGACTCGCCTCACGCCCTCCTGAAGCGCTGATCTTCAGTAGTGCTCGCATCAAGCTGCTTCGAGGTAGTGTAAGGTGAAGGAAATGGCCCCCTGCTTCGTCGATCGATCAGCGTTCTCTCCAACCGTTGAGCGCCGACAGCGCTGGACACAGGTAGTGAGGGGTTCGACGTACCCGGACACGGGGGCAGTCGTACGAGCAGCGAGTTCAAGGTTGCTAAACAACACGCATACCACTACGCTTTTAGCTCGCAAGTTTTCCGATGAGCTGACACATCCTCTAAGGCCACCGACAGACTCCCATCAGCTGCAACACATGTCCACGTCCCCAATAGCTCCGTCGACTACAAGTACGCCTCCAGTAGATGCCGGCAAGACAGCCTCCAGTAGAAGATGTCTAGATCGGAAGTGGTGTTGTGAAGACAAATCTCACCTTCAAAGTGACTGAAAGCTCGGGCGCGACATAGGACTCTCCTTTGCAGCCCACGAGAACTACTTCTCTTGCACAGCAACATGGATTCGAACCCTGCTGCTCCTTTGAGTAGTGGACGATCATTTTGCGCTGCCTCCCAGCCCTCTTCAGCTCCGATTGGCGAAGAGGCGTCAGAGTACAGTAGTTGAACCTGCGGTCAATCGCTAAGGGGAAAGTCACTTCAGGAACCTTCTCAAAAAGCGAACAGGCACAAGTGGCGATTGTGCGGGTCAGAGCGATTTCAAGCCCTTCACTGTCCTTCCACAGCCATTGGCCATGGCCATATCTCATCAAGTTCTCTGGGGCTTTGTGACCTCGCGCTTCTGCGGCAGCTATTGCGGCACATGATACCCTCAAGGAGCACTGGAGAGGGCTGTCAATCTCGCATGCTTTCATCACAACCGGCCCAGCTTTCCGATAGCCATGAGTACCGGTGTTGAATCGGGAGTCTTATACCGCGCGTCAACCTGCTATTGGCAAGCGGTACCTCAACAGACGTCTATCACAAGGACCCATGAGGACAACACCATCAGCAGGACCACGGAAGACGCTTAGATTGCCGAAAATGCTTGCTGGACGGAGAAAGTATGGGCAGTCTCGGGCTTCCGCTTCAGAAACCGGTGCTATGGTCTTTCTCCGGAGCACTTCTATTTACAAGGCTAGCGCTGGTGCTCTATCTCAAGAAGTATGACTGGAGGACTTTCACCGCTCTCAGCCACATATCTTTGACAGTGCCATGGACTCAGATATCTCGGATTGCAACCATCAGCAGGTGCGGATTGCCACCGGGCTGAGGTGGACACACACGCCAGCGCTCTAGTCGGATTTGCCCTGCGTCACATTGCGGAAGGTCCTTCAGAGCCCCTCAGAGCGACTTGCCTGGGTCTGTCTTGCTCTCGTATGGCCGAACTTGACACCGAGAGCCTGAATTATCAGAGCGCTATAGGAGGCAGACTGGACAGACGTCAGGGTTAAAAGGCGTTTGAGCACTCCAGCGTTCGGGGCAATCGACGCAAGTGCCATCAGCATACTGGGCGACGGCTTACCCGCCTCTCCAAAGCTGCATACGCCTCAGAGGGATCTTCACTCTCTGTGGGCACTCTTGTGTCAGATACAGACATGGAGCTTTTGTATCTACATAGCCAATAGAAAAGTAGACTGCTTCGACGTTAGCTCTGACAGAGCAATCGTGGGATGTTGTCTATCCCGCAAACGCTATAGCACTCATCTGTGTAGCAAGGGATAGCTCAGATTAGGCAGCACAAAAGCCCCAGAAGATCCACAGACTACCGCTCCAGAACGACGTATGCGAGACTGCGCCATCGACGATGATCAACATTTAAACAAGCGCGACGTTTTGCTGGGCAATGCAAAGACTGCACAAGTCGGTATATCGGCTTCCTGTATGACGTGAGGCCTCGGAGAATCAGTGTCAGCAGTCATGCATGATGGTCCTCTGCGCCGTACAAGCCAAGTCAATCAGCTACCGATGGTAGCCAGCTCAGTTTGACAAAGTGTGTACTGTCGTTTCCTGTGTGAACATGGGGTCCAGCTCTGTGTTGCTGTACGGATTTTCATGAGCAAGCAGTCGCAATACAGGAATCCAAATCCCTCAAATCTCAAACAGATCCCTCACGCGGCTGAGCACAGACACATGTTATGTTTCGTCTTCGTAGCAACTGATGAAATTTATTTGGCTTTGTGACACACATTCGCGGTGACGATGAGAGGGGGAGAAAGCCAGTGCCTGTCGCAGGGCACCACTCAACTGAGAGTGGTGAGCTCAAGGAGCTTTCGCTTTGGCGGACGAGAGGCTTCATTTGTGAAGAGAAGATGGTGATGCCGAGTGATGCACATGTCGCAAGTCAGCCAGCTTGGTCGACCAACAGAAGACAGCGGTACAAATTGTACTCACAAAGCATTTGGCGCAGTTTGGTGAGACTTGATGGGATGTACGGGAGCGTGAGAAACACGAGCCTTCGTGTTCGGCAAAGACCGGTGTTTGAAAGAGCAGCATTGATGCTGATGTCCAAAGGTAAAGGAGACCACTCATGTGAGCACTTCGGTCAAAATGCCCTCCTTGACACGCGGATGTGCTAAGGCAGCTCGCTACAGAAGGATTTGGTTGGGCGAACGGAGGGTGTGCGGGGCAGTGAAGGCTGGACATTGTGCCTGAGGAGAAAAGATGGAGCTTTGGAAGGGGTATGTGCTTGAGTAGGGCTTGTTGATGGTGACTCTGTTCGTCATCTGTGCCTCTGTCCTACTGCTCGTCCTGTCTGAGGCATTCGGATTGAATTCTTGGACGTCAGGGGTGCGAGGTCTGTTGAGCACTCTGCGCAAAGTGGAGGACCCTATGTACGCTTTCCCAATTCTTGCAAGACTTTGTATTCATCAGTGAGGTCCATGCCCCATCGAACCATTCTTGACCTCGAGTGGTACAGAGCAGAATGGCACACTTCTGCGTCTCCGGAATGGGGGAACCGATGTCCGCGAGGTGGCGTGCATATCGCTCAATGTCTCGGATGGTGGCATCGACATTCGTATAGGTCAAGGCTACTCTGTTGAGTTTGTAAAGAGTGAGGACCTCCTCCCAGAAACCGGCAGGACGAAGCTGAGACTCAAGGTCTCGCAGAAAGCTGCGTCCACTGTGCCACGCGTCGTTGCTCATGAGACAATAGTCGATCTCGTCACGTCGGGTTCCAGTCTTCTGGATGAAGTAGCTGATGGTGGTGTAGAGTTTGTCATCCAGCTTTCTGAGAAAAGGTGTGTACTCGAAGTCTTCTTGAGTGAAAAGCAGATCTTCGGCGTAGTTGATTAGGCTGACTATACGCTTCAGCTGTCTGACCCACTCGAACCACGTGTCCCTTGTGAGCGGCACGGTGATCTCAAGACTCCTGATGTCTTCGAAAGCATCCGAGTCACCACTTTGTGCATGCGCGTTGGCCAGACGGACGCGTGCCAGGGAGAGGGTATTCTTCTTCAATTGTGTCTGTGCAAATTCGTTGAGAGTGTAATCATCCACCTCTGGCAGTCGTAGCTTCAGTTGAGACAGTAGTAGAGACAAGGAGTGCAGCTTGGTAAGATCGAGGTGTCCATTCAACTGATGTCCTTCAGGCTCTGTGAGTCGCGGCTCTTCGGGTGGCTCTTCGCCGTGGCTAGTGCATTCGTCGTGTCTCTTGCGTTTAGGGTGCTGAAGCAGCCCTCCGTCCCAGGCTTTCATTCTGTGAGGCAGGGTGGCAGTGACGGGGCCTCAGGTGGTCGAGGTAACGCTCGTCTCTCAACGGCGAGATTCCCACACTGTGAGACTTGAATCGTGATTGGAGACGAGTCTGGCTGTAGCGAGGTGATTCCAAGACTGAAAAAGAGGTCAGAGCAATGACGATGTCCGTCCTCCACCTCCTCGAGGGCAGCGGCTGTTACTCAGGTACGAGGAGGCTACCGCAACAGAGTTCGACACCCACGTGTCTTGTTCCGGCTCCTTACAGCCGAAAGAGCCGCAAGAGTGGAATAAACATGGGTGGTACACGGGTAGCACAGTCTTCTGAGAAGACAGTAGCTAAGTCCTTGCAAAAAGACTTGAAGACGGTCGCAGCCAAGAGACACTAGAAAAGATGAGGTCTCCGTCACCGAGAGCGAAGTAGAAGGAGGCATAGGCGAGTGGTGGCAGGCTGCAGTATGGGCCGTGTCGGTAGCTGCTGGCTACTCGATGCGCCTGAATGGAGGGCCATCTAAGGTCAGAAGGAGGATAGCAAGGATCGGGATGCAATTACAATAGAGTCCTGGTCAAAAGATGGGACCACAGAGGTCACTTGCGGCGAGCTATCCCGTGTGCCTAGGAGCCTAAATCGTCAGACCTGTCATGGTGCATGCTGAGCTCCGTCGGCGGCGCTGTGAAGGAATCAGCTACCTCTGGTCTCCGGAGGCAACCTCAGCTTGTTGTGCTCGTCGCTTGCCTCCGTTCCGACTTTCTCACCTTGTAGTTTCGTCGCCTTGCGCTCAGTTGCCCTTGTCTCCTCACCTTTCGAATACCACACTTACTAGCACATGGTGACAAGACTGACAGTCTTCGCCTAACAGCTCCAACGTACACATACGTTGTAGCAGTGTAAGTCACTGTTCGAACCCCCGTGACCCTCGTTCCACTTCCCTCCTTGAATGGGAAAGAAGAGAAAGACTCCTCGCGACGATAGAGGCCGTTTTCTACCCATTCCTGGCTCTTCCACATTCGCATCCCCTCGTCTCAACGACCCAGATAGTTTCCTCCCTGGCAGATTCTCACCGTTGACGATGGACACGACGGAGGACGATCCTCAGCAAGGCTCTAGTTCCTCCTCATCTCAAGACACGCCTCGAGTTACCGCTCAGACTGCACAGGCTCAGCCACGCTCAGCGATGGCCACACAGCCGTCTCGACCGGCCACGGCGACGACGGCACGCACTCAACCTCGAGTCGCCACAGCCGCTGAGCAAGCTCAAGCTATGCCACAGACGTACCCTGCGGACTCCACTCAAATTCCGATGCCTCCACCACCACCTCGAGCTTATGGTGTTCATCCTTCGACTCGAGGATTCGAGTCTCAACCTCAGTACGCTGCATACACGGGCTATCCACCTGCTCTGGAGACCGGTTACATGCCCCACACAACTCCTCCAGCTGGCACTCCGATCGCTTTCACCATAGAGCAACTACGAGAAGTCATCCAGACCGAAATGGCAGCTCAACTTCGAGAGAATCGCCGACAGGAGGCAGACATTGCTCCCGAGCGAAGGCACATGGACGACATCTTGTGGCAGTCGACCGCTGAGATTCAGGACAGCCGTCGCAGGCACTACCTCAACCGAGGGTACACTGTAGAGCAAGCCAACCGATACGCACAAGAGCCAGTCGGAGGATCCTCGCAGACGGTCATCACTCAGCCAAGCAGGCGCAAGGAGTGGCGCGCCAAGGACATCGGTCTTTATGACGGCAGCCCCTCTACTTTAGACCAGTGGGTAGCGAAGATACAAAGTCTCTGGGACCAAAAAGTAGATCCAAATTGGCGAGAACCGCTCCTAGAGGAGCTGCCCAACTGCATGGTCGGACTAGCAGGCGACTGGTACAGCCAGCAGAGCCTGCACACTCGCCAGAACAAGCTCAACACTTGGGAAGGATGGATCAAAGGTCTCCACACTGTCTTCCAAGGAGACATCGCCAAAAAAGAAGCCACAGCAATCGCTCGCAAATGGGAATACCGAACCGAGACGTCCGCTCGCTTCTTCTTTGAGAAGAATAGACTCATGAAAGCGGTATACCCTGACCGCTCTCCTGCAAGCTTGGCCCGCGACATCTGGAGAGGTCTACCTGAAACGTACCAGGGAATGATTCGCGAGCACCTGAAGCCCTCTCCAAATCTTGATCTCATGCTCGAAGAGATGAACGCGTTTGAGAACGCCTGGCGAAGGCAAGACCCTCGAAATCGATCGCTTAGGACCCCTGTGGTCTCGGCAACGAAGACGGAGACTGTGGATGCAGCAACCGGCGTCAGTCAGACCGTCACCGAGACGGCAGTAACGCACCCCACCCCAAAGGTGGTCAAACAGCAGCGCGAATCACTGAAGATGAGCTTCGACCCGAAGAACCTCAGCTGGGAAAACGGGGTACAGTGGTACAAACGTCCCGACAATAGTCGCATCAAGAGAGACAGGCCATGCGGTATCTGTCAAGGGTCTCACTTTGACTTCGCTCATGAATATTCCACACAGGTGAAGAAGGAAGTCATGATCATCGATGACGACGATCCTCAAGAGTACTATGCAGGATACCCTGTCTACCATCAACAGAGTCCCGCTACCTCCTCGTCGTCTGGTTCTTCGGGCACATCCACGCTTTCCCTCTCCGAATCAGCATCCAACGCCTCGGTTTCTTCTGGCACCTTGTCGGCTTCCTCGAGTGGATCTTCCGTGTCCCAGCCAATCAACGTGGACCGACAATCCACTCCTTTAAACTAGATGACCGAGATGTCAAAAAACTACGTGCAAAAGGCCCTCCGGACAAGAAGATCGAAGAACCCTGCGTATTTCTCGTCGATCCAAGCTACATTTCGGTCTCTCTACCCTACCTTCCCCCACCATTAGACTCCTCCGGGCCTTCACAAAAGGAGATCATCAACATACCCCCCCCTCTGAAGCTCGGCTCTGGACCTTCCCACAGATTGTTTAAGCCAACTGCGATGCAGTTAAGAATTCAAGGTCGGCCTCAGCTTCAATCGTGCTTACTAGACACTGGAGCTTCTCTCTCCGTCATTGATGAGATGCTGGTTGCTCATCTCCCCGTCAATGCCGATTACTGCGTTCGCCTCTCGGGCATCGGTTCTGCCTCGACGATAGGCCACGTGACGCTGACCTTCGAGGTACCAGCTCACTCTTTCGACGGGGAAGAAGTCGTTCTCCAATTTGCTCACGAATTCCATGTCGTGCCAGGGCTGCGAGCCGGCGTCGTGCTGGGAACGGATTTCGTCTTCCCGCACGAATTGGACATCCTGGGAAAAAAGAGGATCGCCGTCCTTCACGAGAAGTACTACTGGAAGATCTGGCCCATGCGAAAGGGAAAGAACGAGGACACCGGCGAAGACCTGTGGACAATTGAAACGTCTTCACCAACGACCCTCATTGCGAGAACGAATTCTGTCGTTCCTGCCAGGAGTCATGCATGGGTACCGATCACGCCATCTTCAACCCTGTCCCCAGATCTCCCTTGGAGCGTTCAGCCAGCAATGTGGGAAGATGAATCTTTCGATGTTCTGCTCTCCATTCCAGCCATGATCCTTCCAGCCAAAGCTACTCACGTCCTCGTCGCAAATCTCGGAACTTCAGACGCAGGCGTAGCCTCGAATTTCCCTCTTTGTCAAGCCTCCTCGCTATCGGGGCCAGAATTCCCGACTGGCCAAGTCTTCCAGATGGGTCCCGCTACAACAGCATCCGACAGCATCGACCAGTTGGAAACATCTTTCGGATCAAAGCATGACTTTGAGGACCAGGAGCAAAAAGAAAGACTTGTTGCAGATCACACCAAAACCGTCGACGACCTCTTCAATGTCGGTTCCGCCGTTACCGAGGATATCATCCGGGTTCTTCGATCGTTCAAACATGTCTTCTCCACCGACGGAAAGCCAGGTCATGTCGCAGACTTTCCCCTGTCAATCCCTCTCCGCGCTGACGCCAAGCTCAGGCCAGAGGCACCGAGGAAAGTTAGCCCAGAGAAGCGTGAGATCATCGACAAGACGATAGACAAGCTGCTAGCCCACGACGTCATCGAACCGAGCTCTTCGGCAACCTCGTACCCCGTCGTCCTCATTAAGCAGGGCGCGAAATGGAGAATGTGCGTGGATTACCGCACGTTGAACGACGCGACTGTAGAAGATCGCTATCCCCTGCCACGCATAGACGACATCTTTGAATGCCTATCGAAAGGGAGAGTCTTCTCGTCGGTGGACGCCATCAGTGGCTACCACCAGCTGGATCTGGAGCCCTCAGACAAGTGGAAGACTGCGTTCATTTGCCATAGGGGCCTGTTCCAGTACAAGCGAGTCCCTTTTGGCCTCAAAAATGCCCCTTCGCACTTTCAGAGGTTCATGGATGTTCTTCTGGGATCCATGCGCTGGCAGAACGCAATGGTGTACTTGGACGATGCAGTGATCTTCTCCCCCTGCGCTGCTAGCCATGCGAAGGACCTAGAGTCGTTCCTGACCCGCTGTGCAGAATTCGGCCTCAAGTTGTCACCCTCCAAGTGCTTCTTTGCAGTGAACAGCTTGAACCTCTTGGGACGCCTTGTCACCGTCGACGGCGTTTCGATCATCCCAGACAGGGCCGAAGCCATTCGACAGATAGCCCCTCCTAAGACCCTACATGACGTCTACCGCCTCCTTGGTTTGTTCAACTACTACAGGCCTTTCATCCCGAGGTTCGCCCAGCTCACCGCTAGGCTGACCGCTAAGACAAAAGGGGTCAAATATGTCGCTCAGCCGGGAAGGAAGCACAAGGTACAGCGAGAAGACCAGGAGTTCAAGAGCGCCAAGTCAGTGCCGGTCACCTGTGATGAGGAAGACATCAAAGCCATACAGATCCTGAAGGATGCTCTATGCCAGCAGACGGTCTTGGCGTATCCCAATCGAGACAAGGCGTGGTTTCTGTACGTCGACGCTTCGAAACAAGCCTATGCCGCTGCTCTCCATCAGCAATTCGAGCGTCCAGTCCGACCCTCCGACGAGAAGGACGATGTTCCCTCCTTGGTTCTCCCGGCTCAAGTCGTAGATTTGCCATCGTCATCACCTTCCAGAGAAGAACTCGCTATCGCGCAACGCGCCGACCCGCTCTGGGCGAGGATCATCAACAAGTTTGAGAAAGGCGAGGCGACTAGGGGCTACGCGGTCTATCAAGGTTTGCTCACTAGGGTTGATAACGATACCATCTGTCTGCCGAAGGACTTGACGGATAGAGTGTTCGAGGAAGCCCACGCAGGACACCCCGGTATCACCAGGACTTACGCCCGAGTGGAGGAACAGTTCTACCATCCGTCTCTTCTCAAGAAAGTCACTGCGTGGGTGAAGTTCTGCCCCACTTGCCTTCGCACAAAGTTGACTAAGAAGACGGGGCGCCTGGACTTGAATGACGACTTCATGGGTCTCCCTTTCCACACCGTGTCCATGGACCTCATGCTGGGATTACCAGGCCCTAAAGATGCCTGTTTAATTGTGGTCGACGTCTTTTCCAAGTATGTGCTCCTACATCCGATGACAGCCTCTGCTACGGCGACACAGATCATGCATGCCTTCGAGAATCTCGTCTTGAGGAAGGGATGGCGTCCTTCCAAACTGATCTCGGACAGTGACCAGCGCTTCATCGGCGAAGTGGCACAATCCCTGGCTCATCGGATCGGTGCCGAAGTAGCCCCTTCCGCTCCCTATCATCAACAGGCGAATCCCGTGGAGAGATACGTACAGACAATCAAGAATTCTTTGATCGCCCTCACCCTCGATGAAGACCCAGAGTCTTGGCCGGACCATCTCCTTGCGTTAGAAGTGGCGCACAACTCGACTCCAAGTACGGTCACCGAGCTCGCTCCATTTGACCTTGTCTACGTCGACCGCCCTCCCCTGCTGGGAAAATTGACCGACCACTCGGGTGTCGCATCCTTTGACGAACGCTTCTTTACCTCAACGCTACGAGTGAAGAAAGCTGTTGATGCCATGAAAGCCGCGAGATCCAAACAAAAGGATCGATACGATGCTAGGCAAAAGAAGCTCCCCAAGCTCAAGGAAGGCGACTTGGTGATGGTCAGACTCCCGGATAGACCGCTCTTTGCGGGACGACAGTTCAGAACAAAGATTGATTCCCCTTTGGAGGGTCCCTTCAAGGTGAAACGCGTCTTGTCGGACCACAGAGTCGAGCTGGACCTACCACTTGACATGCAGGTAAAGCAGCCTTTCGACGTCTCCCATCTACAACTGGTCCCGCACCCGGAAGAAGACCCGTTCCAGAGAGAAGGGCTCACCATTGAATCCGGAGCAGATGCCGCTTTCGAGCCACAGAGGATCACACAAGAGCGATTCTATCGAGGGCGTCGACAGTTCTACGTCAAGTGGCGAGGAAGCTCAAGGCACACCTGGGAATACGAAGAAGACCTCCTTAGACAAGGCTGCGAAGACGTTGTGGCCGACTGGAACGACAACCTGGAGGGACTCTCAACACCTCCACTTCCTTCAGCTTTCCCCATGGATGACACCGAGGGATCACCGTCGACTGACGCACTGACCAAGGACATCACCCCACAATGCGCGTCGGCGCAACAGGCCAATACTCTGCCACCGCCCAAAGTAGGTCACATCCGTCTCGTTGACGGGAAACGGGTTGTCGTACAGGAAAGACCCATTGCCTTCTCCTCGAGAGAGACCACCGCAAGTGAGAAGAAACACGTCGCAATCGAATTGGAAGCCTCAGCAGTTGTCTGGGCTTACCACAAGTTTCTTCCCCTCTTTGAGGGCTGCAAGGTTCATGTCATCACGGATCACTCCCCCTTGGTGCAAGTCTTCTCTAGCCCCACTAGTCGAGTCCACTCCAACGCTCTCTTGCGCGCCAAGCAGAGGCTGGCTCCCTATGTGCACCTGATCACCTTCCACCATCGCCCAGGGGCTGCACATGGCAACGTCGATGCCCTCTCTCGCCTCAAACAGATCTCGGAAGTCTCTGATGTCGCTCCGGAGAGTCGCCCCCCGGAGAAGAGCACCGATGAGCAGATCTCCGACACCGTCGACGCCCGTCCAGGGAATCCCTCGAAGGCAAAGACCGTCCCCTCCGCCAAGACGCAGACCGGAGCTAAAGGTCCCACTTTGACGGAACAGAAGGATCAGGCCGGAAAGAGCGGCGCGAACGGCTCGCCCGACTCACCAGCCACTCGGAAGACC